TATGACAATTAATTGGCCTGTATAACAATTGATTGCACGATATGACATTTGATTGGCCTGTTTGACAATTGATTGGCCTGTATGACAATTGATTGACCTGTATCACAATTGATTGGCCTGTATCACAATTGATTGCACCATATAACAATTGATTGGCCTGAATGACAATTGATTGGCCTGTATCACAATTGATTGGCCTGTATCACAATTGATTGGCCTGTATCACAATTGATTGGCCTGAATGACAATTGAGTGCACCATATGACAATTGGTTGGCCTATATGACCATTGATTGCACCATATGACATTTGATTGGCATGTATGACCATTGATTGGCCTGTATGACCATTGATTGCACCATATGACATTTGATTGGCCTGTATGACAATTAATTGCACCATATGCCATTTGATTGCAACATATGATCATTAATTGACCTGTATGACAATTGATTGCATCATATGACAATTGATTGGCCTGTATGACCATTGATTGGCCTGTATGACAATTGATTGCACCATATGACCATTGATTGGCCTGTATGACAATTAATTGCCCTGTATTACCATTGATTGCAGAGTTAAAGGAGAAGAGAAATACAGCACACTTCTGGGAAAACTTCTCAATATACTGAACATATATTCTGAGAAACCTACTCATGTCCAAGCTCAGGAGTGCATTGTGGTAAGCGAACACCTCCTCTAGTTAAAGTTCTTCTTAATTATATACAAGGCTTTCATTATACCACTGGTGAGGTTTAATCATCATGTGGGGTCATCTTGTTTTTGGAAGCCATTTCAGTAGAATCTTGTCTGCGATTCCAGGAAAACTGGAATAAGTTTTGTCTTGCCATTCTAGAATAAATAGTTTGATTCTGTTAAAAGATTACTTCATATTTACTGGGTGTGATTTTGTTCATGATGCAATGTTATAATTTGAAATTCACAAGGCATAAAGATTCATAGTTGAGCAAAATTTTTAATTTTTTCATTAAATATATCAAAAGATCTTATTCTTCTATATTGTTCTACCCTCTAATCAAAACTGACTTAAATATATTGATGTGATTTTAGTCCATTCTGCAGTCCATGTGTGACCCAGATGTCAGTCTTGTAACAGCATACAGTGGCAGGTCACTGCAGGAACAGGTGTGTAGACTAACCATCTCTTAGATAGTGTTGTGGAATTATGCGGCAAAAATGAATTTGGGGAACAACTGGCATTTTGGCACTCGAATACACTATTGAGTGTTTGATCCAATTTAACTCTACGATGTATAATTGACCCTTGATCAGTGGTCTTTGCTACTGTTATGGTCATGCCAGGCTTTCACGATTACACTACCATGGTCATGGCAGCATCCTTGCGCAACTCAAAAACACTTAATAACATGGTGACGGTTGTGCCAGGCACAAGTCTTGCACCAAATTGGGTCTCCATGGATGAGTCATCCACCTCGTTATAATGAACTTTATCAGACATAGGAACATAGCTTCATGTCGGAGTTGAACAAAATCAGCATTTTAATTTTTAGCAGATAAAGTTTTGAACTGTATTTAATGTTGATTATTTTCAAAATTTTTTAATTTCACTGCTCTTCCACCACATACTTTATCATGTAATATGTGCTCTCTTAATTTCAGCTCTCCAATGCTTTACCAACCCCCGATCAATTATCTTTGATAGTGCAGGCCCTAGTGGACCATATTGGACATAGGGACCATAGCTATGCTTCAATCCTGCCTGCCCTTAGAACAATGGTGGTGCTGACATTCCATGACTTTGGATTCTACTTTATTAGAAGGTAATGAGAAATAAAAATCAAAGTATGAATAAATTTGGAACTTTCCCTAAAAATTAGGAAACATCATTTCAACATTTGATATATAAATATTTTACCATTAAGTAGTTTTTAGGCTTATGTAGATACAACCTCGTTAATCAAATTATTTCCATCTATGTATTGTGCATGTTATGTACATATTAATGTGAAAATGTGAAAAATATTTCCCATTTCATAAATTATCGCTAGGAATTAAAATCATCAAAAGATTTACATAAAAATACACACAAATAGAGATGATACTCTCAGAGTGTGTTTCTCTATGTTTTACACTTATTTGACTTGTATAGATGGCAGTTCACAAGTGGGGTGTTGGTTAATTCCTGTTGTATAGGATAAGGTGAAGCTACATTTTATGCAACTTACGCACAGGTGTATACTCAGTTTTAGAGAAAAATTATATTTTGCAAATAGGAACTACTCTATAATGAATTAAAAGTTTAAATATTTATCTTAAGGCTATACTGGTTTCATGTTTATTTTTTTAGCAAGAAAAACAGAAATCATAGATTTCTTTTCTTGCTTCTATGTTTCAATTTTCACTCATCTGAACAAAGCCTGGATGACAAAAAAAAGCTCCTATGTTAAATGACGTCATATTTTGGAAGTTTGTTTTTGCTTATTGACTCTAGGAATATAATACGATCATGCGTGATGTCAAACATATATCACCTCGGTAACAACTTGAAATAAATAATCTAGCCCTTATTGATTTGTTTTAATTTGCACAGTTTATGACTTCATAGGCACGTTTCCTTACCGACACAGCAAAGCTTACAAACGTGTCATTTTGTTCACTGCCTTTGTACTATTATCTTCGGTGGTTTGATTAACAGTGATCAGTATGCATAATAAAACAAATGGGGTAATCAAAATCGACTGATGTCCCTGAATCATGAAATAAAATATCGGGAAACATCAGAAATATTTATTTACTCAATAATAGTACTCTGACTTAGTGCAGAATATGATATGTTTTTCAATGTTTTTATTTATTCAAAATATTCAGAGATATAGCTTAAGATAGTTTCCAATGATTTTTGCTGGATCTTGGACTTGAGGATTGGTGGAGGTCTTGATACCTCTAGGCTACTCCTCCTTTTTCCTTGCTATTTTTTTTTGTCACAGAATGAATTTACTTGTTGATTGGAAATTGTCAAGAACGCATATAAAACATAAAACATCCGGTGTCACATATGTTATCTACATCGATCAACAATCATGCATTTAGCAAATTATATCTGGAGGCTTTAATTATGTTGCTGTTTGCTGTCATATATCTGTCTATATTTCTATTTTGGCCCTAAGTAATTTCATGGACATCATGCATGGTTCTCAGGTGCATTGTCATTAAAACAGATTAAAACTTAATGGTCTTGTCTCACCAGAGGCTGTCAGAAAATAAATATGTTCACTGCTCAAGAAGGAATTTTCAAGATAGCCAATGATAATCAAAATATGTTTTGTTCGGTGGGATTTGCTACTCTGTGGAGTTGCTGTTTTTCTAGTTTTTCACATGAAAATCAAGGAGAATACGCATTAAGCACAGGCATGAAATAAACAAAGTAGAAATACAATAAATATATTTAGGCCAGTAAAGTTTTAATGATGATTAAATGAGCATTATTATGTTTCATTCATCTTTAATGATACTTTGGGATATTCAAAGCTTGTAATAATTAGTTAGTAAGGCATCTGGAAAGGTACAGAAACAGGAAGTGTAAAGTTAAATAATGAGCATTGAAATTTGAAACTGTTCGATCTAACTTTGTAAGTCTGCTATTTTGAGTTGTATTATATTACAAAGAACTCAAGTGAAATAAGCGTAACAGATGCTATGCCAATAACTGGCATCCTCCTAAGCAGTTGTCCAGAATCCGTACCTCCTTCTTTCCCCCTGCTATAACCAATTTGGAAGCGCCCGATTAAACTGAATCACGTGATCTAATTATGCGCATTGACTTATACATGATTTCTGTCGCAGTGTTGCGACAGCCAATCAAATTGCGAGTTCTTAATCGGGGAAATGCTAACTGCTTATCGCAGGGGGTAAAAAGAAAGAATAAATTCTGGATTTTGAAGCCCTGTGATCGGAGGATGAATACTGGTAACAAAAAATGACTCCTTTAACGATCTCAGTCTATTGTTTATTAGCTGTTACTTAATAAACCTGGACAGTAATGGTGTCTAAGAGTGTTAAAAAGAGTGTTTATATTTCATCTAAAGCAATTCTTTTCTAGTACTTTTCCAGGTTGTGATATTTTGCTGTGTTTGTGCCTTATTTTTATTTTTAATAAAACTATATGTTTGGCAGTTGGCTTCTGTAGCAAATGGCAGGTGGTGACATTTTGCATGTTAGTGCCCGATTTCGTATCTATTGTCATCACTAAAACTTGAAAACTGTTACTCAAAAGAAGTTAACAACAATGTATTTTTCAGCACATTGGAGAAAAACTACCTTGCCTGTTACAACCTTTTTACTCGGATCAACAACCAGTTTAGTAAGGACAGTTCTGACTGTTTATCAACACTGTCCACTGCCATAGAGTTTCTACGCATGCTGGTCCAGCTAGACCAACCAGATGATGAGGGGAATTCACTGCGGACCTATGCTATCACAGAATACGAGTTGAGACATGTTCTAAATTGGAAAGGAGACTTTCAGCCGCATCCTCTTGATGAACTTGAAGGTTTATTAACGGTATGAAAAATAAGTAATTTTAACTGGTAATTGATAAAAAAAATCATACCTCTCCCAGTAAGGATGAATACTAAACCAAAATCATCAAAAATAGCTTTAGTGGAGAAATAAGGTCATCCACATTGTAGGTTTATTGTTGGCACTAAGATTTCAAGATTCTATTATAGGATTGTTAAATTAAGTTTAAGTAATTTGCCAGATTTTCAATTAACTTTAATGTCCAAAAAAGATCACCCACATCATCTTCTTAGATCTTGTTCATCTTGTTCCTGATGAAAGGCATACATCATACATTAAATATAGGGAGGATGATAATTTTCCAGATCTTCCAAGTAGCATTACTGTATGATTAGAATTTTCAATTCTTAATGTTCCTATATCAATATTTTTCCTAATGCTCCATTTTGTGATTGTGTATCAATTAAACAAGCAGCTAATCATACTCCATACCTTCCAGGAATTCTCGAAAGATGAGGAAACTTTAGAGAGTTTATTAGAGAGCATATCTGAACTGGTTCACACTTTAAAGCACGCGAAGCACACAGGACGTACAGAACTGACGCCCATAAAGCTCCCAGAGCCTGAGGTATTGACCAATCAGTTTAAGTTACGAACTGAGTACGTCCTTGAAGAGGTGGAAGATGATCGCACGACGCCACAAATGTTGGGAAATATCGTAGCCGAGGAAAATGATCAAGATGTTGACTTGGTATGTATACTGTTTGTATTTTTTTTTTTTTTTGTAATTATTGTAATTATGTTGGTGTCTTGTGCTGATGGCCTCAATAAATATCACCAAGATGGCAAGAAAACTGGGCAATTCTGTTGGACATTAAACTTTTACATATGCTGAGTAGACAAGATCTGTTAGGAAACTGGGTAATTTACATACAAGATCTGTTTGGAGGAAACTGGGTAATTTACAGACAAGATCTATTTGGAGGAAACTGGGTAATTTACAGACAAGATCTGTTTGGAAAGTGGGTAATTCAGACAAGATCTGTTAGGAAACTGGGTAATTTACAGACAAGATCTGTTAGGAATCTGGGTAATTTACAGACAAGATCTGTTAGTAAACTGGGTAATTTACAAACAAGATCTGTTAGGAATCTGGGTAATTTACAGACAAGATCTCTTAGAAACTGTAATTTACAGACAAGATCTGTTAGGAATCTGGGTAATTTACAGACAAGATCTCTTAAGAAACTGTAATTTACAGACAAGATCTGTTAGGAAACTGGGTAATTTGCATGATGACCATTTAGCTCTTTGATATGATATATATCACTGTGTTATTAGTGGCAATTAGCTCTCTTTTTTTCAAGCTGAATATGCTAACACGGGGTTCTCCACAGATTTTTCTTTCAGGTGGGTGCAAAATTCGCATTTTCACAATGCAGACCAAAATTGGTCAACCTGTGTCTAATTTCATGATTTTTTCTCTTCAAGCAGACCCAAAATGGATTTTCAGGTGGGTGCAAGCCTGTTTAAGAATCTCGGATGGGTGCTGCGCCTACTTGCTTTAATGCTGGTAGATCACTGTAATCAACTATGCAACTCAGACACTTGCAATAGGAATGTTAAAACGCACTTGCATTGTAATGATAAAAATGTTTAAAAATATTAACCCCCCCCCCATTTATTTGAATTTCACTTGGAAATCAACATTTTTCAAAACATCCCTCCCTATAGAATTAACTTATTTTTTCCACACCTGATGGCATACCATCCTTGAGCATTCTGCAATCCCATGGTAATAATAAGGGAATGTGGAAGTGTAGCATTTCTCATTAATATTTCTCTTGTGGGATGCCTAATTTGTATATACCAGAAAACAACACATTGTTGAACTGTAACTGGTTATTGCAACTGAGGGCCAAGGCCATCCAATAAAAATGCAATATTATAATGTAATACAGGATGTATCGAAAACCACGGTAACCATTCTAATGGAAAAATAATACATTATTGTAAAAAATCTTTAGTTTTTCTGAAATAAAGTGTGCACTTTGGGATTTTATTTTAAAAATTGACATCAAAAGGAATGACATAAGCCAGAAACATCCTAAAATTGAAACAATTTTTTGTTTGGCTGCTCCCTAGATCTGATTCTCTCTTTAAATGATCATAAAACATAGTTACAGCATAGAGAGAAGTATCAACTGGAAAGATGATGTCATTGTCTCCAATGTTCCAAGTTCAAAGGTCATGAGTCAAAGGTCAGAGGTCATGACCATATGAACTAACATGCATGCACAAAAATATGGCGGGCGATTAGCCAGCCATTTTGTAAACAAGCTCAGAAAAGATAATTGCATTGTCGATTACTGGAAAAATCAACACCAGTTATTTGGTTGCTGTCAAGTACGATGTCGTTAACCTAAGGACATAGAACTTTATGGGGGCATGACGAGCGAAATGAATATTGCCATAAATAAGTAACAAGCCAATAACACTCAAGCCATGCTACAAACCAATAACTACACAGTTGTTTCCCCATGATATGGACCCTAATTAGTTTCGTATAATAAAATTGTACATGTCAATCACAACCTAATTAAGACATGATAATGAATAATATCTCTAGGAGGAAATCTTCCACTCCAAGAATTGTGTTTGCTGAAAGATGCGGCGATAACTTATACAGTCTTTAATTTGTTTTTATTTTTTATTATTATTTCTTATACAGTAGTTCAAGGAGTAATAGCTAATTTCATTCTAAACCCTTTATTCTTTTTCATCCTTCATTCAGATTATCGCAATAGAAGTATTATACTCTAATTGTCCTGAAAACAATGTTGAGATATATTAAAAAATAGTGGAATCTAAAACAACTCAAAAACAGGTTTAGCGGAGCAAAAAAAGCACTAGATACTGTATAAGTGGTGATTTTGCATCCCTTGATTATTTAATTACTCAGATGCGAGTAGGTAGTTACCAGTTTCGCCACCAGGTGGCTGATTCGGGGGAATTAACATGGCAGGGTATTACAAAATTCCCTTAAACTTGAATATGCATCAGTTTTAGTGGTTCACTTTTCATATTACCTTTATGTATCTGATAGTTATACAAATTAAAATATGTCCAGTAAAAGAAAATATTATCTGCCCAACACAAGAAAATATATTTCACTTTTTGTGGTTTTACAACATGGGGTCTATGGGGAATCTCCCCGACCTAGAAGTCACAGTTTCAAAGAAAATTAAATTTTCAAAGTTGATAAACTCTTTTCAAAACCACATTACTAAATGTAATTTTACATGTAGATTCCAAATATGACATCAGTTTGACTGAATTGTGAATTTCTAATGACGTAAATCAAGATTATTTCTACTCGCATCTGGGATATTTGACCATTGCCTTATTTTTGTCACGTTCAAAAATTAAAAGTTGGAAAATCCAGAATATATTCTTTCTTTTCACCCCCTGCTATAAGCAGTTAGCATTTCCCCGATTAAGAACTGGCAATCTGATTGACTGTCGCAACACTGCGACAGAAATCATGTATAAAAGTCATTGCGCATAATTAGATCACATGATTCAGTTTAATCGGGCGCTTCCAAATTGGTTATAGCAGGGGGAAGAAGGAGGTACGGATTCTGGATACCTGCTTAGGAGGATGGAAAATTATCTTCATATTGTTATCCAATGTGAAGAATTCTTGTCATTGGGATAATTAAAATTGCGAAAATTGTCGAATGTGATCATTCGAAAAATTAACTACTCGGATTAAATACCACTTTTACAGCGTTGTGGACAATAGTTCTTGTACCTATTTATGGTATTCGGCAAATTAAGCACTCGGATTAAATACCACTTTACAGCGTTGTGGACAATAGTTCTTGTACCTATTTATGGTATTCGGCAAATTAAGCACTCGGATTAAATACCACTTTACAGCGTTGTGGACAATAGTTCTTGTACCTATTTATGGTATTCGGCAAATTAAGCACTCTGATTAAATACCACTTTACAGTTTTGCGGACAATAGTTCTTGTACCTATTTATGGTATTCGGTAAATTAAGCAGTCGGATTAAATACCACTTTACAGTTTTGCGGACAATAGTTCTTGTACCTATTTATGGTATTCGGCAAATTAAGCACTCGGATTAAATACCACTTTACAGCGTTGTGGACAATAGTTCTTGTACCTATTTATGGTATTCGGCAAATTAAGCACTCGGATTAAATACCACTTTACAGCGTTGTGGACAATAGTTCTTGTACCTATTTATGGTATTCGGCAAATTAAGCACTCGGATTAAATACCACTTTACAGCATTGTGGACAATAGTTCTTGTACCTATTTATGGTATTCGGCAAATTAAGCACTCTGATTAAATACCACTTTACAGTTTTGCGGACAATAGTTCTTGTACCTATTTATGGTATTCGGTAAATTAAGCAGTCGGATTAAATACCACTTTACAGTTTTGCGGACAATAGTTCTTGTACCTATTTATGGTATTCGGCAAATTAAGCACTCGGATTAAATACCACTTTACAGCGTTGTGGACAATAGTTCTTGTACCTATTTATGGTATTCGGCAAATTAAGCACTCGGATTAAATACCACTTTACAGCGTTGTGGACAATAGTTCTTGTACCTATTTATGGTATATGATTTATTTATTGACAAGTGTATCAAAATACGTAATATGAGGTTATATAATGGTTGATTCTGTATATCGTGTTTATACTCAAGTGAGTATATGATATATTCACGAGTGACTGAAGGGAATGAGTGAATATATCATATACTCACGAGAGTATAACGATATACAGAATCAACCATTATATGATCTTATTATCCCAACCTAATCTTTAATAAATAAAAGGTTAATCTAAATTCAGCAGTTGTACATGTTGTATATCAAATTGAAGAGTTGTATATGCTGCCCAGGAGTTGTATACGCTATCCAGTAGTTGTATATCGTTCTCAAGAGTTATATACATGAGTGTTGGTTTTATATTACAGTTATACAATGCTATTATACAATCATATAAAGCACTGAGGGTGGGATAAGTCTACATACAGACTAATGCATCAAAATTAATTAGAGAATTACTTAGAGACTGGGCCTTATAACATTCTAGTTTGTTGCACTAACACTTTTTAATTAGACTGAAAAGTTCATCAGTGAAACTGTACCACTTCTTACATGATCTACCACATGTACCACAAAAGTCATTAGACAAAGGATGCGTGTTTAATCTTATGTCATATCAACTGTCACATAATACTTAGTTGATTACATGCGCAAGTCACAACCTCCAAAAGGTTGTCATGAAGACATTATTTTAAGATGTATATATTAAATTGTTTTCTTGTTTAATGCGTTTAATATCACAGTCTGTCTGATGGCAAAAAGTTGTAGAAATAAATGCAGCTCTAAAATATAAGCCCATCAATGATATATCTGTCCCAGAATTTTTGAGAACTACCCCCCCCCCAAAAAAAAATCTGGCTGGAGGGCTGGTGCCTAATCCTGTACTTAAGTTTTCAATTCACCACAAAAGACCTTTTGTTAAACATGCACACACTTATCAACTTGAAAATTAGAAACGAATTGTTTCAAATTCCGTTTTTCAAGCTATAGGTAAAAGCAATCTGTTTTTTCAAGTTTGTATTTTTCTTAAAAGATAAAAGACAGCATGCTACCCTCTTTCTGAAATAATGTAACAAATATCCTATTTTATCGTATGATATGTAAAATGAAGCCTTCTCATTGGTCAGTTCTTGTACTTTACCAAGCTGTATTGCTATTGAGATTGTCCCCGTTGATCATCACCATCGCAATACAGAAAATATTGGTATGGAGGAGACATTCTCAGTAGCAATACAGAGGATCACACGATAAAAACGTTATAGAATTTATTGTATGATCTGTAAAATGAAGTCTTCTGATTGGTCAGTTCTTGTACTGTACCAAGCTGTATTGCTATTGAGATTGTCCCCATTGATCATCTCCTTCGCAATACAGAAAATATTTGTACGGAGGAGACATTCTCAGTAGCAATACAGAGGATCACACGATAAAAACGTTATAGAATTTATCGTATGATCTGTAAAATGAAGCCCTCTGATTGGTCAGTTCTTGTGCTGTACCAATCTGTATTGCTACTGAGATTGTCCCCATTAATCATCTCCATCACAATACAAAAAATATTGGTACAGAGGGGACATTATCAGTAGCAATACAGAGGATCACACGATAAAAACGTTATAGAATGATTTGAAGTGCAATACAGGATATTCTGCTCTCGATATTCTGCACTGGGTCTTCGTCTCATTCCAATACAGAATTTCTCGGAATGTATCCTGTATTGCACTACAAATCATTCCATAACTTACAATATTGTCAGGATGAACATATATTTCACTTAATGAGTTAAATATTTCTGATAGCCTGAGGTGACATTACAATGTGATAATAATGATATATTCACACAAAGACAGAAACTGGTCACTATAGTAACACCCAATTATTTATTAGATCCATCATGTTTTAGTTGTATTTTCTCTAAGTCAATTTCAAAGTATTAGTAGTGGTTGACCATTTTTGGGAGAAGGGGTCATTAACAGAAACTTGGCAAAAAGGTGTATTAATGTTGAAGTGATCAAAGTATTAGTAGTAATGATCATTTTTGGGGGAAGGGGTCATTAACAGAAACTTGGCATGCAGGTGTAATAATGTTGTAGTGTATGGCATTATTTTTGCTTCTTTATTCATTAAATTCAAATACATTTGACATATGGAATATTTATATTTTCTGAATCAATTTTCCATCTGGTAAAAACATTTATATATTTGTTACAACAAATTAAATTTTCAAAATTAGGAGTCATTACGGGCAAAAAGGAGCACCATAATCGTACGGGCTCTTACGAAGCTCGTTTTCAAGGCCCGTGCGAGCTTGTACGCTGCTCGTAATTGTTGTTTTCGAGCATGATTCTACATGATCCTTGATCTATCCAGAACATGCTGTGTATGTTTAATCAACTCAGATTGATGTTTCTATTCACACATCCAATAACAATAACATTTATTTACATCACATTTCAACTTATTTCAATACCGCACGCAAATGTTTTTATATGCATTTAGTTCACTTGTAGAGAAATATGGTGTCTCATATTCAAGTACGGAGATCCAAAATTACGATTCATTACGGGGCTCGTTACGGGTACCGTACGGTCAAGTACGGGGGTTGAAAATTACGAGCTATTAAGTATTGCTACTGAGATTGTCCCCATTAATCATCTCCGTCGCAGAAAATATTAGTACGGAGGGGACATTCTCAGTAGCAACACAGAGGATTTGAAGTGCAATATAGGATATAATCTGCTCTCTATATTCTATATTGGAACTCGACTTCATCTCGGATCAATACAGAATTTCTTGAGCAGAATGTATCCTGTATTGTACTTCAAATCATTCAATAACTTATAGTATTGTCAGGATGAACATATCCATCATGTTTTACTTGTATATTCTCAAAGTCAATTTCAAAGTATAAGTAGTAATCGACCATTTTTGGGGAAGGGATCATTAACAGAAACTTGGCAAACAGGTGCAATAATGTTGTAGTGATGATCAGAGTGATCAAAGTATAAGTAGTAATCGACCATTTTTGGGGGAAGGGGTCATTAACAGAAACTTGGCAAACAGGTGTAATAATGATGTAGTGATTTTTCACGATGTCTCTATAGCAGAACTTGATAAACAGATATAATGATGTTGTTATCTTTTTATTTGCTAAGTTTCTGTCAAAGAACTTTGTAAATAGATATAATGAATTATAGTGAGAGAAAAATTAAGGCTAAGGCTTAAGGCTATATCAAAGGATCATCTCATGCCCAATATTTTAGAGAATTAAAAGCAAGCTATTGGAAAGGTTATATATGAAGTTGAAAGCTCTTTCAATGATTGAAAACCCCTGCAAATACAGTAAAACCTGCGTACAGCAAACATGTATGCAGTCACAAAAATGTATTCATTGGAGGTAGGTATTCATTCCAGGGAGGGTAATTTATACAGAAGTCAGTACTGTATGTGCGAAAGATGGGTCTCTACTAGAGACATGTGTTCACTTAAGAGAGGTGTTCACTTAGCAGTTTTAGTGTAGCTACTAAAATAAATCACTTAGCTGTGTTTCACTATACATATGCGTGTCATACATTTCTGTAGCATTACTTTGACTCTCAGCACTTGCACTTGTTATATTTGTGTCAATATCAACTTGTGTCATCGTACAGGTTGAAGGAGAGTCATGCTGTATGGCATATGCGTCGCATATTTTTTGTAACCTATGAACGATGTTCTCTTCATTGTCAGCTGCAAAAGTATCATTTCTGATCACAGCATCACGATTTATTGTGACATCAATATTTGATATAGTAACACCATTGCTTGTTGTAGCAACACCATTGCTTGTTGTAGCAACACCATTGTTTATTATGTCATCGTCCGTTTTGTGAATTGTTGCTTCATCCTCTAACTCTATACACACTAAGTCGGGGTGTCGTCTCACCAAACATGGACATCTCCTTAGTGTGTGTCGAATAGCATGCGTTATTTCTTGATGTCTCCAAGCAAAAATGAAAGGATTGATAAACGAATTACCTATTAAGATATAACTAGCTACCTGAGGCAGGACTACACTCCATGTGTTTAGCGATCGTCCTTGTGAATCATTTTGCGCAAGGGAGAATATGATGAAGTACTGCAACCAACAAAGCACACATATGAAGTCAATCACAAATATTGTTTTTGTAAGTTTCCGATCAAGAGATTCACGTGTCAATGAAGATCTCTGATTTTCATGTAAGTTTTTGTTTTCCCCCAAACTACACATAGTTCTATTTTCATCCAATTTAAATCTACTTTCGTCATTGAATTCACCGTGACATTTTTGTCCTTTCACTTGTTCAATTGTTGTAATATTTGAGCAACATGCTTGTCCTTTCTCCTCTTCAATTGTTATAATATCTGAGCAACGTGGCTGTCCTTTCCTTTGTTCAATTAATGTAATATTTGAGTAACATGCTTGTCCTTTCTCTTGTTCAATTGTTGTAATATCTGAGCATTGTGGCTGTCCTTTCTTTTGTCCAGTTGTTGTAATATTTGAGCAACATGCTTGTCCTTTCTTTTGTTCAATTGTTGTAGTATTTGAGCAACATGCTTGTCCTTTATCATGTTCCATTGTTGCAATATTTGAGCAACATGCTTGTCCTTCCTCTTCTTCAATTGTTCTAATATTTGAGCAACACGCTTGTCCTTTCTCTTGTTCAATGGTTTTATTATTTTGGCAATATTCTTGTCCTTTCTCTTGCTCCATTTGTAAAATATTGTCAATTTCCTTATTGTTTTCATTCACACCAAAGCCTTTATTTGTTGCTGGTATCGAAGATGAATTTTCAGAAAACAGCACATGAATCTTCCTTTTAGATCTATGTATATACACCAGAACTTTAATCAGTAAGCTACAGTTCAGGAAGATCAATATTCCGACATTTGCTTGTAAGAGGATCCTGAATGGTTTTGTGGTCACCAATTTAAGCCTGCAGGGTTGTTTTGGTACCCAGGTATATCCTCCCAAAGTCATTGGAATAAAGATCACTGATATGCCATATACCCAAATGACTGTGATATAAATCAGCGTGTTTCTCCTAGAAAAGATTTTTTGGTACAATTCTGCTAGTATTGTTCTTATAAGGCGCTCAATGATGATTAGATTCAAACTAAGTAAGGATATTAAACATGAAACAACAATAATTGACAGTCGCAAAAAACACAGTATCTTATTTATGTCACCGGGTGGCGTTAGCATCATATAATCCAAATAGTTGCTCAATGGGCGAAATGTCGCACTGGTACATCCAACAACGAAGTCCACAACTGCTAGGTTTACAATTAGCATATTTGTTATGGTTCTTAAACTGCGATGCTTGAAATATACGAGAAACACTAAGCCATTGCTCATGCAAATAAAAATCCCCATGACTACATCTATGGTCACCATAGTGATGGAGGCAGTCTTGGAATAAGGACGTTCTGTTGTATTGTCATAGTTACTCATGCTTGCTATGTTCAGTTGTTCCCCACTTGTGTAATACTTTGTTATAGAGACTTGCAGCGCTTGCTCTTTTTGTACTTTGTAATTTAATAACACGTTTCTTGATTATCTTATTCTCATCTTAATTCTAGTTTTTTTTCTATTTTTCTAGTGATTGGCCAATCCAAATGTAAATAATGTTCTTGATTAGTTTTATGGTAAAGGCTCACAAAGAAAAGAACTACAGTGTGCATTGGTATAGCATTGACGTTATAGTCTTGTGAAAATGATTTTGATTGCATGCTTATATATACTGTAGTTCATTGCTTACTATCATATAGAGGCTGTGTTATATATGAGGTAATATAGTATACAAGGGCCGATCAAAAAGTTTCTTACTGTTGGCTCTAGATTTTATAAGAGGAGTTGGATGCTTTAAAACTTTAACATAAGACAGGATAGTTAGTTTGCTTGAATTACTGTACGAGTTTCATATAAATTGGTTTATTGATAGTGACACAGAGTCAATACATATTTTCAATGACTAAGTTAGGTGGAACAGCGTTATATAAAATATCTACTGAGTTGTAGTTCTGGAAATTTACCGACATCGTTTACAACCTCTCATACGAAGGCCTTAAACATGTGTTTTAGGATTGGGTGGACAGATAAAGGAAGTGCATTGACACTGGGGTTGAAAGTTTAAGCATACAAACTCTCTTATCATAAAATCTAGAGCCAAAAAGTTTTTCATCATATAGATTTTCATATCAACATTTCAAAAAGCCACCAAGAACTTTTTTGTTGATCTACTTTTTGGACACTGGTATCTCAAAAATGGGCCTAAATATTTTCTGATGCTAAAAAGCTAACACATTTAATGTACTTTTTGCTTTCTGTATACTTAATTTCAAAGAAAACTTTTAATGTTTTGTATCAGGATTGCCAACATTTATAAAGAAAAACAGATTTGACCTAGATTTTGACCTTGGCATTTGACTGTTCTTATTTTTTACATTAAAAGTTAGCTTTAGAGGGACTCTTCCATTGAAGACTATCATTAATTTTATTTGTATGTTGTATGATGGTTTTCTATTAATTTTTTTAGCGCCATTGACTTAACATGGAGATGTCATATCGATTTTCGAGAATTCAAAATGTCATAGAATCTTAATCGGAAGTCAGATTTCAATTCTGATTGCAGATTTAGAAACCTGAAAATTTTTTCAAAATTTTGAATTTGGAGAACTTTTTTGTTGACCTACTTTCGGGATACCATATCCCAAAATCGGTAAAAGTGTAGCCAGCAAGTGGCTTGTATATTTCCCGAAATAGATTTAGTCAAGTAACAGCCTTGGCAGAGCGTACACTGCTCTGGGAAAGCTACTTTTATATTCACATATTCACTGTTATGGAAACCTTTATAGATTAATAGAGAACGTTTGGAAACTTAAAAGTAACATTTTTTGTTTAATTAACTTGGAAGGTAATACTCTAGTCGGTAACACAGAATAATCAAGAAACGGTTGGGACATTTATGATAGGGCTGTTTCTTAGCTACATAAGTGAGAAAAGATCAATTATTTCAGGATGAATAACGACAAAGATAATTGACAGAATGTTGAAAATGTAAGGTTTGACCTAGTTCCTGACCTTTGACCTGGATAAAAATTTGACCTCATTTTCCGTCATTCCAGAAACATTTTCTAACTCACCATGTAAGCTGCTTAAAGTAACCTCTTCTAATTGGCAAGAAAATTGGGAGGAAGAAAGAAACGATGAAATAAAGAAAACTGTCAAAAGCAAGAGAACTGGAGTGTAATTACATTTGTCTTAATAAAAGGCTTCATGATTCTCAATCACATTTTTAAGAAAGATTCACAGGATGAGTTCACTTTGATGAAAACACATTGTAGATCCGTTATATTTATTAGATATTCCATGGTAGAAAATAATGTGATGTAAAAGAGCTTATAAAATATTAATCACAAATTCACATGCAAGATGTGAGGAAGGTATTAACTTCGATTAAGACACCATACTGATGTGTCATATTCGATGTGGAAAACTCATGTGATACAAAAGATGTTAACGGAAGAATTAATTATGAACTCAATAGTGAGGATAATCATTATAATTAATTCACCCTATAATATTAGTAGTATATGATTTCTTAACAACTAGTCAATTGAAGATAGTCCTTGATCTTGAAAGCAACACTCACAATATTATCATACCATATTATTATCAAACCAAATGAAGTTGAGGAGGGACTTACATGTAAAAAAGCAATCCATCCATCTGTTTGTCCATTAATTCATTCATCCATATGTCGGTTTGTATGATTTAGTTCAAATTGTATATCCTAATGCTATAGGAAAAAAGGACTCTGCTCAAGAACAAATTTTCAAGTTGGCCACCATTCATGCAAAATGTATACTTTTTGGTAACTCGAATGCAGGGTTTTCAGATTTGGTCCAATTCTATAGGCTAATGTCTCGAGGGAATACAACCTTGGGAGGTGTTCCACTTACAGATGTTCCTTTTAGTTTCATGGTAGATTTTAAAAGTGTTGTACTTATGGAGGTGTTCCACTTTCCAGGTTTTCTGTATTGTATCTTGGCAGTGCTGAAACTCAAATTGGAGATTATACTAACTGAATGGGAATAATTCATTGTAAATCTCCATTGCATAAGTCTCATACTATGGTGTAAATTATAATATATCATTAGTTAACACCCTCATCCATTTTATAGTTAGTATCATCCTGCTGTAAATCAATTATGGAGAAAATCTGTCCGCTAATATTTAAGATAATGGACAGTGACAGTTAAGTTATAGGTCTTTTAGGTTTAAAGGTTTATGTTATCATATAAGTCAATTCCTATTTAACATTCACAACTAGGGCCGAGGCAATGCATTATTGGCCCTGTTAATTAGATACTAACATATTTAGAAAGTACAAGTTGCAAAGAAAACTTAAGGGTCGACTTAGACATGCAGAGCAGACATACTACTTGGTCAAAGTTGAAACAATTGACTGGAGAAAGCCTGCAGTCATTTCAACAATTTTCTGATTTGTCAGACATGATAAAGAGGATTCGCCATACAACATTAAATTCACCTTATCTTGCTGTCTGAGTTGACCAATTAAAGTCAAATCGAGGGTCAGCAGTTCCCCAAGTTCCTCCGAAAACAAGTTCCATTGTTTAATGAATAGAGGGCAGTGTAATAACAGTTGTATTGTGAATAGGTCTTCATTATACACCAATACCCTAATAAACTTCGTTGATTGGGATGTTAAGACAATGATTAAATATTATATCCACATTTCTTATGTTCCTGATTAGTCTTTGAAAACTGAGCAATGTCACGTCAAAGGTGATACCATAAATGTTTTACCTATTGTATCCATGACAACCGTTCGTGCTTCAGGAAAGAAATAATGCCTTGCTGTTTTAATCAAATATCCGTTAGTTATCAGTCACTAATTGCTAGTTTTCTACATGTTGTTTTTACGCAAAAATAATCACATGACTGATATTTTTATCATTCTCTTATAATGTAACAATTCTTAAAATGTAATTTTCAGATTCGATGTGATCTCCAAGAAATGGCGATAAAGTATTGTCCAGAGTTTGATCTAAAAGCAGAGCTTGAGAAGGGAACAATTACTGGCGATATAACTGTTAAAATCAAGAAGAAAAGGTAAAATAAAAATTGCATATGCATATGGATTCAATTTATTGTTTAAATACAGGGTGATGCAGAAAGATTCAGATCCTATCTCTAAATGGAAAATTATTTCTTTATCTTAATTTCATTGTGTCTGTAGAAGAATACCATTGTTTTATCAACTGAATACTAAACTGTATAAAAACAAGAAAATATACGAGAATTCAACAGTTATTTAAAAATAGGAAGGCTACATTTTTGGGATCACCCTGTATATTCATCAGTTTAAGCAAATGTTTTGTCATATGTATTCAACATATTTAGGGAAAGATTTAGTGTAACTTATATCCTTTCAAATGTCCATTTTGCTTACATGGTTTTGCTTTCATTTTTTCAAAAGGACCGCGAGTTGTTTGAAAAATGAATCGAGGGAGTTTTTTCATGCATTTTGCTTATGTTTTTCATCTAAAAAAACAATACACTGTAAAACATTTTATTGACTATAAGATTGCTCCATATAATTCCCAAAAAGAGTTCTCATTTTCAAGGATTATCATATTCTTGATTGCATTGTCCATTTTTGAACAAAAAAAGTTCCCGATGTTGATTAAACAACATCTACATACCCATAATTCCTCTAATCACCTGTATGAAATATAACACAATGTCATTTAGCTCAAGTAATAAAAAGGACTTTATTTTTGATTATCGTGTAATATGGAATGTGTAGAGTGATATGGGGTTAATGACTTTGGCTTTTATTATGATCACAAGCTATTCTTGGGCCTGTTTTGAGAAAACTGCAGATTGGGATTTAGTATATATTTCATATCTTTCATGCTGTACCGTAATCACTCTAATAAATGCACAGCGTGTCTTCCAAATTCTCCTGGTGGAGGAGGTGTCTCAAATTGCAAAATAGCTGGAAATACTCATTATTTTAAAGTATCAAGAACATACTTATAGTTTTAAAGATTCTGGAGACACCTCTGTAACAGTATTCCACAGAAATAGCTCCGTTGATTGCGGTTAGTGAAGTATTCAATTATTTTTGTTACTCAAGTTGCAAGAATCACATGGAAAAGTAGAGAGTGCATATTTATTGGAATATGTGCATCTATTTGATAGAATACAGTAATATCATCGCTCTTGTTATTCATAGCTCATTTTCAAAATTGCATATCCTTTTCTAATTACCAATTTTGCCTTCTACCTCAATATCTTATCCTTGAACTCAATACACACTACTACATAGAAGTGATTTTCCCAGTATTGGATCCCCAACATAATAATTTTGTTGATTAATCCGTCACGCCCCTTTTTTATTGTTCCTTGGATAATATCTTCTGAGGTGTACAATTATTGAAATGGCTTGCTTACTGAAAGCACATGTATAATATTATATCGCAAAACTTCATTTTTCTGTTTTTAGAAAATATGGCCCAGGGAGAGAGTCTTTGATTATTGGTCGGAACAGAGGAGGCCGATTTAGTAAGTATTCAAATCAGTTCAATTCAATTCAATTTATCAAGGACCAGTATACACACTACTATACCCCCATACTGTATCCTGTATTCCTTCAAAAGAAATACAGGCTACAGTGAAGTTGCAAATGGAGGACGTTTGTTTATTTCCATAGTTCTGAAGATTTTACATATATTTTTAAGTGTTCTACTATACATTGTATAGATTCATTGAGCAATTTACAATGTATTATTACCAGAAAAGCACAATGGACAAAGATAAGAGAATACCTGCTCCATTTGCAACTTAACTGTACCCTGTATCCTTTTTAAATGTGATCACGTGATAGGGTAGTGTGATATGATGAAAAGGCGTTTCTTTTGATAGATATTTTAAAAGCTGAACCTGATATACAATGTTATAGGGATGACATAATTCCATGCAATGAAACAACTGAACTATCAATGTAACCACCTGAAATATATTATTACCCATACCAAAATATTATGGTATCCTATCTTAGATTTTGTGAAATAGAAAAGGTGTATGGGACATGTCATTCTGTAACTTTAAACGTATCCTGTCACTCAATTGTGAAAATACAATGAAGTCCATGCATTTTAATGTTTTTATCCCATCGAACGAAGTTCGGAGGGATATAGGGAACGCCTCCGTCTGTCCGTCCGTACGTCCGTCCGTCCGTCCGTCCGTCCGGGCAATAACTCAAATACCGTTGGCCCAATTTTGTTCATATTTTGTACACATATACCCTATGGGGGTAGAAGTTCTGCTCGAAAGCTGATTTTCAAAATGGCCACTCATTTCAAAATGGCGGCCATTTTAGTGCCGAATTTACAGTAATTTAGGTGCAATATGTAAAACTGTAATAGCAATATGTTTTAGATGTAAAAAAATTATATACGACATTAATAAATCTAGAAATGTATATATTAAAGAAGCACATGGCAGCCATCTTGAAAAATGGCGGTCTTTACTCGTTATTTTACGATTTTTGCTGTAACTCGAAAAGTAGTGGAGTGATTTTGTTCATATTTGGTATGTGAATACTATAAACATTGCACACTGTCTAAAGACACTTTTAGTAGAAGGCGGCCATTTTGAAAAATGGACGCCATTTTTCAAAATGGCCGCCATTTTAACGTATTTTACTATAACTCGAAAAGTAGTGGAGCGATTTTGTTCATATTTGGTATGTGTATACTTTAAGCATGACACACTGTCCTATGACACTTTTGGTAGAAGGCGACCATTTTGAAAAAAAATGTGAAAAATGGCCGCCATTTTAACAAATTTTACTATAACTCAAAAAGTAGTGAAGCGATTTTGTTCATATTTGGTATGTGAATACTGTAAGCATGGCACACTGTCTAATGACACTTTTGGTAGAAGGCGGTCATTTTTCAAAATGGCCACCATTTTAACGTATTTTACTATTACTCGAAAAGTAGTGGAGCGATTTTGTTTATATTTGGTATGTGAATACTTTAAGCACGACACACTGTCTAATGGCACTTTTGGTAGAAGGTGGCCATTTTGATTTTAACGTATTTTACTATAACTTGAAAAGTAATGGAGCGATTTTGTTTATATTTGGTATGTGAATACCATAAGCATGGCACATGGTCTAATAGCACTTTTGGTAGAAGGTGGCCATTTTGAAAAATGGCTGCCATTTTTGCTATATCCTTTGTTTCCAAAAATGCCCTCCATGGCTGTTCGATGGGATTCGCTACGCTTTGGCGTTGCCGTTGTTCTGGTTTCAAAATTTTTTTATCATATTATTCTTTTTTGTGAATTCATGTATAAAATGAATAAAATACAATTTTAGTTGCTCCTATGCGAGGACGTGGATTTGGTCGTGGCTCCACCTATAATAGAGGAGATGCATTTAGGTCCCGTGCTCCCAACACAAGTAGGCCACCATCCATGCACGTTGATGATTTCCAGCAGGCACAAGCGGATGAAACTAACAACACGGAACGCACCCCTCAACCAGCACGCAGACCTGAGAGGGTAGGTTTTCAGAAGGTAGAAATCTTCTATTTAATTAGAAAAACATGTCAATGCATAACTTACCAAAATAACATTCTACATGTAATTGAGGACCATAAAGATTGTTGATCTATCATCCACTATGATTTTCTTTGTAGTTTTGTTTTCAATAAATATAGCTTTGTAGTCTGGAAAAGATGATATTGGAAGTGAATCTCAATGTCATTTATAGTGACCTTCTTGCTTTTCATTCCAGGATTTCAATGACAGGGGGCGTGGCAGTAATTTTGACAGAGGAGGGCGGGGTAATTTCTCCAACAGAGGTCGCTTCTTTAGTCCTCCTGGGAATTATGGTCGCAATCGGGATGACAACAACACACGTGGAGGATTCCGTGGCGGTGGAAATAATAGCTCAAGAGGGGGAGGAGGAGGTGGGTTCAGTAATCGTGGATCTTCAAGAGGTGGGGGAACATTTAGTGATCGGGGACGTGGGTTCAGTTCTCGTGGGGGTAGTGGATTCAGTAATAGTTCCCGCGGTGGGAGTAGCAATGGTGGCTTGAACAGCAGTCGAGGCAGTCCCTGGCGGTCCAATTCCAAGACATCCTTCACACCAAGTCCTACTAGAGGCGGCTTCTCACATTCAAAGTAAGTTTCCATTTGCGGTCATATTAGCCAGCATTCAAAGGGGATAGTTGAATATAGATAAATGTTGAATTACCATTTTATTTTGATCACAGACTCATGTTGCAATAGAGCACTTGCAATGTAGATGGAAATATAGATGGCGACAGTAGTGTTCGTTCAGGCTACATACCATGATTTTAATGGAGAAACCTTCACTTCTTAATGCACCAAATATTTCCTTGCTACTAGATCTTGTTGTCAAGATTTTGATTTAACTTTGCAGTGGTGTTCCTTAAAAGAGTAAATGAACTAACGTTATTTAACATTGTCAATTGAAGAACCGCCAAACAATTCTCAAAAAGAAAGGTTGGAGGAATTAGTACATGTATAATAAAAGTATACCGAGTTTGATTAATTAATTCTTGTTTCAGTACGTCATACAATAATACACGAGACAACAATCGTGGTGGGCGAAGTAGCTTTGGCGATAATCGACGTCAAAGTTTTGGTGACAATAGGCGAGACACAGGAGGCTTGCAGAGTCCACCAGGAGGGGGCAGTGGGGGAGGAAGAGGTGGAGGTGGGAGAGGAAGAGGTGGTAGTCATTGGATGGGAAAGGATCCAGATCAAAGGTAAAATTCATAGGTTCTGGGCCGATATAAAGATGGCAGCATCAACAGAATCCAGTATTATCTTTAAAACACAGATCGATTACCATGCCATCTTTATTTAAAAATTATTTCTATCGCCCTTAGCCTATGGTAAAAATGTCTGTTATTTTAATTCAAGAACCAATTGATATTCAAGATCGTTAATGTAAATTACAACTGACTGTGACACTTATATGGTAATGGTTCTTGTCACAGATGAATGGCTTCAGGAGTACCGAGATAAGGCGATTTCAAAAAAGATATCTCTATAATCTAAATGTTTTTTATTGATTTATAAAACCTTGAAATGTGAACACCTGCAAATCTGAACATTTTTGGCTGGGTCACAAAGATTTTAAGATAAGACAGGTTTTGCTGTATATTAATGTTTGTTTTGTTTTTCAGGTTTATGCCACCCCCATCCAGGGGAGGGTTCAGAGGTGGGGGAGGGGGACGCGGTGATGGAGGGAGGAAAGATTACAGACATGAACGATCTTATACCAGATAACAGTGAACACCTGCATCTAGACACCTACCTATGTGCGCCTGCATCTAAACACCCACCTATGTGCGCCTGTCCTGCATCTATACTTGTACTACTCAGATTCAGATCAAGAGTTTTCATTTTAAAATGTACAATCAAACAAGCAGTGGATAATGTATCTAAACATGAACATGAAGGACCTTATACTACAAAAACACTCAGCATAGATAATTTAGGTATCAACTACAGTGAAACCTATATATCAGAACACCTCTCTTATCCAAACACCTCTCAATGTGAACACCTCTCAATGTGAACACTTCTTGGTTCCAAATTTGTTATCTCCCCTTGACTTCCATATTTTCGTAAAGCATTGAAATGTGAACACCTGGTAATCTGAACACTTAAACCTGGTCTCAGAGGTGTTTGAATTAGACAGGTTTTACTGTAGTTGGATTATAGCACAATGGACTTAACCTCAGATGAGTTTATAAAAATGGTTTTGTGTAAAAGGCTGACCAACGACCCCTGACCAGTCCACAGTAGGGTTCTAAATAATTTGATAATTATCATAATTTACTCTATAGTGAATGATATTTGAGAAGTTCAGCTATACATGTTACATCAATATTTGTCTCTTGGTTTTATTTCATTAGATTCTTTGGCAGTATATGCCCAAATAAGCAGATTGGTCAAAAATGTATACCTAAAATGTCGAACTGAAATGGACATTTGAGTCTGAGTTGGATATGTCGAGGATTTCAACAAGTTAAAAAAGAAAAGTAACTGATAAGAATTTAATGATATTTTCTGATTGCACTTTCAAATCATGAGAATGATGTTTGTGAATTGTATTGGTATATTAAACAGTCCATGGCTGAATTTTCAAAAATATTTTGATTTGTTATAGATAATTCTGAATTGTTAAATTACATTGGACTGATTCCTGCATTTTAACTTCTCTCAAGTGTTGAATATTATGTGGTTCTTTTCAAACTACTACATATGAAATGATCAAAAGGTCGTAGGTTATGAACTGAACTTTGGTTTTGAATGATATGTACTTTGTATGAGAGAATGTAATCAAATAAAATAGTTAAAAAGTGAACTATTCAGGTTTTGTAATTAAAAGAACTTTAGAATTTAAAGACATTTTTTTAATCTGCAACTGCCTGCATTAACATTTGGCACCATCAGCAGATCTTTTTATGTCACCAATAGAAGTGGTGACATATTGTTATTGTCTCTAACTTTTTTGGATTGGGTTGATCAGCGTCTGTAACAAATGGCAGGTGGTGACATTTTGCATGTTAATGCCTTGTATTATTTTATTTTAAAGGGGAATTGATTTGCTTCATATATAGTCTAGTATGAGCAAATTCTTTGAAGCTCTATTATTCACTGTTTACTGTTTGTGACAAAATCTGTCATGGTGCAGCTTACTGTGGAAGGCATAGTAGCTATAAAGCTTGGGCTAAAGGCCATAGAAATGATGCAGGGGTTTTTATAAAAATTCTATCAGTGCTGCCATCTTTATATCTGCGTAAAACATAAGTAAGCTGTATACATCCTTATATATTGGTATCAATTAAGCAAACAAATTGATTAATCTTTTACTTGGAATACAAATGTCCTTTTTCCACTGGTTATAAAAATACCATTTTTATTTTTGAAACATGTCATACAAGTATCGCAGTAATATGGGGGTAAATTGTAACTCAAAGTAAAATCAACTATATAATATGTGTACATTGGATCAGTTTGATCATCAAGCTGTAATGTCTCTGCCATATTTGATCCACGACAACCATATGGCGGTCGTAGCTTCCCAAAATCGAGAGAAATATGCAGCATAGAATATTGGAATAAGCAATACGATGAAGATTTTCTATATCGATTTTGTGAAGCTACGGCCGCCGTACGCCCGATGTAAAGCAGATGTGACTGAGTCTTAAGCAATGTATGGACGATAAGAGCTAGGTGTATTAACTGTGTTCTGTTGATTATAATATCTATACCCAATTTTTCTTCAGGGACTATAGGTCTGTATTAATAGAAAAATGGCTAAATAATGTCTTAATAATTTTCGTACGGACACTGAAATATTTAAAATGAACAATTCCAGATCAAAATGAATAATTTCAACTACAGTATAACTTGGTTTGCACAGCGGTTAGTCAAGATACTTATACTAATGGCATCAAAAACCATACAAAATAAGGAAAAAACCGGAAGCCTCACAATGGTCAACGCTTAGACAAACACGTCACTTGTAATTAGTCGTCCAAGCTGTACCACAAGTTCCTTATTGACGTGTTGGTCGTCCATTCGCATGTTCAATGATTAATCTCTGCTTCGATCGATTCAATGTTCAAAATGTCGGTATAAATCTGGGAGATAGCGTCATTTGGCAACTTTAGAGAACTCATGTAACGTAATACACAATTGGGACATGTCACCCCAGAACAATTTCAGGCTTATCAATGGCATATGAAACGGTTTTGGTAAGATGTACAATGGTATATGAAACTATTTTAAAGCTTTACAACGGTATATAAAACAATCCTAGCAAGCTTTACATTGGTATGATACGATCGTAGCAAGCTTGGCTTATATTGAATAAAACCAAGCTGTAGATTCATATTGAACTTGGTTTGATCTATTGTCGACCATATTTTAATATTTTTTGCGGGAGATCACAAAGCTGAATCCCATGACTATATTAAACCAGTGTATTCGTTCAGTCATATGAAATACGTTGATGGATCAAGATTTCCCCTGACACATGCATAATAATTTGGGGCTAATGATACGACCTAATCCGATGCATAGTTCCAAGAACTGCATTTTGTATTCGGTCAACCACCGATACATTGGCCATATTTTCTCGAGGCTTTACTTCATATTGAAAATACACAGCAACCATTTATATTGGGTCTAGATTATTCATATCACAGTAATTTTCTCTTTCTTGTTACACTGTATACACATATGTTGTTTCGTTTTCCCCGGTAATGTTTGTGTTTTCATCGCCTCAAACCTCTCGCTCATCTCTTCCCTCATTGATTTCACCAAATCTAATAATTCCTTCTTCTCCAATTCAATTTTGTCCATTTCAATTCGTCGTTGTCTTTCAATTTCTTGTAGGATTCTGAGTTCAGTTGTCTGTCGCGATAAATGAGCGTGGAGGTCATCGATCTGAGATTGTAGACCGCTTTCTTTCACAACCATGTGGCATCGTTGGGCATCTAGCCTCGTTTCAGTGTCCTGTTTTTGATCATCCATTTTACAGATCATCTCGGAGCGCAGTAGCTCCACGGTATGTCTTAGTTCTGCAATACAATTGTGTTTCTTATCGTCGGTGGACAATATCGGTAGGCCACATCCCTGTGGGCATTCCTTCATTCTGTAGTCACAGTCTTTCAAGTGGTCTTCTAGTTTACGACGCTCGAGTTTTACAGTACACCCTGGGCTTGTGCATTCAATGGTATGGTACCCACAGTCAGTTTGATGCGCTAATACGAATTCAAGATTTGTTACAAGTGTACAACCAGCGTCGGTGTTCTTGCAGCGAACCTGGAGTTTCGCTAAATCGTTTTTCATATAACGATGGATAGGTTTCAACATCGATGCTAGGAGGAGCTGTCGGTCTTCGGGGCACGTGTTCTCGTGAACAAGCCACCCTTGGATGCAGGCAGTACAGAAGGAATGTTCGCACGGTGATTGGAGTGGCTCCTCCAGCACGTCACGGCATATACAACACAACAGACCCTCGTTTACGGGGCCGACGAATCTTTCGAGATCGTAACCCATTTCACTGCACATAAATCGTACAAGTCCCGAATTCTAATTGATTGCTTATCCTACGTGTGCTTAGCAGAGTCGTAGGCGTGTCGGTGTTTGTTTAACGGATGTGATGTGTAGCTTCAATAAGTGAGGTCTCTCCTTTCTCGTTGCTCTGTCCTGAAACAAAGAATGTGTAGCATTAGAAACGTATTTCAATTCTGATATTCGCTAGCAATGATTTTTACGACTCTTGACCATCTCTTATCTTTATAATAATGATATACTCAAACTAAATTGTTTCAATTATTAACTATATCAAGAATTGTTTACACATTGTGAACAATGCCAAAGATTGCTGACATACATGATATCTGATAACATATATGATATTAACCTTTAGGTCAGGTCACGCAATATATACTATAAATAAATTATAATCCTATATCAATTCTGGCACGCAGGATTCATAAAGGGCAATCTAGTATAGCTCATTCGGTTTACTTATAGGATATTTTAAAACTCTGTTTGATATCTAGCTATTTGTTGTCTTGGGCAGTTAGTGTACATTTTGTCGATTAAGTTCCGTCACCTTGGCTTTGACTACCTGTATTGCATTGGTCCCAATGCGGACTACTCGATTCATTGAATCCACTCAAAGTAATTGCCTGGTAATGTAGAATGTCATACTTTGTGACTTATCAGATATAATAAGTTGTTGGATTCCCAATAAATTACTTAAAGTTATGTAATATCCAATATATACTTGTACTTGGATATTGCTATATATCTACACCTGTTCATTACTGTTATACCTTATCATTTCAATTTAGTACATTGTAACGATGGACTCGATTGAGCAGATTCAACAATCGCCATCCATGTTAAATAGCAGCCTCCATATTCAAAGTTCCTGACATCATCCACCTTTGAAGGAATGAATAGAGTGGATGATGTTCAAAGGATGACTCAATATAATCCAGAATGTAAAAGAAAATACTATATAACCCATAGAAAATATACTTATTACCCGCTTACGTTGATTTGATGACGAACTCGACTTTATTCCATTAATCGTTTATTAAGAAGTTGACTTGGGAGTTTAAGTTAAAAATAGTTAAATCAGACTTTACATTGCACACTTTGTGTTAAAAATCCTTGACGTTTAAAATACTTACACCATGTTTCCATGACGACGGCCATTAATGTATCTTTATTGAAATGTGCGCATAAAATGATTCGTGGTGTTTGATTATTTTGGTTTAAGGAAATAAAAAGACAGCTAGACACACTGAGAGTAAGTAATACTAGTAAAGTTTTGTTATAATTGCCATCACGATTTTATCATATTTTATCCATCATAAGTTCATTTAAGAAAGTTCATTTAATGCCATTTTCTAAAAGTCCTGACACAATTCTGTCATTATTTAAAGATAACCCATTGATTTAAAAGTTATGGCCAAAACAATTTAGGCAAATTCTGCATCTTAAATCGTATCTCAATTACTTACAGTATATGATCAGATATCTCCTTTTTTGAAGTGTAAATCAGGATTGTAATGGATACAGTGACACGTTTTTCAAAATATAGATTCTGTTTCCTTTTAATAGAAGTTTTACATGTACACCGGTGCATTAATTTGTAGTTCTATACACCCTATTAAACAAACAGTATTCTGTCAATCATCCTTATTTTAATCCTTGACTTTTATTAAATATTGTTGTTTGTAATGTCCTAAAATAAACCTCTCCTGAACTCCTTTTCAGTCCGCTAAGGTTAGATGCTATTGTTACAGAGAGATTACTAACGCGACTATGCAACAGCTACTGTCTTGACGAATGTGATTTCCAAAGTTTAAGCGTCGTTTTGCGTTCTCATTCGACACGCGAAATTCAACCTAAAGAATTCGGGCATTTCTCTCGCTTGAACTGATTTCTATTAAAAACCGGAACTGGAGCACACGATTGAAGAGTTTAAGACGTTACGGCAATACTAGTTTTCTATGTTGTGTTTACATTCTGTTAAGCAACCCCCAAAATAAATATATCCTCGTGATATTCGTTATTTGATGGTCAATGAAATAATCCGATTGGAGCAATTTCTTTAAGATATATGACGTAATAGTTGTCGGACAATCCCTCGTGTAAAAATGTTAAACACACTTGATACTGCTTATATAAAGTGTAAGACATATTTAATACTATTGATACTTTAATCGTTGCCCCAATCTATGACATCTTGAACAAGCTTTTTAATGCATGGAACCGTATTCGGGGCAAATTGAAGAAAACATACTAGGTTATTACGTCTGGATTTACACCATGAAACAGTTGTTCAGACCTTTGTTTGAACTTTTCAATAATATGAAGTAAGACTTAAGACAAACTTGTTCATTGAATTTGTTCTTGGAAAGATTTGACATGCCTTCTAGGTACAAGTCTATTCTGAGCCCTAATGAGCTGCGGATCTCCTATAGACAACGAACAGCATGTACCTGCTCATGGTAGCCTGAAATCGGAGATTTATAGGGATCTGTCTCATTTCCTTACCCAAGCCTATCACTAGCTGTTCCAGAGCTTAGTACTTTAGAGAGAGAAACGGAACTCTTGTGCGGAAGCATTGCTCAACAAACTACGTCTCCGTGACAAACGTTGAAAGTGAGTTGCGTACCACCTTTCGTGACTGGGAAAACATTTTGCAAAATCAAAGTAAAATGTAGTTCGACTTATTTAAAGATGTCGCAGTTTTAGAATTTCAGATCAACTTTATGATTTTTCAGACATTTTAAGGCTCATATTCAGCGGCGAAAGCAGGTTCTAAAACTAGACTTTGGAAATTGAACAAAGTTCAATTTTAGACTCCAGATCTAGACTTTTTTAAGCCCAGTCATCTAAAATAAGCCGAGTCATCCAGAATAAACTGAGTCATCCAGAATAAGATGGATGGATAAAATAGGAAGGTAGGATAGGGTAGAATGGGAAGGAACGATAGGATAGAATAAGAAAGAAGGATAGGATAGAACAGAATAGGAAGAAAGGATATGGTAGGAGAGGATATAGGAAGATTAGGAAGGAAAGAATACGAAGAAAGGATAGAATGGAAGGATAGGAGCAGATAGGAAGGATGGATGGATGAATTCTACTGACAAAATTCTACCCCTAATTCATAACTCATACGTTAAATTTGGAAACTTTTTATTTTGACCTACTTTTTGGACACGCCATAACTTCCGAACCGGAAGTCGGATCGAAATTTGGTTTGCAGATTCGGATTCCTGACAAAATTCTTCTCCTAATTCATAACTCATACATTAAATTTGGAGAACTTTTTATTTTGACCTACTTTTCGTACACCATATCTCAAAAGTGGGTCAAAATACTTTCTGACGGCAAAAGGCTAACACTATAAGCACACTCTTGGCTACATGTATACACAATTTCGAAGAATATAATTGAAGTGTAGTGTCAGAATCGCAAAAATAAGGAAAACCTTTAAATTTGACCTAGATTTTGACCTTGGAATTTTGGTGTCCAAATTCTGAAGCTAGATGGCTTTTGAGGTCCATTTCTTTTGAAGGCTCTCATTAAATTAAGCTGAACTCAGTCTATATTTCGTATTTTTCACTTCAAAAAAACCTTTTTTCACATTGAATTAACATGGACACAAAATTTAGCGATTTTTGAGTTTTCAAAACGCCATAACTTCGGAACCGGAAGTCGGATCGAAATTTGATTTGCAGATTCGGATTCCTGAGAAAATTCTACCCTTAATTCATAACTCATACATTGAATTTGGAGAACTTTTTATTTTGACCTACTTTTCGGACACCATATCTCAAAAGTGGGTCAAAATACTTTCTGACGGCAAAAGGCTGACACTATTAGCACACTCTTGGCTACTTGTATACTCAATTTCGAAGAATATAATTGAAGTGTAGTGTCAGAATCGCAAAAATAAGGAAAACCTTTGAATCTGACCTAGATTTTGACCTAGGAATTTTGGTGTCCAAATTCTGAAGCTAGATGGCGTTTGAGGTCCCCTTCTTTTGAAGGCTTTCATTAAATTAAGCTGAATTCAGTCTATATTTCGTATTTTTCACTTCAAAAAAATCTTTTTTCCCATTGACTTAACATGGGCACAAAATTTAGCGGTTTTTGAGTTTTCAAAACGCCATTACTTCCGAACCAGAAGTCGGATCGAAATTTGGTTTGCAGATTCGGATTCCTGACAAAATTCTACCCCTAATTCATAACTCATACATTGAATTTGGAGCACGTTTTGGTGTGACCTACTTTCTGGACGCCATATCTCAAAATCGGTTTGAGATATCAAAAAACTAAATCGACCCTAGCTTTCCTACTTTTTTATGAGGAACACAATGAAAAAAACTTGGATCGAAAATATTGAAGGACGACTGAGAAAATTGAAAAAAGTAACAAAGTACTGGATTTGACCTAGTTCTTGACCTTTGACCTAGATAAAAAATTGAACCAATTTCCGAGAAACTAGATACTGAACCTAAATTGATCATATACAGGTCTTGACTCAATGTCTTCTGGTTACTGAGAAAACGTGGGTAGAAGAATAAAAAGAATAATAAAGAAGAAGAATACTGGCAAAAACAATAGACTCCAGATTGACATCTGGAGTCTAATTAGGCTGCAGGCAAAAGAGAACAATGTATGTTACTTTATCCTATGACAAGAGGTTTCAGGTACATAACAGCGGGATATAGAATAGATATCTCGAGGGAGCGGGACATATATTTCATAGAGCTATCACCAAGGCCAGGTTTAAAAGGGTAGGAGGTCCTATTAATTTATGGTCCTACTCTCCATTGATTTATATTTTCAAATTTTTTTTCATTTTTTCAAAATTTTTCTCACATCTTTTTCAATTTTTTATATAATTTTTTTTTTCAATTTTTTGAGAATCTCGCAAACTTTAAGGCCAAGACAACGCGTACCTTAAGTATATTTTGGAATTTTGGAACTTTATAAGGTACTTAATTTCCATGGTTGAAAAATATAGAATTATCCCATGAGTTGCAAGGATATAGCCTAGATCGAATATGGTGTGAAGATATTTTTTGATATTATATTTTAGCAAAATATCCCCAAACCAACGATGATCACCTCTTAATATGCGATGATTCCAAAAGGGATATTCGTTGGTTTCAAAAGTGATATTCGATGGTTTCCATTTTTCAATTTTTTTCAAATTAAAAAAAAAATGTTTTTGAACATTGTTTTCAAAATAAGCGTCATTTCTCTTTTAACGGCATTATACGAAAAAAGGGCGAAAATTATCAAAATGTGGGCCCAAAATATAAAATGTTTCAGTTTTGCCCTCTCCTTGTATTTTTAGTCACGTCCTCTACCTTTACCACAAGTCTTAATCAGTCATCTCATAGTCACAATATAAATAGCCAGATATATAAATTATTTATATAAGTCATCTAATCATACTTTTAAAATTGATTCATATATAAACCATAATTGCGTAGAACTCAGCTAAGTCATAATATGACGAACAATGGTGTAATCCCGAGAGATGGTGAATTGGTTAAGGCTAATGTGGGGACACCAGGTCCAATGGCGGGTCAGCAAGACTGTCTAGAAGGTCATACAAGAGTCAATCAAACACTTTCGGTGTCAATCTGCGGTGATAGGGCCATAGAAGGTGAAAAAGTCTTCACCTTACCATTACCCGACGTTCGCAATTTCACCTTATTCTGGCCTGAACGCAAACCTCAATAGAACGTTGCGTTATTATGATGTAACACGACGTGAATTTCGTGTAGACTCTATGAAACAATCGATGCAATCTTGGCAAAGCTTGCGAACAGCCTCGTATTGACCTGTATCTGGGCTAAATGCAAAATTATTAAGTCATTTTTGGCAGCAGTCACTGTATGTTTACTGTCTGTAGTAATGAATTATATCAGTACATATAATCGACTAATCATTACCTCGAACAATACACACCTCATTCAGATCGTGTTAAGTAAAGGTGATTCGTGAGAAATCTGAGCTATTATACCAGACGTCCTTCATTAGTTGATCTAAATATGGCCATAACATTTCTAAGATCACTGACACATACAGACACGACCAGACATCCCTTCGAAATATTATCGCGGTTCGTGTAAAGGTGTAAGAAGAGCAAGGAAGTAATAAGACAGATCGGGAATGACACGACTGAGTACAAAACAGTCAATTTTTACCTCAAAGTTATTGATAACTACGTTGTTTAAATTGACAGCAAGGATATTTCATCATGTTCAACAAATCGTGACATCGCGACACGCACGCCCCCTTTGTCTTGAACTTTCCAAGCGGCAGATGAGATGAGGTCTGGTAACCAAAATAATACAGCAATACATCAATGGTATACAATTTGGGAGCCTATCTATTTGGCAATCCAATACAATACTTACACAATCCAAAACAATCGCTTTCCTTCAAGTGACATAACGTATCAATGATAAATATCAAATTTAGTGACTGTCTCATGTCCACGAGGCTCGATAGATGAATAGAGATAGATGGAGACACAGTAATATTTGAACGCCAAGCCTTCTCTGGTGTTGAAAAGGCGGACCAATTCTGATTTATCAGAGGCATTATTCTTTATCAAACACCAAAGGACAGTAAAGGGTGTGAATCCTAAAATGAGGCCAGGGGAGCTGAGAAAATAAAGGTTCTCCCAAGCAGAGACATATAAAATTATATGTCTCTGTCCCAAGTTGAGACTGTACGGGAGATGTATTATGATGCAAGATTTAGACTCGTTTTGGCTTGAGAAGATAGCAGATGCGATCGAGATTAAGCCATCCTTGGTCCAAGGGTATTTTAATGCGATAAAAGCGAAGTCCGATTTTGTAGGATGCTATTATAAATAAAAGCTGATTAGAGATATTGGTCGGATTGCCAGGGTCAAATCGAGTTTTTTTGTTGGATTTATCATAATTGAGCTTGGAGTGGATATTATTTTATTATTCGTAACAGAAGGATAAAACATCTATTCCTGAACTGAATTGGGGGTCTAATCCGATATCTTCAAGGTTTATCTCGTGTATGTATGTCTATTATATGTAATCGCATAAAAAAGAAAGCGTAACACCTAAATGCTTTAAATATGAGTTTAAAAGGCGTGTAAGTAAATATTGGATCAAGTTATAATAGGAATGTGACACTTCAATGTTGGACAAAGTATACAATTAAAGAACTATGTGTTTTATAGGATTACCTTAGGTTCATATAAATACGAGGGATTATCGAAAAATGATAGTAAATTGTATGGGGTGCTAAGTTCAGCATTTATGCATGCAAAAGGACATTGTTACCCTGAAGGCAAAGAGCCAATCGAGAAAAACAATCCGATTCAAACCATGTAAGAGATTTTATATCTTGGTAATATCTTTATTCCTTTGACTTTCAACAAGCTCAAAAAACTCTCTATTGAATTACAGTATATATGCCTCCCAATGGCCATGATGGGAATAACACATAGACACAATAGACATAATCAGATAGGAATTTCAGCAATGTGTGGTATTAACGAGTTCTGTTTGCTAATGGAACTATTTAGACAAATGTCGTGCAACAAAAAAAGGTCGCTGGACAGACTTTTTTGAAGTTTTCCGAAAAGTGTACCCAATATCAGAAACGAAGCAGTGACGACAATTTTAAATGTTATTTAAACCAATCTTTATGATTAATGGCATACTCAGAGAAAATAGTCTCTCATATCCTGGCCACGATGTCTGAAATCCGTCATCATATCCTGAGAGTCAAGAGCTTACATTATGTAGACGAAGCTCTCTTTTAAAAGACCAAAATCAAACGTTTTAAGAGGGCACTATTTTCGTAACCAGGGCCTTCTATTTTCGAGTATCGACGATGCGTTAAAGATGTATTCCCATGTCATCTAATTCTTCAAACATGCCCGAACCCTCTGATTAAGCCAAAGGTAATATAAAAAGAGATTGCTTACCGATCTTATCCTATCTAATGTTGTTCTATACATTGTCGTATTCCTGACTAAGATACGAGTCCATTTTAGGTTATATACGGTAGATCTAGGTTAACATATGTCCCACGGACATGTACAATGTCGTAGGTATACCAACTATGTTGATTCTTGACAATAGTTCAACAATATCACAAGTATACTCAGGGTTATGTAAATACACATTGGTCTAACTTAACATATTTAACTCTTGTAATCTACATGTTACCTGTGATTCCAAAATCGTACTCGAAAAGTGTCAGATATCATCCCTCGCAGACGTATCCGTAATTTTGACCATGATTGGCGGCTGTATATATCCCAAAATCTCGCAGAATTCACACATGTGGTATTTCCTTTTGTTCCAAATTCTTGAAATGTGTAGGTGCAATATAACCCGAGTTTTATTCATCAGCTTTTGGGTGCAAACTTGGAATGCATGTTGGCTCGTACTGAATGCAGGGGTTTAGTATTCGCAACACAAAACAATCGATATGGATCGATAAAAGACTATAGTTTGATGTTTACCTTTTAGTGGGCCGTAATCAGACATTACTCATATGGAATTATCAATAAACGTGAATTATTAAAGACCATTGATTGGTTATGAATATTGAAATAAAGTCCTATTACAGGATTTCGTTTTTTGCGGATACGCCTACTTCGCCAAAATGGTACGTCTTTAAACAAATATTTTTGAAGCTTCAATTTCACATTTTGTGACTAAAATTCGTTGTTTGATATGTTGGTTTTTTAAAGGCACATGGTACATGTACATGACACCAAAAATCTGTAAAAAGACATTGAAAATGTAGACTACAATAAACTAACTTGTCTTCAAGACTGCACTCTGTCCCATTTTCTCCAACCACCCTTTGGGAAAACAAAATTGTCAAAACGGTGGCTCAATGCAAGACTTCGACTCCACATATAAGTCATAAGTGAGGATTATCACTGGGGTTAAGACTTAACAATCCATATGTAAACATTATTAAATACTTTTCTACAACAAATTAGAATGAGGTTTCGGTTGTTTCTCCTCCATTGGCCCTAAGAATTCTAAGGTTTCCCTGATCAATAAAAGACAATGGAAAAGTGGATATTGACTCATTTTATTTCTAAAAATTAATGTAACTTTAGAATATACTCACAAAGAAAAATGACGAATTTGAAATACCAAACAGATTAGAATTGAGAAGTTGTATAAGCTGTTATGGTAGCAAATAAATGTTAATAAAAAATTGGAATTACTTATGAAAACATTACAAAATATTATTTTTGGTTGGCGAGTTCTGACATTTTACGATTTCTGTTTGTTCATAGGACTGTTTTTAGACTACGGTTACCGAATGACAGATATTTTTCACTTGATATCATTATAAAGCAAATTAAATTTGAACTATTCTTATAGTAAGTTCAAATTAAGAAGCGATCATACCAAGTTCGCAGAAGCTTTGCGACCGAGGCCCATTTTCTTTGAAATTAGGCACAAATATATATATAATATATACAAGTATAATGCCCACTTTGCTCAATTAACTCAGTTTGTTTTATATGTTTTTATTGATATTACCCAGTTGGTGTTTGGTTGGGCAAATTGGGCATCAATTTTTTTGGACACAAATTGTTTTTTTTCAGGATTTCGAAGTCATGACAAGTCACATGATATGATTTTACATGACATGATATGACATATCAAGACGCGTATCTTCACAGTTTTTGGAAAATTACAATATGTCAACTTTTGACATTGAGACGTTTTCGATAGTTTGTTTCCTTTCTATTAAACTATAGTATAAATATTAATATTTCATTCAAATAGTTATGATATCTTAATATTGAACACAATACCTTGAAGTTAAAAATGGCAGTGCACCAATTTTTGGAGACGCTATTAATAGCGTCGAATCCTCATTTTAGATTCGGTCTTGGCACTATAAATGGTACCCATGGCTACTCGTTATAAATGTAGACCCACTCACTATAAATGAAACCCACTCACTACAAATGTAGATCCACACACTATAATTGAAACCCACTCACTACAAATGTAGACCCACTCACTATAAATGAAACCCACTCATTACAAATGTAGACCCACACACTATAAATGAAACCCACTCACTACAAATGTAGACCCACTCACTATAAATGAAACCCACTCACTACAAATGTAGACCCACACACTATAATTGAAACCCACTCACTACAAATGTAGACCCACTCACTATAAATGAAACCCACTCATTACAAATGTAGACCCACACACTATAAATGAAACCCACTCACTACAAATGTAGACCCACTCACTATAAATGAAACCCACTCACTACAAATGTAGACCCACACACTATAAATGTAAATCCACTCATTACAAATGTAAGTCCACTCACTATAAATGAAACCCACTCACTACAAATGTAGACCCACTCACTATAAATGAAACCCACTCATTACAAATGTAAGTCCACTCACTATAAATGAAACCCACTCACTACAAATGTAGACTCACTCACTATAAATGAAACCCACTCATTACAAATGTAAGTCCGCTCACTATAAATGAAACCCACTCACTACAAATGTAGACCCACTCACTATAATTGAGACCCACTCACTACCAATGTAGACCCACTCACTATAAATGAAACCCACTCACTACAAATGTAGACCCACTCACTATACAAATGAAACCCACTCTCTACAAATGTAGACCCACTCACTATAAATGAAACCCACTCACTACAAATGTAGACTCACTCACTATAAATGAAACCCACTCACTACAAATGTAAACCCACTCACTATGAATGAAACCCACTCACTACAAATGTAGCCCCACTCACTATAAATGAAACCCACTCACTACAAATGTAGACCCACTCACTATAAATGAAACCCACTCACTACAAATGTAGACCCACTCACTATAAATGAAAACCACTCACTACAAATGTACTCACTCACTATAAATGAAACCCACTCACTACAAATGTAGACTCACTCACTAAAAATGTAAACCCATTCACTACAAATGTAAACCCCCTCACAACAAATGTTAAAACTAAGAATGTCCCATTTAGAATTGAAGTGTATATGGGGGGGGGGGCACAAGAGCTTGCAACAAGACTTGCCTTGGCGTCAGGCTACATTTTTTGGCAAGCGTTCTTTACCTTTTGTATCGCTAGCAATCTCGATTGGTCTTATTCTGATTTTAAACTTAGATAATTTTTGTTAATTTCAGACAAATCTGCATTGCGCTTAATCTGCATAAACAAAAGTATATAATCTTACATATTCAATATACTCGCTGTAAGTCCTTATGATCCGTCCTCATAGACATGTCATTTAACCGTGGGATAAAATAGAGACAAGATGCTTGCAAGACTTTTCTGCCATCCACAATTTACACCTAACCTAAGTCTCAGTTACAATAACATATGCAAAACTATCTCTTTGACTTGTCAGCCTCACAGGTACAGATCTTGCAAAAGAAATGATACAAATTCAAAGTATTTATCATATATTGTATAATAACCTCATCCTAGAAGTTTGGAACAGCTCGACATCTTCCTTTTCAAGACTGGAGATACGTTGTGAGAAGTCGCGAGTATCAGAATGAGTAAATATGTTGATATACGTAACTCACCTAGTTCAGTACGTAGATATGACGCAGAAGTTATATCAGAGTTGAACACAGTCGGATACCTTCTGGTCGGATACTAGATATAGTACACAGATGGTGATAAAGGACTGGGCCTTCAAGTTTCATTCGTAGTTGAGAACACCTTCATTCGTATCGTCAATTACATTCTCTTGGCTCATAATGAGGGCAACTGCGTCAATCTCGTTCACAAAGTCAGCTCTCATCCCTAGTTCGTGCAGAGAACACTCAGAAATGACCCTAGAAAATTCAGGGTCGCATAATAGTGTTTACATTTAGTTTGGTCATCTGCGCAGACGGATTACGCATTGAAAGACATCAAAAGATTTAACTGGGATTAATTCCAGTGAAAGGATGCTGATCCTATTGAATGCAAACAAACGCTCTGAATCACTATAGACGCTTTCATCGAGAAAAGCAACCTAGAAAGCCACTCTTTTGGAATCTAGTTAATCCAATTGTACAATGGCTACAATGAACATTTCAATTTCCTGGGGTTATATTAAGTCACCTATATATGTATTCATATTTGTGGAACAAATGGTTTGCCAAAGGCATGTTATTGCAAGATAATATATTTATTAAAGTTGTATAAGCATCTTTAGCTGATACATAAACATGATTAAGTTTGGAGTCAAGTTAAAGCAAATGACAGATCACTATTTTGCTTGAGAGTGTGTGACCCCCCCGCCCTATTTTAGAGATGTCTGACCTCCACAAGCTCCACAAGTGAGGTACAGTAGATAGGGGGAGGGGGAGTCGGTCCAGGGGCTTGATGCAAGACTGTCAAATCACACTAATCTAAACAAAGCACACAAAATGTCATGCATGTCTATAATGCCAGATGCTGAGAGTCATTATAATGCTAAGTAGTTTCAATTTAATCCGACGTATAGGGCTTTTAAATTCATGCTTACATATAGTAAAAATATATATTATTTATTTAATTGAATCCTGTCAGTTGAAAAGGGATAATGAATGATGCTGCAACAGTTTTAGATTTGCATCGGGATCCATAGGATAGGAGAGTTTTCAATGAGTGAATTCGCGCCATCACAACACGGACTAACAGAAAGACCAATGAGGAAGGGGGGGGGGGGATATGTTTGAGAAAAAATGGTGTTAAGGCAGCTGGTTAAGGTTACTAAAAGTTATGAAGTATGAGACCTATTTTACCAATGAATTATGAAGTGGTATGAAGTATGAAAAAACAATTTTATGTATTACACAATGAAATTAAACGCATATTTGTTTAGTATTTATTATTCTATTATTCAAGTTTCAAATAATTTTATCATTCTCCTTTGAATAAGATACTTTAATTCTAAATTGATTTTTAAATAAGTTACTATGGCGGTAAGACTAGTTACCATGACGATAAAACTGGGTTAGCTTACTATGGGAAAAACTAGTTGTTTTATTAATTAAACATAATCATAATGGCACCCAACCAGGGTAAAAATAATCTTCTTTATTAACGTTTTTCGCTAATGGTGAACCTGGGCGCGGCCATCTTTGATCGTATACTGCAACGCCCCCTGCCAACCATGCCCCCCACCAACCAAATGTCCCAATTGACATGACGCTATGGTCACATTGTCCCATAACTGCAAGGTCCACGTCAGCTGTATTATTTCTACTGTATATAATCTTACTATCGCTACGTGTGAGGTTTTCCATACACCACTCAATATTGTCACTGAACACGATGTACAGAAGGTTCTCAGATTTATTTAAGTGTGTATTGAAATAGTCTATTGCACGGTTGAAATATGATGCTGTTGAAATGATCTGCCCATACTCCTCTTTATTTTTACCCATCATATCGCCTCTTCTGGCATGTATACTGACAAGCGTTACATTTTCTCTAGGAATATTACCAAATGTCTGTTTCATAACAACCTCCAGGTAATAATTTGCCTGTTGTTGAATTGTTTTTTGAAATGTAAACTCTTTCCGAATTTCATCCTCAAAATTTTTAAAATATTTCCATGATTGTCTATAACCCCTCACTTCGATATCTCTATCACGGTAATGGGGTGACTTGTACATCACCATCGTGTCTTTGTGAAATTTGCAGCACTCCCTCCCTGTCCAGTGCTTTTTCCATTTAAACCCAGGTTGCTGCGATTTGGATTTTGTCCTCTCCGCAGTTAAAGAGAAAATTCTTTGCCCCATATCGATAAATTCAGGCATCAAAATAGTGAGATTATTTGCCCTTGAAATCCCGTACACACTGGCATATTGGAACATTTGGTTACCCAAACCGTCAAGGTAATGCCACTTACAGGAGACGTAATGTTTCCTTGTTTGTTTTTGGGGCTCCGTTCTTGCCATAGCACTAGGTGTGACGTCATGATTTTCACGACGAACCAACATTTCTTGAGTCTCAACGATGGTTGTTGCATTTGAAGACTTATTCGACATCATAAAGTAACGATTCGAGACAAGACTGTTTGCCATGGTAACGGGAGATGTGTCCCCGACAACGGCAGTCTGACCTACCGGAGCTTTAGCAACGATAGTTGGAGAACTGCTCAGCTTAATCAGTACGACGATAAGGAGAATCGTATAGGTAGTGATGCATCCCAATAATATGACTTTTGCGTCCATGTTACACTCATCAAATCACATCTGAAAATAGAAGATAGAACCAACCAATGAAATGAATCCCATGAATCAATGGTTGCCAGGTGATCGTTCATGGGCCACGGACGTAAGCCAAGTGATAACAATACCATCTTTAACTGGGCCAACATGTAGAGTATAACCTCTATCAATACCCAAATAAAACTCTGAAAGCCTTGACGATCTACAAAAGATAACTTTCAGCAAGAGAAGCCCAATCTCTCCTCCATTTTTTGTTGCATTTTCTAGCCTTGTGAATATAACAATACAATACAATGAAACACAGTGCAAAGCAATGTAATAATATAAGTTATTGAATGATTTGAAGTGCAATACAGGATATATTCTGTTCGAGAAATTCCGTATTGGAACGAGACGAAGTCGAGTGCCAATACAGAATATCGAGACAGAATATATCCTGTATTGCACTTCAAATCATTCAATAACGTTTTTATCGTGTTATCCTCTGTATTGCTACTGAGATTGTCTCCTCCGTACCAATATTTTCTGTATTGCGACGGAGATGATCAACGCGGACAATCTCAGTAGCAATACAGATTGGTACAGCACAAGAACTGACCAATCAGAGGGCTTCATTTTACAGATCATGCGATAAAATGAAATACAATACATAACAATCGCATATCTAGGTGTCTATAGAAGAAATGTATTTGCTGGAACATGTACTCACCTCGATGTATATAAATCCTAAATCATAGCTTGTAAAATATCCAAAATTGACTTTTACATGCAAGACTATGCTGTACACGTGTAAACATTGTGCATTTGTTTCACATGTATAGATTTATACGACTCAGTTGAGTGCATCAAGTGTAAAGTAGTGAATAATTACACCGCTTAACCCAGCCTGTGTCCAGTGTCAGAGATCACGATTGTATTATGCATAAACATGGTATAAAACTCTTTCTGATTTGCTGGTAATTGCAATCTCTCTTGCGTTTGTCTTTTAGTCGGTACATCCACATGTCTGTCTGTCAACACAATGGTGTATTATAGCAGAAAGTGAAAAAACAGGAAGTGACAAAAATGCTGAATTTTTGAACAATTTTGAAGATAACCGAGTTCTGTGTTGGTTTTGTTAGTTCCATATATTTTTTACATGACCAGGATCGCAACGGCCATGGTCAGGATGACCAAAAAACAAGATGAAATATATAGCTATTTTACCCCTCTGAAAAAAGTTGAAAGTCACACTTTTGGAAAAGTCACAGAACAGAATCTTTTGGATTTTTCAGAAAATGTTACATATTATATTGCTTCAAATGATAGGAACTTTTGAAAATTTGATCTATTTTCAATTTTCCTTTTCATGACCTCAAGTTTTGTTTCAGATGATTTTCAAGTTTTCAAAGCTCACATCACTAATCATAAAAGCAATATATTTGGCACATTTTCTAAAAAAATCAAAATATTCTGTCCAGTGACTAATTATTTTTCAGTCACATTTTCAAAGGGCTGAAAAACCTATTTCATCATGTTTGGGGTCCTTCTGACCATATCCATTGTGATCCTGCACATGTAAATGATACAGGAATTATCAAACTAATTGAAGGTCAAAACAGAAGTTATCTTACTTTAAACAAATTCAAAATGTCAGTATGTTTTTCTGACTTGCTGTTTTGTCACGTCCTGTTCACCTGTGTTACCTAATTGAGACTTTAACTTGACCCAAAATAATGCCAAGTTGATTACGTCACTTTGTGATCTTTATGTTTTAATAAACACTAAATGTTGGGCCCTAAGAATTCATCTGAGGGAGGGGAAGCGGGCCCCTGGCCAAGGATGGTCCAAAATTACACTTTTTGGAAAAGTTAAGCTCCCAAGGCGAAACGGTGTTCCTGTGGGAGTAACATTTTAAACTAATTTTAACTCTCCCCCAGGGGCCCCAGTGCGATAATATGGAAAATGTCAAAATGGTTATTTTCTAGGTTCAATTAAAATTGTGGTGCTTTAATATGTTATATCCGTTCATTTAGCTATCTTATTGAAATTACATTGCAATGATCAGTGGATTAATTTTCATATCAACCCTATGTATCTAATAGTTATGCAAATTAGAATATGTGTCCATGTAAAAGAAAATGGAATCTGTCCAATGCTAGAAATGTGATTTTATGACATGGGATCTATGGGGAATCTCCCCGAACAAGAAGTCACGTCAAATTTTTCAAAGTTAAATAAACACTTTTTGAAACCAGATTTCTAAATTTACTTTTACATGTAGATTTCAAATATGACATCACTTTGCCTGAATTTTGAATATTTAGTGACGTAAATCAAGACTATTTCTACTCGCATCTAGTCTATTGAAACATAGGCGGATATGTTTTACCAAAAAACAAACAAATTCCGTCAATTTCCATTGTAATTTCATTATCTTTATTCCCTATATTATTAAATTACATGGGTTGTGGTTTATTTTGAGTCGCTCCACACGTGGATTTCAGGCCTGATCCACTTGTGGAGTAATAAAAAAACTACCCATAGAATCATCAAAATGTCATAAATATATACGCTTACAATGTAAAATATAACTTTTGAGCGAATATCAATGTTGGGGCAGCTATACTTTACGTTGAGGAAAGTATACACGCGAGATTGTTCGTTGTTAAGTGTTTGAATACGCATGCTCTCGGAATTTATCATAAGTCTCTGATCTAAACGGGCATATCTTCACGCATCTTTATGTACCACGTTATGGTATCCACCATGTGTTTCGTTAAGAAATGGAACAAAATCTTTATTCGTCTGTATCCTAGCACCCTGTAGAAAATTCTGATATAGTCCTAGCGCATGCGTTCATTGTTTCTTCGTGTACATGTCGGGTTTAAGGAAGTCCCTTGGAGATGCCATCTACGATTGTTGACCAACATGGCGCCCATGCATTACGGTCATAAGGTGGGTAGACAAGGGTGAGAATCTCGTCCAAAACGTTACCCATTGCCTGCAATAGATATATGGATTTTAAACATCTAAATCACAAACTGAGAAATAAAAGGAAAGGCGACTTAATTAAACTTATTTTTTCATCATTAACCGCTTTGTTTATTTACATGACTGTTCCACAGAGATTGGTTAAAGTAATAGTAAATAAAAAGTGAGAGCGGGGGGGGGGGAGTTGATAAATGATAATATTTACATCAAAATAGATGCGTTTGACGCCAGGTCGAGCCAAGTGCTGTTCGTTGAGGTGGATGAGGGTCTGTTCCAAGACAGTTGGAGTGTCGAGCAGGGAGATGGTCATATCGAGTCCACCTAGTAGACGTAGGCAGTGGGCTTTGAAGATTGGTGAATTGGTATCATCTGATCCCACTCGGGAGAAAAGTGGTTTAGTTGCTGGATCTTTTTTGAAGAGGCTGAAAATAAAAATTTGAAAGTTTTTAATTCCAATGAATGTTACAGAATTTTATTTTGAAGTTTGAATCCTGGCATCCTATTAATTGCGGATTCGTCTTTGAAAAATAATGCTAAATATATTTTGGCAGAAATTGGGCCAAAATACTATATATTTTCCACCTATTGCATGGGCATGGGCATGTCTATAAGATGCTACAGGGACATCAAAATGCATATGAATATGAGATTTTTCACTTTTTGCATTTGAGTTTTATAATACTAGTATTGTATTTTTCGAGAAATCACATTTTCCGTCTAGGCAAAACTCTAAATCGTTCAAAAATGCAAGTTCGAAAATCTCAGTGTTTTAAATGTTTGCCAATATCTCCTACATAATCAAGTCAATGCATCATTATTCAGTCGTTTCAGGTTTTTCAAAAACTAGGTAGATATGATGTTTAATTGACAATCAGATATATAACGGCAAAGGTAACTTCAAATTCCAACCACTCTTCTAAATTCTGAATGAAACGAGCGATTTCATATTTTAATTTTAGTCGAGAAATGACAATTCAAATTTATTCAAAATATAGATGTCGTAAATCGATAAGCTTGAACAACTACTTAAACAGGCAATGCGCCTATTTTGAAGGAAAAGGACAAAATATCATTTAAGACATGTCACTCACACAGGCAATCAAATATGATAAAAAACTTTAATTTTGGGTCAATACTGAAGTGAAAAAAAAATTACTCGCATATAAAACAGCATTTGAAGTTCAGAGATCAAAAGAAGTGAATTATCACTTTTCATAAAGTGTATGTTTTTAGATAACTCTTGGATTAAAAGATGGCGCATGGTTGAAAATCCTATCAAAAATGAATGGATAATTAATGCAAACAACAATGCCATCTTTCTATGGCATTGCTAAAAACTTGACATACATAAATTGATAGATCAAAAATATCTCTTCATGATCTAGTGTCAACTCTGATGTGGTTTGTTTGAGCTGTTTTTGGTGTCAAATGAAAGATACTTATACTATACAGGTACTTATTAATCTATTGGAAATACTATGAAGATCAAAAATGAGACTTCATTTACGCACTTCGTCCCTTTAACTTACGCTCTGAAAATGGCGACACAGACAGGAGCTCTGTTTTCGGAATCATCGGCGTAGATTTCTCCCCATTGTGTTTTCACCTTCATGGCTTGTAGCTGGCTACATTTATCTGCTTTGACAGCAACAAAGGCGCAAACGGCCAATGCGAGAATTACCAGCAATTTAGACATGACTGAAAGTAGATGTTAAAAGTGAGATTACGGCTGAAACAAATGGATAGCACGGTGACAATTAGCAATATTTCACAGTGTATTGGCGCTCCCAGATCAGACAATTTAGTCTTGGTTCTCGGGCTTGCTTCAAGACTCTGGGCCCCCTGTTTTCTTTACCCAGTGGTGTGTGAGAAGATGTGTCAAGTAGTGAGAGCGGGGGGGGGGGTCACGAGGGCTAGTAGCTAGATTAACTTCAATTTAAACACTCCGACTTTGAACCTTTACATGTAAATCAAATGGTTAATTGATAAAAAATGATATTATCACTAAAGAGGTACTAAAGTGTAAAGAGCAAAAATCACAGTGCATGTATGCAACGAAATCCACCAAGTTGGGTTACCCCAATTCCAACAGCCAATCAAAGCCAACCAATCAACCAAACAAACAAGCCACCAACTAACAGACACCCGATTCACATATCGGTGCACGCAACACATACTGCACGTACATTATATGGGCTGTCCTATCTGACAATTGCTTTAGCGTTTTATATGCTTTTCTGCTTCATCTGACATTAAATATTTTTAAACAAAATCTTATTCAACTAGATAAGTGACTACGACTAAGAAACATCAGTAATTATTTAATATTAAAAAGAAGTCGGTGACATAAACTATTTTTGTTCAATAAATTATGAACCATGATTAGTCCTGGTCATGTTAATAAAGAAAATATATATACTTTCTCGTAAAGTTATTTTTAGGTCTCGGGGTAAACAACCACCATAGGAACGAAACCAATCAAATCAAATCCAAATATTCTAAATGATTTCTAATGCACAAAAATAAATGAATTGTTTACACCCAGCTTTCATTTTTCAGAAACATTATCCCCAATCCAAAACCGCGAAACCATTGAACATTTATTTCATTCTGAAGTCTGTAAGTATATTTTCATGAACAAAAAATTCAAATCCCTTTGACATTTTGATAATTCCTACCAGATAGAATTATTCTTTAGATTCAAAATCTTAACAGTAAACGTACGAGTGTTTCAAAATAAAAATGAAATATCTGATCATTAATTTAAGAAACGTAATTCATAAGTCTTACCTACCTGTTTGTCTCCTTCCAAAATGAAGTGATATACAAAACACGTAGGCTGGACTTTTATATCATGGTTTTACAGACATATTAATCTATCAGAGAGTTATTAATTTTTGATTAGGCATATAATTAATTAACATAAGAACTTAAGAAGGACGTGCTGTAGTTTCACCTCCAAGGTTCAACTTGAACGTTTGCACTCTATGTATGTGCATGCCCTATGTTATCTACCACTGTATGAGCATTTTTAGCCAGATTCAAAAAATTGGCGAGACAAATGTAAACAGGCGAGGCAAAGGGGTTTATTACTAATTTGAGGTTCATTTCCATAGTTTTAGTTGTAAAACTGTAAATAGATATATTTCTGGAAAAATTTGTGAGGCGGCTGCCTCGACTGCCTCGTCTCTGGCTACGCTCATGAAGGGGTTGGTAATCAGTTTAGTAAACCAATAGTGTATAGCCTCACTGGCGGACCCAGGAGCTCACAGGGGGGCACACTTCAAATTAAATTTTTTTTTAAAAATTTGAAAATTTAAGACCCATTTTTTGATAATTTCAAAAAAGGTCAATTAATGCCAAAAAGGGCTACTAGGCTAATTGAGGCCCTACAAAGTTTTGGCCCAAATTTTTTTCTGGGCCCACCCAAGGGATCAGCCAGTGAGCCTAGATGTAAAGGCAGCAACTCAGGGGTAAAATTCACTAAAATTTGAAATATATGTATTTTATATCATATTATGCTGGCCATAAAATATTCAATTAAAGTCAAGGGCCTGAAATGACAAACACCATGTCTGAAATTCTGATTAATTAATGGTGTTTTTATCTGACCACGGACTTCTGACCAGACAGACGTCTATGATCTGATAAAGCAGTCCTTGGCAGGGATTAAAAGTCGTTGATCGAGAGATTCTGTACTGGTAAAAAATAAGTCACAGGGGTCAAACCATCATGATTTGAAATATGCAATTGGTCAGTAAGCTATCAAAAGATGTGTGAAACGGCCAAAACCATATAGGCTTTATTCGATTGGTAAATGTATCATTCTGTAAAAAATGTTGCGTATTTGGTTGTTGATGTTTGGTTATCAATGTTGATGGAAAACTTATGGTCCGCCTTGCATCGTAAATTCAAAACAGCACTGTTAAAAATTGGTTACCTCGTTGTATTGCAATTTAATTTTGTATGTACATGTATATACCTCTTTATTATGTCATACTAGATGATTGACACTTGGAGACAAAACAAAGAATCCTTATTGAAAGGGCCTTATTTTGAGTTGAGTAGGCCTTTAGTGAAACACAAACATGTACCACGCTCAGCGAAATTCTGATTTTAAGTGGGACACAAACATATGAAGGGAAACCAATCAAGGGACTCCCATGTGCTGTAAACAAATGAAGTCTCCATAATACATTACCATGGCAATATTCCTTGCTATTGTAATACAATTTAGCCCATTCTATTATGACGTCATACATCTTTGTTTAATCAAGGGACTCCAATGTGCTGTAAACAAATGACGTCCCGTAACACATAACCATGGCAATATTCCTTGATATTGTAATACCATTTAGCCCATACTATCATGACGTCATGATATCTTTGTTTCCATTATAGACACAGAATGACGTCACTTAGTTACTACTCTTTGTGCAGTATGTTTACAAAATATGATCCGTGGGAAACAGAAAAACTAAAAATATAGGATAATACAAAAATTGTGATGGTTAAGTAAAATGTAGCATGAAGCGTTTGCATTTAAAAAGCACCAATGAATTTCATCCATAATAGCGATCCAGGTAACAATTTTAAATAGCATGCTATACAAACTTCTATATTTACGGAGTGACTAATTTCGGTTGTATAAAGACTGGTCTAAAATTAAATTATTTAGTCTATAGAATGTTGTGAGATTTGAGAAATTAATCTGAATCTCAAATAAGGAGGGGGGGGGGTCTTGTAGAGATACTGTATAATTATTATTCATTTCAATTTTAGAATGGACACCTTCACAATGGGAGTTCGAGGCATTGATGGAGGACCCAGTATTCGTGGACTTTTTCAACGTTTACCTCTCTCTACCGGTATGTTAACCCTGGTCTTGAACCCTTGTTTAACATATTAAAAATATGGTAAAAATATCGAAGAAATGTGTATGGTCACTTGAAATATGTATTTGCTTCAAGGCATTTGACCGATTCGAAGCAACTTACTTATTTGATCGATTTCTAATGACCGTAGTACTGCATGAAAAATGGTCATCAATATAGATGCCGCAAACGAAAGTTGATTTGAATAGTACATGATACATTGTGCACATACATGCCTGTGGATGATTAGATTTATTTATAGTTGACTGAATCCATGAATTCCTAAACTTTAATTGAATGTACCATGTAAATATTCTCCCGATTTGAGTTGTAGATCACTTCTGGAAAATAAATTAACAAAGTCAATCTACCAAAAAGAAGCTCATTATCACTTAAAACAGAAAATTGGCTTAAGTTTGATTAACGAAGTCACGTGAACTTTATTCAAGTCAAACAGAATTGAGAAATCAATGAGACGGGAAATCAAATGCAACCCACTCGTGATTCGTTGTTTATGTGTTTTTATTCTCATCCCGTCTCCTACAGATGAACACTCCTCAGTGCTGATATTTTCTTTTCAGACATTTGGCCAAAAGATATTCTACAAAATCTCAGAGGCGGATTTTGAATTTGATCCTCCCATTAGGCGTCATGACAGTGTAAGTAGAAACAACAACCCCAAAAAACTATGTCAAAATAACCTACCAGAATATTTTATGATTTTTGATTTCAGTTTGCAATATTTTTACAGAATATGTGATATGATATTAATTTTGAGAAATGTACTTGTAGTTAAGTTAGACCCATTACGCACAAAGTTAAAGTTATTTTAGTGAAAATAATGCGAATGGTTTTCCGGTGTTAAAATAAATAACGGGATGTAATGTAAATACCCTTTTAACTAAAATACGCATTACACTCCAAAAGCTTTCCAAACGCCAGTTATCAAAAGTAACAAATTCAAATTCCCATCTAAACGCTTCTTATTTCTAAATAAAGTAATTCGAGAATGAATTAGCGTGGCCATCAAAATTCAACTTTCCGCACATCGACATTTTCGATCGTTGCCAAAGCCATTGCGATTGACATTGTGAGTTCCCGCGTGGTCGAATCTGAAATCCTGGAGAGGCGCGAAATCCGATCCTAGAAAAAGAGGTGAGTAGTTTCCTTTCAGCACAATAAATAAGATTAAAACTTAGTGAAAGTTATGAAAAGCTGAAATGGACAAAGGAACTCAAAAATACTTTGATAAATGAACGTTTACACATCTGTTGCATGATCCTTAGTAAGGTCCTTTAGTCTTGGACATCACACTAAGTTACGACCATTGATTGAAACGTCGGGAACATTTTCACTCCATAAGGAGTTGAAGTAGATCCAAATTATTAGAATTTTCATGATAACATACCAAAAATTACTGAATTGGGTGATATTTTTCAAAAAGTTATGTTCATATAAGTACATGTTATGCATTGTTCAAAATGTGTGGAAATTATTTGTTTCGTAATTTTCCTTTCAATTCTGAGTGCATCGATGGGAGATTTGAAAGAAATGGTTATGAATACAGGGCAAGGTGATGACTCGGATGAATCATGCAATGCTACCGATTCTACGGACCTTTAAAATACACCAAATAGCGATAGTGTGAAAACATGGAACTTGGAGCCTTAACAAGCATTCACGTTCACGCTAACGTGTAGCACGTTAGAGTATCAAGTGCATTTTATGAGAAATACAAATAAGATGCCGATTATGTCAAATTTGTCGTCAATTACGAAGATTATGGGAACACACAAATAGAAGTACCATTTGCATTGTTGCTTTCTGAGGTTGTCAATAATGCTGTCCTTCAATCCTTGTTTGCGTCTGTCATACGTGAAAAATACAACGCAAGTCAAAATACACAAATGGACTGCACTCTTTGCATCATTACATTCAGCGGTAGACTCAAGTGGAGACTCACTTTGCAACATTAAATTCAGCTGTTCTTCTTTGCATCTACACACATGCTTTGCCGCGTTACTATTTTGGTACCCTGCGCGCGGAGTGTAGTTAAATATTACGACGAAGCTCTCTTTTAAGAAGCGAAGTCGAACGAATGCAAAGGGTACTGTATTTTGGATTCAAACATAAAAATCTGTCCTTGCTTCATCACAACCAGCATCTTCAATGAATGAAGTGACAAAACAAAGGATACAGCTGTGAAAAAGTTGTCTTAGGTTCATTACAGTTACACTCGGCATTTATCAAGTGTATTTGGGACAATATGTTCACTAATTCATTATTTCGGAATGCGCAAAAGTGGAACGTAGACATTTTAGACGCAGTATTAACATCTTTTTAACATTAACTTTTTATTTCAGAGAAAATTTTGTAAAATCTGAGACTAACATAAAATTTATGATGGTCTCAAGTAAAAGCAAATACGAACAAGAGGGTGAAAATGCTGTTTTGTTTAATATTTGAAGGGACACCAAGCATCTTGACTACAAGGCTCTAGAAATTTCCACCAAAATGGCTAGAACTCTTTCAGGTTAATCTAATCCACACAAGCTACGTTTTGAAATATGTAAAATGGGTCTATCTTTACGCATAACTCTCAATGAGTGGGTGTTCCAGGTAATAAAAGACTCCACATATTTAAAAACAGAATAGTCTAAAACTCATTAACAAACTCCATATTTCAGCACTTAAACAAAGACAGGTTGATACAATGGCTATTGAAGGAAAGACTATCGCTGTTCGTAAGGACAGAACTATGGCTGGAGTACTGCCTGTGTCGCCATCTACTGGAAACTCACGTACGCATGGAGGACACCGGCAGCAAAGCAGGTACAGTAAAGTGGAAAACCTATGTAAGTGGAACAACGCGATGTGAACACTATTTTATGGTACCAAAGGTGTTTCATTTACCGAGGTTTTGCTGTATTAGATGGTGATGCAGATCCGGTGTACAATTATGTAAATATAAACATGACAATTAAATCTCATCCAGAGGTTAAAGGTTGTTCTCTGGGCAATAAATGAATGAGTAGTGGATTGGCTGAAGTGAGGATTTCCCGTAAAAATATGAGAATTTTCAAGAGGGCATGTACAAAATGTAAAAAATACAAATTTATTGATAACCTTATTGCAAAAAAACGTGACAAGATAACGCAATAGTTATTTGACGACCTTGAGATAAAAAATAATACAATCTATAATCCTGATAAATATAATAAACAACCTAATCATATATGTCTTGATGTCTATGAATAACTGTGTATTTCTAAACTGGCACTTGAACGTACTTTGAAATCCGACTGGCATATAGGCTTTTCAAGAATATGAGAAGGCCAAACGCCAACAGAGACATTAAAGGTTAATACGCTGAAGTACATTATAGCTCGGGTCAGAGATAAATAAAAATGAGATTATTGAAATGAACGATTAAATGGTCAAATCAATTTTTGGGGATTTTAGAAATATGTAGACAGTATGTGTAATCGGGTGAAGGCTAGAATGTAATCTAAACACATAGCAATAGAACAATTAGTTATTAGAAAACAACCAGTCAGTTGCAAGAAAACAGCCAGTACTATGAAAAAATCATAAGTCATAAGAAAACAACCAGTTATAAAAAACAACCAGTTATAAGAAAACAAAAGCTCAGTATCCCAAATAGAAACAATGTCACAATCCAAACTAAGACCATAATTTATGACAAGTCATTCCTAAAGCAAAATCTGTCGAAACACAAATATATGATGAAAACCAAGTCTATATAGGAAATAGACATTGACAAGAGGTCAGGCATGCGAAAAAATTCTAGAATTGAGATATTTTTTGTTCCCTCAAGTGGAGACGATTGGGTCATTTAACGTTTATCTCGTCAATTAACGTCATTGTAGTTGATTGGCGGTTTGCTACGTTAATTGACGTTTTTTTCAATTGCGCATGTGTAATCAATCGCGTCAATTGACATGTAATCGTTTAATCAACGTGCGGGAACGTTAATTGTCGCACGGGCTAGGTCGTATTTTTATTATCGCCCATTACCAAGGTAAATGGCCGAAATGTACCTACCTCATTAGTATTTCTTGATGAAATTGTCAATGTTTGAAAGTGTGAGAATCGATTAAAAAGCGTCTATTATAAATTATTAACAGTTGTATAATTTATTTACGCATATTTCGATTCATAACTGGCAGTACCACGGGGTACCATCGAATAATTTTGGCAACGTACCGGAGAACGACATTTTACTAAGAAATAGCAATAATTTAGCACAATATATTTTTTAACTAGAGTTCTACTTTGATTTTGACAAAAGTAAGTATTTCATGCAATGGCTATTTCATTCATGAGTTTGTAGGAATTCTGTTGGAACCCAGTTCTGATCAAGTACGAAGTTATTGAAATCGGCGCAGACGGACTTTACTCCGAAAGATGGTTTTTCGATTATAACTTTTCACAACATTTAAGTATAGACTTTTGAAAAAAGTACAGAATAGTCCTTATACTTTTGAATAATTCTGTTATTTCTGATTCACACGACTCTGATTTGTTTAATTTAAAAAAAAGTTTTAAAAATATTACTTAGGAACGTAACCGGAGCTGGGAACGTAACCGGAGCAGGTCAGTTGAATTATTTAATCAAAAAAATTAAAATATATGATTTAAAGCACATATACTAATTTAAAAACATACGGGATTGTTCGAATGCGTATTTATTACATTTTATTTAAAGAAAAAATTTATCCATTGTGAAAAATTAAATTTGGTATTTACCATGCATAAGTGCACTTACCTTAGAAAGCTAAGGCTATCAAACATAGAACAATCACTGTATGGAGAATAAAGTCATTAAATGTAGTAAGCAAATAATTCCATTTGATTTCACCCATTGTATTTGTTCAGCGAACTATTAGAACCCACTCTGTTATACTAATTTCGTATATATATATACTGTTTATACATACATGTATTATACTTCTAAGACAACTTCTCTTTTTCAGGGTAAATAAAAGCATTTAAATGCTAGATTATTAAAAAAGTTAGGATACAACGAACTGTATATAGCGTAGGTGTGTTAAGTACTTGTCATGTGCTCGACCAAATCGAATCAACATATGCTTTCTGAAATTCTTCACCTAACCCCCCCCCCCTCCATATAAACGTAAGATGTTTGAGTGAGTGCCCGTTTATTGTTTTATGCAAAACCAGTTGTTATCCATCTTTGTTTCGATGCATTGATTTTCCTGTAAGTGAAGGGTAATAAATGCTCATTTTAACATTCATATGTGTTTGTAAATAATATATATGCTTTAAATCATATATTTTATTTTTTTAAATTATATAATTCAGCTGATCTGCTCCGGTTACGTTCCCAGCTCCGGTTACGTTCCTAAGTAATATTTTTAAAACTTTTTTATTATTAAACAAATCAGAGTCGTGTGAATCAGAAATAACAGAATTATTCAATAGTATAAGGACTATTCTGTACTTTTTTCAAAAGTCTATACTTAAATGTTGTAAAAAGTTATAATCGAAAAACCATCTTTCGGAGTAAAGTCCGACTGCGCCGATTTCAATAACTTCGTACTTGATCAGAACTGGGTTCCAACAGAATTCCTACAAACTCATGAATGAAATAGCCATTGGATGGAATACTTACTTTTGTCAAAATCAAAGTAGAACTCTAGTTAAAAAATATATTGTGCTAAATTATTGCCATTTCTTAGTAAAATGTCGTTCTCCGGTACGTTGCCAAAATTATTCGATGGTACCCCGTGAGTACGTCTAGAAATCACGGACCTCTTTCAAAAACGATATCGGGCAGACACTATCTGCACTCCACTGATAGTTGTCTGTTTAGCCTTTAAACTAATTTAAAATAAAGTGACTATAAAAATTTTAACAGTCTGCGCCGTTCAACTAGTAGTACGTATTTGCGATATACTGATTAAAGATTGATTAATTATTAAATTGAAGTAGGCTTTCTGCTGCAAATAAGAACATGAATCCCGGGACATGAATAAGACCCCAGACCAGGCCCCCGGAAGACCCCATCTAAAGCTTCTAAATGTGTATACTTGAAACCTACCTTGAGCTACCCTCATTGGCTAATAGTCTGACCTACTGACTTTTAACCTGCCTTTATACTTGGGTGCATCAAAAAGTTTTGCAATTTTGACACTATCTCAAGTTATACATTTAGCTTTGCTTTGAAATTTGGCACAATTATAGATCATATATTTATACATAGTGTGTAACGATTTGGTTGCTCACCTGTGATTGGGTAAAAAGACCGGCAATTTTCCCCGGGAAATTAGATATCGTTCAATGCGTAAGATTTTCTTGCTGTTTCAGTCCTGGTCGTTAACGGTGGTAATAATACTAATAACGTCATTTCTGCGAGCGATATAGTGAAATCTTGGACTTCAGGCCTTCGGCCCTTGGTCCAATATTTCACTATATCGCCCTTAGAAATGACGTTATTGTACTATTAATTTATTTGGGAATTTATTGATGATTCCTACTGTATCTGTATTTTTACCATTGTCAACATTTAAAGTTGATAAAAACGATTAGATTCCATCAAATAACGTCCTTGAAAAAAGTTTCCCGGGGAAGCATACCCCTGGACCCCCGCGTGTGCATACCAACTCAAAATATAGCCCTACGCCCATGGCTTACTAGCAATCTTATATATAAACGTTTTCGTTGGATATAAACTGAAAACGTATTACATACAACTTATGTAGATACCTTGTCGCTCTAAATGAGAAAGCACACGTAGCTTGTTGGAAAAACGCAACCCTGGGTCACGTTGACCTCGACTTGACTTTTTCTAAGAATATAAAACTTTTCTGAAGAGGTTATTGAATAAGGTTTACAACAATACCGACAATAATGAAATAAGGCAAGTAATAAAAAATCGCAGAGGGGGGGGGGGGGTCCAAATGACCCCCTTCCTTGCGACTTAGTGTTGAAAAAGGTTGAGGGTTAAGGGTTAAGCCCCAAACTCGTCTATTCACTACCACTGATAAAACTGATACTGATACATTTCTTTGAATCATATAAATGATTTGGAAAAACTGACCGCACTAAAGTAGGCCACCCAAGAGTGCGATAATGATGAGACTGAATAGGATAGTTTCTAAATAGCAGAAAAATCAATAAAAATCTTGTGCTGCTCTTTTATTCAGCTTTTAACTTGGGCTAGAGTTCCATTCACTTACATGCTAAAATCATGATTTATCAAAGTGTGTTAGTTGAATCCGTATAAAACTTGAATGATATACCACATGATGACTCTGTTTATGTACATGTTGTGATTAAATATGCAAATGTTGATTGACATACAAATAATCCAAGGTTTTAAAGAATTTTAGCATTGCATCTATGGACATTTGGCCCAAGTTTTTTAAATTGTCATAGAAAATTATTCAAATTACATATAGTAACTGTGTAAATCAAAGCTATTGTAGGAGAAAACATTTCACTGAATTCAAATATGCCATTTAAAATAAGGTAGTGTAAGTCATAGAGGTCTAATATGCAAGTCTCTTAAAATCTCACGAAAACGAGATTTAGTGAGATTTCAAAAGCTATATGGAAACTATACATGTCATGATATAGGGAGAAAATCAATAAACTCAAGGCCTGTGTTACACTTACTAACTGTATATTGAATGCTCTTACTATGCTACAATATTTTCTGTCCCTATATCTTGACACTGTAATGGAAACTATACTATTCTGCCAACCGTATAGGATAGCACATACGCATCACAACATATATCTGGTTAATTTCCCGAGACATTAGATTCCCCGATTTCCGAATTATGCTTAGTATTGCCCTTGTTATTTAACTACTGTATAATCTCCTGAAGCCACTGAGAAGTATTGTGATAATTAAATGTATGATATTGTTATAGGAGATGAGACTCGGGAATGGGATGAGATTAAGGTTAAAGGGTTTATAAGGAAGACTGTGGGGAACGTCGTCGGTATGAGGAACTTCCATCAACATCTGAGGGGAACCCCGGGGGAATCCGCCAGGAGTTTTTGGTATGACGTAGAAAAATGTAAAAGGCTTCCCAAAGGGTCGGAGACAACTAAACAGTTCCTTCGTGAAATACAAGGAAAGTATTTCATGAAGGGAGATTCCTTTAAGAATGCCTACAACGAGAAATGGATAGTGTTGATGGGTAAGCGTGTGAAATGATGGAAAACTAAATTTCCTTTAAAAATATTAGGTCATCCTGTCCTTTATTAAAGACTGTCAAGCAAACTTCAGTATTGACAATCAAAACTTATTTTTCAGTTCTATCCAGTTCATTCAAATGTTTTATCATCATGTAAATATGCCATACAAAACTCGAGCTACAGTTAGCTTTTTTAGTGATCGGTGTTCTTCGTCGTTTAATAGGTCTCGATTTAGATAGAGAGACGTTAAAGACAAGAACAAGACGGAAAAGAAGCTCTGCAAGGATATCATCAGGAACGCGCAAAGAAGAACATGGTGCGCTTGACGATTTACGGAATATAGTCTTGGATTCGTTGAAATCTTATTGGCTTAAGCGATTTCTTGTTCACTGTAAATACACAGAAGCTAAACAGAAGAAAATGGCACTCGCCAGTTTAACAAGGGAGGTATATAGAGTGGTAAAAGAGAAAGAGAAACCCGTGAATACTGTGAAACAAACATCAAATGAACTGAGAAAGCAAGCGATGTTTCCGAAAATATCGAACAAAGATGTTGGGGAGTTCTTGACGAAAAGCCCAACGACAGTGGTAACATCAAAGAAACAAAGTGACCTTGAGTTAAAAGAAGCTATAAACCATGATAGTGACGAATCCGACGACGAATTTGATAAGTTAAAAGATGGTACCGAAAAAAAACGTTGATAAGGTTAAACCAACTGAAAATAGCGCTAAGAACAAAAACATTTCAGGAAAATATCAGATCGATCGGAAAACATCATCACTCAGACAATTTGCGAAAGATTCAACGACAAGCGCGAATTCCTCAAGAAGAACTTCAAAGAATTCAAAACAGGATATTTTCAACCCGTCTGTGTCCGGTACAATCGCGAACGATATATCGGGTCACCGTTGTGAGACGGAGACTAACTCAAGTAGTCTTTACAGTTCCTACACAGCGTCTATCCCTAGTCTACCGAACATAGCATCTGGGGCACGTTTAGCGTACAAAAACCGCGTCTACGAGCACGTGACAGAATTCTGTAGTACTACATACCGACGCGATAATTACGTCTACCACGAGGCTATTTTCTCGGACAGAGCGTCCGGGTACGCGTTCCAAAAGTTCCTAGAGAGGCAGGGAATCCTTGAAGAAGCCAATTTAATGAGATACTTTCACGAAGCTGACGATTACATGTGCATGAGTCCTACAACTGTTAATAATGTCGGAGAAACATACAAGATGATGAAAGCAATGCACCTCATTGACACATATCTCACGTTTTCCTCGGTTGATTACATTTGGGTATTTGAGGCGTTTACGATTCTTTTGACCTATTTATTGCAAGAAGGACAAGGAGACGTTCTAGTGAAATATTCACAGGATAAAATTACTGAGATGTTAAAAGGAAGATGGCACGCGTTCAGAGACTATGACTTGAAACAATTCACAAAGGCTGTGGTGAGTATAGGTAGATAAGGTGCCATGGTTGTCTTGATGATTCAACTTCTATTTGATCAATCAAGCCAAACACACTCCATCGATCGTTTTAATTTCCTAGGACACACAAGGATACGAAAAATGTTTGAAAATAAATTTGAGTTTCGGAATCACTCTTCGGCACATGAGCTTTGGTTACATGGAGTTGTTGAATAGTTTGTGTAAGCTTTCAATTGTCTCAATATAAAGTAGGAAGAATCTAGATGAAACACCCCCCTCCATTGTTGTAAGTTATGTACTTGTAGTCTATAATTATAATGAACAATTTCAATTCTCTCACCAATGGTGTATAAATACCATAAAAGACACGTTTCTCGTTTCAATCTCTTCAACTGTCATTCTCCCGAATCTTCATATCAATATAATCATCCCTGTTGAAAAGAGAAGAAAGGGTGGTTGTAGGCCAGAATAGAAGGGGGCATTATAATTTTAAAACTCGATACTCACTGCAAGAACAACTGTAGTTAATGCATCTGAATGTATATCCTCCACACAGCTATCAAGAAAGACAAGGAGGAATAAAGAAGAACAAGCAAGAATGCCCTATGAACACGTGGCTGTACAGATTGACGAACCACTTCAATTGTTCGCAGAGAAAAGAGTGCGACGATCATTTGAACTCATCAAAGATTTATATCATGAAGGTGCAGACCATCACCTAACAGACTATAAAACCCCTACTGCCTTTAATACAAGCAATGATGAAGGCAGTCTTTACGTACCAAAGATCGTACATTACAGAAGAAAATTTAAGCAGAGAGGCGGTTATAGATCTAGATTGCATTACGTACTAGAAGACGAAGAACCGGAAGAACACGATTCGGGTGTAGTACATAGGGTGAGCATAGTGGTACCGGAACAGGAGATGAAACCATTTTACATGAGACCAATCAGACGAAATGGCCAACTTATCGCAAGACCAAATAGACCGAGAAGCTTCATTGAGATGATGAGAGACCATATCCATTTGGAATTCTTCAAACGATACCTCAGTCGACACGATGCAGCTTTACCGTTACAGTTCTGGATATCTGTTGAAGATATGAAAACGAAACTCAAAGATCTAAAAGGAAAAAATATCAAGATAAACCTTCTAGTCAAGAAATATTTCGGGGAAGCGACAAACTTTGGGGAAGACCTTAAGTGCAACGCTGATGTCATAAAGGAAATCCCAAAGCTGGAAAAGGTCACGCCATCTATGTTAATAAGCGCACAGACTTGCGTGGCGCATGACCTGGAGGAAAGATGGTTCAAAAGCTATGTGAACACGTTCGCTGATGGGGACGTCAATAACAGACAATCGAGATTGCGGGATGGTCGACGCACGCGTTGTCAGACAAGAACGCAGCAGATCGTGGTTATGTTCGTAAGAAGCGTCATGTGCTTTAGGGCAGGTATCATGAACCAGAAAACAAACAGACTCTTTCATGAGTACCTGAAGCTGACTGTTCAGAAGGAGACGATCACAACGACGCCAAAATCGCGCAATGCACCAGCGGCATCACCACATATCTCCATGAAGAAGATTAACAATAAATTAATCCAGCAAGATAAACTCGTAAATGATTTGGCTTTTCTAGTTGAGGCGGAAAGGTACGTTAATATAGAACACTTGATGCAGCAAATTGTGTAATGTGGCAAGCTCTTTGGAAAGCTTGGCATGGCCTCGTCTATGTTGAGTTCTGTATTGTAATGACATCAGTATGAATGAAATGTCCCTTTGTGTCGGAGTCTCGTATTGTGATAATGGTACTTGAAGGTACGTTCACACCAACGGCGAATGCCACGCTTTAAATCGGCGAGCAAAGCGCCGTCATTTTTGTCATTTTTCTTCATACCAATGGCGCTTTGATGGCGCTTTAAAGCGGCTTGTAAAGCGGCACCAAAGCGTAACAAAGTTTGATTAAAGCGTCGGGGTCGTAATAGGTCGTAGAAAAGCTCAGAGTAAAACGGGATATTCGGCAAGAGCGCCAAAAAATGTTAAACTCTTAAAAAATTTTGGGCGCTCTGTTACGAATCGATTAAGCGCCGAGAGCGTATCAAAGCTTAACAAACCGTAACAAAGCTCAGAAAAACTTGATCCAAAGCGTAGGAAAGCTTAACATAGCTCTAAAAGGTTCCTCACGCTTTGATCCCGCTTTGATCAGGCTTTGTTACGCTTGAAATCACGCTTTGAAAAGCTTTGATAAGCATTATTACGCTTTGATGCGATTATGACGCTTTAAATCAGGCTCTGATACTCTGTTGTGCATTGTTACGCTCTGTTAAGCTCTGTCACGCATTGGAAAATGTCGAGATCGCCGATTCCATGCCGCTTTTGATCCAATGACTATATAAAGATGCAGTAGATCCATAAAACCATAGCATCTTTGACTCGAGAACACGATGGCAGAACAACGAGATCCAGAAATTCCAGATGGACCAGAGCATGACCTATCTGAAGAAGACATGACGTTTGTCGCACGGCGTGATATAGCGTGTGAAAACTTTCAAGCGTAACAAAGCCTAGCAAAGCGTTTCAATCCTTGATTAAAGCGTCTCAATTCGTTGGAAAGCTTGAGAGTCCCTCAGGAAAGTGTAACAAAGAGTGTCAGATATTGATGAAAGCGTCTGACCTCGTGTCAGATCTTCATGCCAGATCGTAGCAAATCGTGAGACATCTTAACGAAGCGTGTCAAGTGGTAACAGACCGTGAATAGACTGGGGTCCCCGCTTTGAACCAAGCTGTGTTAAGCTTTCCTACGCTTTGAGTCAAGCTTTGTTGAGCTTTGTTACGGATTGTTAAGCTTTGATACGCTCTCGGCGCTTCAATCAATTCGTAATAGAGCGCCCAAAATTTTTAAACAGTTTAACATTTTTTGGCGCTCTTGCCGAATATCCCGCTTTACTCCGAACTTTTCTACGACCTATTACGATCCCGACGCTTTAATCAAGCTTTGTTACGCTTTGGTGCCGCTTTACAATCCGCTTTAAAGCGGTATCAAAGCGCCGTTGGTGCGAACGCTTAAACAGTTTAAATTTTTTAGCGCTCTTGCCGAATATCCCGCTTTACTCCCGAGCTTTTCTACGACCTATTACGACCCCGACGCTTTAATTAAGCTTTGTTACGCTTTGGTGCCGCTTTACAAGCCGCTTTAAAGCGCCATCAAAGTGCCGTTGGTGTGAACGTACCATGAATGGTGGGGAGGAGGGTATTAGAGTAAACATTGTTTCTTTCACGTTAGATCATGGTTTTGGATAGTTGGGTGTTTTCCTTATGACTGGTGTCCTTTTAGATATTTTCTTTGCTTGCTGTGCTCTGTAACGTGTGCATACATATTAACATCTGACCCGATTAATTATGTATAAAATATGTATGCCCGGTCATCAGTACTCCATATTCGAACATGACTGTATTCACGCCTTCTATAAACTGTAAACAAAGTCAACATTTCACCTGGGTTATATTCGCGATCAATGCCCCTGTTAATACGTGAAATGTGTGATGTCATAACGGTGGGTCGTAGTAATGGTGGACCATGATGAATATTCTAACCAATTTGGGGAGTTTTCATGTTCGAATCGTAATATAGACCTCAGAGCAGGGATAATATCGTCGAATACATCCCTTGGGGATAGGCACAAAAACTTTCGAGCCCCTCACTCCCTTCGGTCGTTTGGGGAACAGAAAACTTTGTGCCTAGCCCTGCGGGGTGTATTGGACGATATTACCCCTGCTTTTCGGTCTATATTTCTTAATTATACGTCCACGTAAGTCGTTCACGTACAAGTTCTCCTAAAAGCGCGGAGCTTAACGTCCTTATATGATTTCTTTTGCAGGTATAGACAGATGGTTGACAACGCTACATCTGCAGCACAGGCGGGTACGTACCGCAAAGAGGACGAGGAAATGGTTGAGCAAAAAGCATTCACAATAATTTGCTGTTTCATAGAGTCAGAAATACCACCAAAGATACAGGTAATTGTGAAATATGAAAGCCGTTGTTCAGGTCTTTTAAAGGGAGGGGGGGGGGGGGCACTGGTCAACCTTTTGTACAGGGGATGTCGCTGAGATTCAATATATCTACCCACATCTAGGGATTTTTCTCTAAAATTGACCCACATTTAGGGCTTTTATTTCAAAAGAGACCAACTTCGAGGGAGTTTTTAAAAAACAAAACCCATTTCCAGCGATTTGTTTTCAAGAGCAATACCCAGTTTTTAGGTTTTTCAAAAAGTAGACCCAGTTCTAGGGATTTTCCATCAAAATGGGACCCACATCTCGGTTTTCTGTAAAATGGGACGCACATCTGTCAGAGATCTTTCGGTGAAAAGGTGACCCACTTTAGCGGCACGTCCACATATAGCCAATATATGGGAGTAACCCCCCCGGATGCAACCGATATGACAAGAGCTAGTGCTTTATAATACACTAAAAATATTGACTGACTTTCAATAAAGCCTTCAATGACAAATCACAAAGTGCAACTTAATTTACAACCTTTCCAATTGTTTCATCTTGCTTCTTAAAAGAGTGCTTCATCTACCAAGTGTATTAGGATGTATATCAGGGTAAACTAGATTTTCATTTTCAGATTAATATCTCTGCAGACACTGCAGAAGAAATACTTGAGACGTTTCAGAGTGGTATATTGGACAGGGGGCTGTTCCATAATGCTATGATGTCGATATTTACGGTCCTTGTACATTTCTGGAAAAAGTAAGTTCGTGTTGGTTGGGTATATACATAATATAGCATAGTTGCATTTCCGATCAATGTAAAAATGCATTTGCGATTTTCATGCACAAAGAATTAGAAGAACAAAAAGTCACGCCGATGACGACAAGTCATTGGCTCTAATTTACATGTACAATGCGTCCCAAAAAGCAACAAGCAAAAAACACAAAACCAGTGATGATTGGATTAATTTGATTTAGTTTACCCTAAAGCCACGTGTCTCCTCTTTCCAATGGTGTATTTATGTATTTATGTCTCGAAATGGGCATAATCACTTTTACAGTTATCTGGGACACAGGTTGCAGAGTCGCAGACGGAATATTTTTTTCTTAAACATGTTCACCAGGTTGGATTATTTAATCACTTTAAAACAATTTTTCATCTGGATCCTTTATCAACCGTAGGAAAACTGAACTAAAGCGCTACCAATACACTTCAAAGTAAAGGTTGTGTAAAGAAGAAAAGTTGTTTTACGGATATTTTTTGTTTTATCAACAGGTTTTCAAAATGGAGGTTTTCTGCTAACCCCGGGGGTGAACCAGTGATACAACCAGCTTCGTTTGAGTCGGAGAAACCCCATAGATGCATTGATACACCAATATACAAAGACTTTAACCTGAAAACGTTACCCACTTTACAGCCACATGGGATTAATTATGGTATAAAAATAATTACTGGTTTTAAGTCGTTAAAAGTTGTTTTTAAATCTGGACGCTTATGATACCTCCGGGGCAATATTTCGTCAATATCCTGTCTTGCTGACTTTACTTCATTCAGACCTCCATTCAAAAATATCTCCATACAACGTTTCTGGCGAAAGAATATAGCAGATTTCGGAACTCACTTATAGCATTTTATTATTTCCGTATAAATTATGAAGCGTTTCATTACGTCACCATTTATTGTGAAGTTCTTATAAATCGTCGTCTATCACTATTAAAGACGTGTAGAGCTGCGCAATAAATGATGACGTGATCAAACGCTTCATAAGTTATACGTTATATACGGGAATAATAAACGGGTATGCTGTAAGTGAGTTGCAAACACCTCTCTAATATCTGGAAGAGAATGAGATAAGATCGGTTTGTGAGCCAATCAGAATGTAGTATTTTCAGCGTATTTTCAATAGCATTTTCTCAGTGCATTGAAAATGACGTTTGACGCCAATTGATGCTCTGTGTTTTTTCAATTTCATTTGTTTAGATGATGACCATAATGGTCACTTCAGGATTCACTTCACACTCTTCGATGGCCTCCGATATATTGCGGCACATAGCGAAAGACGTAAATATAATTTCGGTAGCCAGTTGTCCTTAGCTGAAAGCAGGTCGAACATAAATAGGTCAAGGTAAGACGACTGATCTTGGGTAGCATTCGCGAATTCAACTGGCGGCTGACGGTTTGATCGCCCAATTCATTTAAATATGGAGAGTACCTGCTGTGCAGCTCGATAGCTAGTGTTATACCCGATCACTGGCCTATATAATGGTTCAAATGACGAGTTTAATGTATGCAGGTTATCGATGAGTTGGCGGTCAAACCGTCGGCCGACAGTTGACTTCGCGAATGGTATGGAAGGTATCGTATTAATTCTTATTTGTAATTTTTTTACAATTGAAGATTTTCAATATTTTCCCTTGAGATATATCCTTTATCTAATCCCTTTCAGAGTGTATATACCATATCTAATCCCTTCTAGAGTGTATATACCATATCTTCATACATACTTGTAACTTTCAGGTCTAGCAAAAACAGAATTAATCGATCAAGCAACCTCTTTTCCGTCAAAACACGGGAGAGTTTGGGGTTAGATATGTTCCCTGCGCCCCCACCCCCGAGAGCAAGACGTGTCAGTATGGTTAGCGCGGGAATGCTGGAGTCGGCAGCGGGGCCTGGAGTGGAAACAATAGAATACAGTGATTTAATCAAGCTTCAGTCATTGTTGGGAGCTAATGCTGATTAAAGGAAAATGGACAGTGACATTTGAACAAACATTTAGAATATGAGGCTTGACTATTTGGCTCAGTATATGTGTGTTCAACATATTTTTGAATCTTTAAGATTTTGCTTAGGTCTATATCCGAGTTTTTGAATCATTGGTTTTAGCTAGCCTATATTTTTAGAAAAAGATAAAAATGCTATAGATGTTGCACAAGTGCAATGGTCTATTATTTACTGTATAGTTTCACAGAGACAATGTGCTTTTATTCTTCATACAAAGTGTAATGTTTGGATATTGTAGTTAGGAAACATGTAAATAACCATCTTGATCCATCAAGGTATTACATTTATGACTGTGCATTCATCTTAATATCATGTTCACCTCCATACATATTTTTATTTTTATCGTATGATCTATAAAATGAAGCCTTTTGATTGGTCAGTTCTTGTGCTGTACCAATCTGTATTGCTACTGAGACTGTCTCCATTGATCATCTCCGACTCGCAATACGGAACATATTGGTACGGAGGGGACATTCTCAGTAGCAATACAGAGGATCACACTTCGTCTCGTTCCAATACGGAATTTCTCGAGCAGAATATATCCTGTATTGCACTTCAAATCATTCAATAACTTATAGTGTTATCAAAACTGTTAATCCGATTTCTTCCTAAATCATGAGAACGCTGACCCCCTCATAAAATATTTTTCCGGGTATTATACTGTTAATCATTTATAATTTCAAGATTAATGATATGTCCCCTAACGTGCAAAATGTCAACACCTGCCATTTGTAACAGACGCCGAACTCCAAACGCCAGACGCCGCAAGAAAAAGTTGGAGACCATAACAATATGTCACCACTTGTGGTGTTGACATAAAAAGTACAATAAATGACAAATCAGATTTTAATTTCACTAAAATTTATTCATATATAAGTAACATCAAAGTAAGTTCCTCTCAAACCGTCAAATGCAATTTTCAAATATTTTTTTCATTTCACCAATCTTTTAACCTGTTAATATAATTTTAATCAAGACTAAGACAGAGTAGAGTACTTTATGTGGCAGTGTGACCGTATAACTTAGATTCCCTAAAATATCATTCATCCTAAACCAAATATTTCATCATTTCAAATTACAATATAACTGCAAGTACATTATTCATATTTTCAATATGTACAATATACAGCCCATTATAATAATTATATACGATAAATGATATTTACTTGAGCTCCTAGTCTTACTCTATATACATTATATACAGATATGTACAATAAAATGTCATAGAAAAACTTTCAACAGTGATGTTCGCATAAGACAGGCAATCTATTTCCAACATAATATCTGAAATGTACACCGCCATACTGTTTTAATTTATAAAAATTTAATTTACATAGAAAAACATTATACTTTTGTATATTGTTTTAATTTGGCATTTCCATAATTGGCTACTCTTCAATTTGGAAAAATTTGAAAAATCTAGTAAATAATAAAGACTTAAATTCGGTATATTTTACATAGTTGGTGAATCGTCAAATAAATAATAATAAAAAGCGCCAAATTAAAGCAATTTACATTTTCAGTAATCATTGTAGGGCATATGGAATTTCAGCCCTCTTGGGCTTAATATGCATTCCCTAACTCCATATTCTGGCTATCACACGGTCATCATTATTTAAAGCAAGGAACACATTCCTTTAATTCAATCTTAAAATGAAAAATCAAGCTATTGAGCGAACACACAATTATCTACAATTAAACCCACTTCATCAAAACTATTGGCAGAGTTCATGATCCAAGACTAAAAGGGGTGTATCATCATGCATTCCTTACCTACTGAGGTTCTAGGTACATGTATATAGTTTTCAGGAATGTAAAGTGTATCTCAGGAGAGGGATAGATATCTTGGTATCTGTCTTGATTAGCTTTCTGGATTTTTAAAATATTAATTCTAAAACATTAACAGGCCTTAGCCTTGCCCAATTCAATTGTTTTATCTTTTATTTATCTTGATAAAAAACACAGTCTTGGGCAAGGCTTAACAGGGCTATTCTATGAAATTTTAAATATTTTTAAGCTTTTTTGAAAAATATCATATTTAACAATTTGAAGTAAATACTAAATAAATAGGAGGTAGAATGTACCAAGAAACCCAGTCGGTATGGGATACATCAGTTATGTACTGTCAGTTTTGGATTCCTTCCTTATGGTCCATCAAAAGATAACATGTTTCACTTAGGATAAACCCCATATCCAAAACCTCCAAGTAAATAACCTTACAAATTACAAAATGAACAAAAAATTAAATAGCACCAAATTAATACAGTGAATTACAGTACAATCGCAGTACCATTTCCAAAATGATAAAGGTTTAATCAGTAATCATTCACTTCATTGTCAAGGGCTGGGTGGGGGTGTTTCACCATAAGGCAATGTACAATCACTATCATAATCAGTGCCCAAATCAGTTGATGGCTTGGCAGGACTCTGATAAACTTGAGTCAAAGGGTTAAATGTTACATTTCTGCTTGTGCCAGGTGTGGGTTGTATAGCATTATAATCCAAAGTTGAAAGCCCTTTTGCTACTTTTACGATATCATCCTCAAGTTGCGCTGTTGTTGTGGCGAGCCCAGAGAGCCCAAGGGCGCTATCAAGTACATCAGATATAACAGTGTTCATGATCGTAGTTGGCTTTTGCTGAGGGACCTGATGTAAGGCAGAGGTGAGGTTTGTGTGGGGAGCTGATTTGCCTTGCGGTTGACCTTGGATGAAGGCCTGTTGCGGAATGGATGGCTGTTGGGCAATAGGTGGCGCTAGTATGTCATAAGCTGTCGAGGCTGTACCTGTGCGTAGGGGCTTCATGGGGGAAGTCTTATTTTGGGTATGGACCGTACTTGCCTGCATTACCGATTGGTTCTTAACAGGGGCTTCGTTCACAGACATCTCAACTGGTAGATTTGTAATTTTAGCTGTGCCATCATTCAGTGACTTAGAGTCCACAACACCAAGAACATTCCCAGTCTCATCAACCAACAACACCATGTCCTTCGGGAGTGATATTGTCGCTTGTTTGTTAGAGCCAGCAAGAATTGCACTGACTTTGTTCATTGAATCTACATTAACAGGAGCACCAATACTCACAGTCTTAGATGCAGATGTTGCTTGAGGAGTGTTATGCATAGGAGTTGGGAGTGTAGCTGGTTTAACAGGGGATTTCAATATAGCGGGAGTGGGTTTATTTGTAATCAGGGCCTTGCTCACTGTTTTATATTGTTTCATTGTTTCTGTAACAGCCTCAACAGCCGGAGGAGTTGGCATGGCAACCTTTGGTTCATTGGGTGATTTGTTGATTATTTCCAAATGTGTGATCTTATTATCTGATGGTGCTTCATCAATTAGACCAGCAGCTACTGCTGCGGCCTCTATATCACAAGGCAAGTCAGCAACCACTTCTTCTAAAGGCTCCACAGCAACATCACCACCAGTATCACCATCGTCATGATCACTTACATCAATTTTATCATTCCAGCCTACCGGACTCTCAATTTTAGATGTCTTCCGTTTTTTAACTACAGGCTTCAATCCAGTTCTTACCCATTCTCGTTCTTGTTCCCGGGATTTAAACTCAAACGGCAATTTCCGTTTAAGTAGTGGCTTATCTTTGTGTTTTGTCTCGGATTTGTTTGGTGAGAAGGAAGTGATCTGAGGTAGGGTGGTCTTTGGTGTGTTCAGTAGTATCTCTTCAGCCTCCTTAAGGCTGTATGAAGTGGGTGGTTCTCCAGAGGCAGGTGTAGGGATGATCAATTCGAAGTAGGTGGCCCTGAAATAACATCAAATTAATGTGTAATATATATGTATGTTTTTTTTCCCATGCCTACCTAGTCACGAAATATCTCACCAGTCTATGAAAGTATTTACATGGACATGTCATCCAATCACTTGTACTTGCAATTAGATTTGACAATACAAAATATAAGTGGAACACATGGTATTACAGCCCTAAGCTGTTGTTGTACAAGTTGTTTTTAAGTAAAATGTTTGATGCAATCTTTTTAGAAAACATACTTTTTAAAAAAGAATTGATAATATGATTTTTGAAACATAATTGAAAGTAAGATTTAAGATGCAGAAATGTCCAAATTCATTAGAAGTAAAAAAGTGTTCCATGACATGGAATGATGAAAAATATTGCCCAGTTGTTAAAAATTTTTGGCTTCTAACCTTTCGACATGTACTCCTGATAATCTATTAGATACTATCAATGTACAATATAAAACTGTAGCAGAAAACACTTACCCGCCAGATTTGGTGATCTTGGTGCCGGGTGTGGCAGCATCTCCAGATATATACTCCACAGCAACATTGGGGCCTAATTGTGATACCAGATTCTGCACCTCAGGTGGTAGGTCCTCTCTCTCAACCCCCTTAGAATTACTATTCACATTTTTACTGGATGAGTATGAATGCTCTGGGACATGTTGTTGTTTGTGTCGCATAAGCCCAACCCCAGTATAAAAATATTTGTCACACTCTTCACAGTGATATGGTTCAGATTTACATTCTTGCTTGTGATCATCAAATCTAGTTTGCTTCCTGAATCTAGCATTGCAATTTGGACACTGGAATTTTGCCTGGTATTTGTTGCTACCGACTTGTCCAGTACATGACTGGCAATGTTCAACATACTCGATACCATCATTGAACATAGCACTACATTTGTCACATTTTAGAACTGTTTTATTTCCATGGAATGCTTTCTTATGAAGTGTCATACTGGCTGGTGTTTTCAGAATAACCCCACATTCATCACACATGATATCTTCTTGGAGTTCTTTATTGCGAAGGTCGTTAGTTCCAATCTGATGCGCCTGGAACTGGTGTTTCTTAAATGTTAAAGAGGAATGAAAAGCTTGAGGACACTCAGTGCACTTATATGGTTTTACCCCAAGGTGCAAGTTTTGATGATCGGAAAGGAGCTGTTCATTACGGAAAGATCTGTTACAAGCTGTGCACTTCATTGGCTTTTTCTCCCCATCATGAATCTTCATATGTTTATCCATGTTCACCGTCTTTGGGTAAAATCTAAAGCATATTGGACACTGGTGTTTTGTCTCATCATCATGGCAAGCTCTATGCTTCCTTAAGCTTTTTTTTTCAGCACACACATAGCCACATAGATCACAATTTTGTGATTTTGTCTTAGTCCCTTCCTTACCAAGCCATCTTTTATGGGAATTGACATGCATTTTGAGAGCAATCTTTGAGCCCATGATCTTACCACATTCATCACACATGTATGTACAAGATGTGGATATATCACTGTGATATTTCATGTGCTGCTCCAAGCTTTGCTCCATTTGGAATGACTTAGCACATAAAGCACAGGTATATTCACCATCTTTGTGATTATAGGCCATATGCTGGTTGTATCCATTATATGAGTTGAATTTTTTAGTACAGCCAGTTGAGGTGCATTTGTAAGGTCTTAAGCCCAAGTGAAAATAAGCACATTTCCTTATTTGGTTTTCATTTTTCCATTTCCTAGCTTTACCACATGCCATACAGTATTTTCTTGTTGCCATAAACTTTGAACAATAGGCTTTGTACATTTCTTCTTCAGTAAGTGTTTCATTTATCTCTTTAACTAGCCCATCACCATCTTTAAGAATATCAGTATTGGTTATTTGGTCATCTTCAGTACTGTCTATAGCCTTTGTCACAAGATCAGTTGATTTATCCCCATGAGCAGTTTCTGCATCTTTATCACCTAGTGTATCATTCTCCTTGAATATAGTTGCACCCTCGGCACTACCATTGGCAGCCTCTACTAATACTTTAACAGCAGTTTCCTCCATATTTGTTTCATCCAATGAAGCTTTTTCTGGTGGCTCATCAACTTTCTTGAAACTATTAAAAACTCGAAGATCTGCCTCAGAAAGGGAACTGTTCTTGTAAAATGACAATTTCTTACCACAGGTGGCCTTATTGATAAGTTGGTGAAATAATAGTTCAAACACTGTGGGATGTTGTTTTTTGCATCCTTTACAAACAAGATCATCGTCCTTTACAGGAAAATGATCAAGATCTACGTGACTTATCCTTTCCTTTGATGAGTGAAATGTCTCTGAGCACTCTTCCAATAAACAAAATAGTAATGTTTTTGTGCAGTCATCTATATGAGCATTCATTTCCTTCTCAGTGGCAAATCTTTCTATGCAGCGCTCATTTGTACATGATATTGGTAATTTATCTGCATGTTTTTGTTGATAATGTTTCAGAAGGTGATAGTGATATGAATGTGTTGCATTACATAACTTGCATTCAAAGATATTTTTAAGATGGACTTTAACATGACTTTGAAGTGCAGCTGATGTTTTACATTTTTTGGCACAAAATTGACAGATCAGTTCAGGGTCGAAGCTGGGATCTTCCATCGGATCCCAAGCAAGTTCATCAGTAGCATCCTTACTTGCATCATAGTCTGGGTCTCTTACATCATCATCATCAACAAACATACTTTCTTCTTTGTCTTGCATCTTAGCTTTGAGTGTATCTTTAGCATCTTTTGTGTCATTTTTATGTTTTCTGATATGTAATTGTAGATATCTATGTGTTGTGAACAGTTCTCCACAATCCAAACACTCATATTCCCCAGAGCCTAAATGCGACAATGAGTGACTATTCAGCTCTTTCATAGTTTTAAAGTCCTTTGAGCAGATAATACAAACATGTTGATTTTCTTCTTCTACTTCTACTTTAGTTTTTCTCTTTTTAACTTTTGGCTCATGGCCATGTAGGTTTATCATATGTTTGGAATATGTAGCCTGTGTGTTGTAAATTTTACCACATTCTTCACATGGATATGACTTCTTTTCCACTTGTATTGATTCATCGATGACAGTCTTATGTGACCTTTCATGCAATTGTAGATTTTTAATTGTCCTAAAGCTCCTATAACAGGTCAAACATTCATATTCACCCTCTCCATGTGTTATTGCATGCTTTGTTAAATCCTTTAATGTCTCAAACTGCAAACTACATATGCTGCATATGAAATCACTTCCATCAGCAAATCCTGCCTGTTCCCCTTCTTCAATTCTTCCAAGACGTTTAACTATTTTCCTTGGCCTTCTTTTGACTATGGGTTTGTGTTGTTTCGTTGATGTGGCTATTGCCTTCTTAATAATACCAGTAGACCGCCATTTAATTGGTGGTTTAATTCTCAGTTCTTTGTGAGTTCTCTTATGGGCTGTAAGTTCTCCTCTACTTGTAAAGTGTTCATCACATTTTTCACACTTGTGTGATCCCATATGGATATTCTCATGGTTGTTCATAGCAGATGTGGTTGTAAACTTTCTTGGGCAAAAGAGACAGCGATATGGTTTAAGATTTAAATGCCACAATTCATGGAGTTCTAGTACTCGCTGTCGAGGAAAATCTCTCCCACATGCCTGACAAATAAACTTTTTGGACAAATTGGAATTTGCCGAGAGATCAGTAAATTGACTGTAATTCCTAACTTGATTCAGTGATGCAGCAGCTTCAATTTTAACACCCATTAACGAGTTATCCTCAAATGTTGATTGTTCTAGTTCATGTGAACTAAATTCTTTTACTAAACTGGCATTTTCTGGTATATCATTCAGACTTAGACATGTAGTTCTTGTTTCATTTTTAACTACATTGTCAACAAGTTCAGAAAGTATTTCTGTGATAATTCCAATGGGACCCTGAGCTTCACATATAGAGACACTAACCACATCACTGAGTATTTGTTTTGCTAAGAAATGGGAAGAGTCTAGTGCCACTGAAGTGTTCATTGCGTGTAAATCATTCATTTCATTTGGCTTTACTTGATTTAAATTGTTGATTCCTACGTCTTTCTCCCTTATGCTTGTATGACCTTCTATTAATGCAGAGCTTACATTGGCAATACTATCGCTGGGAAGTATAGCCTCTTGCTTTTCATGATTGGTATCCATTGGCTCATCAATTACCATTGTATTATCTTTATTGATGTCATCTATATCTACTATTTCTTTATTGGACGGCTCTGATGATTCTGCATTAAGATTTTCTACATTCATATCTTCAGTATGGTTTGGGTCTTTGTCTATCCCATTAGACTTTGTAATATTTTTCACAATATCATCTAGAATTTCCTTTACTATTTCTGTTGAATCATATTCATTTTCTTCATCTCTTGTTATCTCAGTGATCATGCCACTTATGATACTTTGAACAAGTTCTTCTGATGATGCATCAATTTTCATTCCCTGATCACATGTCTTAAGGTTGACATTTTCTGCAGCTTTTTGAACTTTACCAACATTGTCAGCAAACCTTACATCTGCTCCGCAGTGTCCTTGATCTACTATTTTGTGGTGAAGTAATTGTGAAGCTGTCCAAAAGGATTCTGAACAAATGGAGCATTTGAATTCACATGCTATTGTGTAGTGGTCTTCACGAATGTGAATATTCATTTGATTTCGACTTACAAACTCTTTGGCACATTTAGGACAGTTGACCTTATTCACTTTCTTGCACCAACCAAGCTTTTCATGCTTTGTTTTATAGTGCCGTAAACTAAATGTTTTTCCACAATGATCGCAAGCAAATGGCTTTTCACCAGTATGGGTGAACTCATGTTCTACCAACTGCCTCCTCTTTTGAAAGATTTTCTTACAAAACTGACAGCTATGTATTTTCTCATTTGAATGAGCTGCTTCGTGTTTTTTCAAATGATTAGGGAAAAGAAACTTTTTGTCACATTTTGTACATGGGTATGGCCGGGCTCCACTATGGAAGTTCATATGCATTTTCAAATAATGAGGAGCGGAAAATGTCTTACCACATATAGAACATGTTGGTGTTTCTTGATTTTGTTTCTTTTCAACTTTCTGATCGCTATCTTTCTTATATGCCCTATGCCATGCTTCATGCATTTTAAAATATCTGAATTTCTTAAAAAGTTTCCCACATTTTGAGCATTCAAATTCACCACTGGAACTATGTAATAGTGCATGTCGGTTAAGATCCCCAATATTAGGGAAGGTCTCTTCACAAATGCTACAGGTGAAATCACCAAATTCATCCTCAGAATCTGTTGACCTTTTTCTTTTTCTCCTCATGGGTGTTGTAATCATACGCTTCATTGCTTTGCCAGTGCTTGGTTTGATTGGCGCTTGGTATTTCCATGCATGTGTTTTTCGATGTTTTTGTAAGAAATGTAAGGACACAAACTGTTTACTACAAACATCACATGTGTGGCTACCCTTTGAATCAGCTATCTTGTTCTCTTTATCTCCTTTACAGAATTTCCCATGTAGCTTCAAGTTCCTAACAGATGTAAATGTTGCACGGCAACTCTGGCATGTACTTTCCTCTATCTGATGTCTGATGTAGTGGTGATACATAAAGATCTCTGTAGTGGCGAATGTTTTAGGGCATTTAGCACATCTATATATATCAGGTATATATGGGTTAACAACAACATCACTTGTGACTGGAGATGAAGATTTACATTTCTTAGATACTTGCTGGTGGACTTTGAAAAAGGTCATCGTTGAGAACCAAATTTCACATTGTGAACATTGTAAGTGACCAATATCAACATTTCCCTTTTCCATGTTGGATAACATAGAATCTGAGATAGTTATCTTCTTTGCCTTGGCTGTTGAAGCATTACATGATTTTACATGGCTGCTGTAGTCTCCAAACTTCGAGAATGACCTCTTGCAGTGTTCACAAGTCCATTTTGTTTTTGATACATTAGTATTGGATTTAATCGAGATAAGTTCAGCTTTAGCACATGAATCATTAAGAGATTTATGCCGAACGAATTCATCTTTCTGTACAAACCAAACTTCACAAAGACTGCACTTGTATTGACCTAGACTACTCTGTTGACTTTCATTGTTCTTCTTGTGCATGTCTGTATGATGTCTCTTTATACTTTTAAGTGCTCCAAAGAACTTTGGACAAAGCTTACAATAAAACAAACCATCCTTTTCAGAGAATCGATTATCATGAACAACTGGTTCCTCTGGTTCTTCTTGTATCTTTGTTTTCCAGGATGTTCCTCTTTTTCTTTCACCATGGATGTTGGACTTGTGATCGTAAAGTTCTGTTATCTTAACAAAGGTTAAGCTACATTGAGCACAACTAAAGGAAGCATCTGGAACATCGTCATCATCTAATACAACCACATCCATGGGTTCATCATTCTTTTGAACAGCTTTTTCACTTGTATGCATGCTGTTTTCATGCAACTTCAGCTGGGATTCACTTCTAAAGACCTTGTAACAATGAGTGCATTTGAACTTAACATGTGATACCTCTAAAAGGGGAGAAGAAATATGTATGTCCCTCAAAACAGGATCGACTCTCTTAGTTGGAGTATGCTTGACCTTAACAACATGGTCTCGTCTTTTTGTTTCACTAATTGGGACAGAATAACTTCTGGCAGGTAAAATCAGTTTATGCACTTCGACTCTGTGTTGTTCCCTTTCGGTTTCGCTGGAGCATGATTTGCCACATATTCCACATTTACAGGGACGTGTGTATGGTCTACTAGAAGTGATCTCTAGATGTCGTTTCATATGTTTGTTTTTATTCGACAAAGAAGCAAATGGAATCATGCACACAGAACATGTTAGGTCCTCAGCACCTACTTTCTTTACGCTTCTGGGAGGATCATCTAATTTGGGAATGGAAACAGCAACTGTCTTTAAAATAGTATCAGGTACCCGGATAGGTGTAGGAACCAATCCGATCTTGTCTATTGGACTTCCAAGACTAGACTTAGGACTCACAATTCTTTGACCTTTTGAAATAATGTGTTTTTGTATTGGTTTAGGTGGTAGAACCAATCTCTGACTTACCCTAGTGTTTAAAGAGACCTTTTGTTGTGGATTTATTTTTGTTAATTTTTGATTTGGCTTTTTAGATTGATTTGATATTTTCTGAATTTGTTTTTGAGGAGGTAAAGCTTTTGCCACTGTAGAGTCATCTACCTTTGTGAATAGCTTACTTGCATCATGATCTTGTGCTATGTGCATAAACATGGCCTGAAGTCCTCCAAACGCTTTACTACACATGGCACATTTATAAGTTCCACCCTCATCTGCCAATTCTTCAACTGGCTTGCTCTTTGGGAGTAGTTTGGGCTTGGAGCGTGTTAACATTTGTTGACGTTTCTTCTGTTCACTTTTCTTGGCCTTTTCACAGAACTTTGTATGTGATATCTGCCCAGCTAAGTTCATGAATCCCTTTCTACAGATTTTGCATTTATAACTTTTTACCCTCAGTGGTAATTTTGCAAGTTGTTTACTTGGATCCCTGTGTCGTCTATTTGGTCTTGAAAGTGGATGTGCTCTTTCAATGTGTCTGGACAGACTTTGTTTAAAAACGAATCTCTGAACACAATTCTCACATTTGTAAGGATGGCTTACCGGTGTTATCTTCTCTCTTTTGACCCTGTGAATGTACTTATGCTCACTAAATCCGACTGCTGTTTTATATGATTTCCCACACTGTTTACAATTATAAAGTCTTTGTACTTGTTTCTGAGGTTTGGGCTTATGCGTTTTAGCTTTAGGTTTTGATGTGCTAGAGGCATTAACCTTTTGATTGTGAACAAGTTTGACATGGATTTTAATGCTATCAGTTGAGGCAAATACTTTGCCACATGCTTTACATTTATAACCTACTTTATGACTTGGGGGTGGGGGTTGAGAGGTATGGCTCTGGACACTAAAAACATAAAAATTCATTCTTGTATAAGGTTATAAGGTTGGCCACATGCATTGCAAGGAAAAATCTGACAAGGTAACGTTGACAAGGCTTGAGCTAAAAGCTGGTCTATTGCAAGGTTATTATTATTGAATACTGGAATATAGGGAAATAACATCGTATCTGGTCTGTGGCCCATTTTGACAAGCTGTTCCCAGCTCATTAGCTCAAGCCCTGAATGCAGACTTTTTCCATGAAGACTTGCATATATATGACTTATAAAAAGTAATAATTAATGACATCATTCATTTATATCAAGTGATGAGTTTTGGTTTACTTGGTTTTTGCATTTTCTTATCTTGTGCTGAAGTGTGAATATTTTTGAAGTTCAAAGAGTTGGCTTCATTCATGCATAATGAATTAGGGGATTTGTAAATGAAATGACTGGAATGTTGTTGAATACTGTTTATTGTGCTTCATTATTCCGACTAAAGCTGCTCTATCAAATCCTAATGTTATCCACCCCATTCCTCAAGCCGACACTTAATAAATGAGAGAATGATGACAAAAGACTCATAATATTGTCCAATGATATTTGAAGTCTTACCTTTGCAGGCCAAGAGCATGTGGTAATGAGGCAGGTATGGTACCATGGCTTGTAGCAGGTGGGATACCATATTCTATTCCTCCTGGGGACTTCTTGATGTTATGCAAAAGAACAAATGGCTGAGAGTCCACCAGGTCATGGGCCATACTCTGAAGAAAGTTTGACAAGAATATAACAGAAGGCAATAAACAAGTACTATTTAATCATTTAACGACACAATATTGGTTTGCTTTACTTTCCTAATATAGTAAAAACACAAGCCATGTCAAAAATTGTTACAAAAGAAAATTCTCCATCATTCAATATTTGAAAAGATAATTATTTTTTATGACATTTCAGATGTACCAAGTACATAACTTACTATGTTGTGCCTAGTTGGAGACATTTCAGGTCGTGGTGGGGTAATGAACTCCACCTTCATCTCCAATGGTGCCCTTTGTCCAGAAACATCCTCAAAGTCGACTGTCTCACCAAGGTTGACATCATTCATCTCTTCCAAGTTGACTTTATAGTTTGAAGGACTATCAACTCTAGAGGTGTCGTCAGCTTCATTATTCAATTCCATGAATTCATACTGATTAAGAAGTGAGCCTTTATGATCAGAATCTGCTATGGATCCATAAGACTCAATCATCATTTGTTGATCATTTTCCTGATGGTCGACCCCATCAGAGGTATCAGTGTCGCATGTAGTGTTATTTTGAGTATTAACATTGGTGTCTATGACATCATTCCCTTGAATGTCATCCCCTACAGGTACAATGAGTGTGACTGATGTTACATGGGGGTCATCTTCAGTTAACATTTTTTCATTTTCATTAGTACAATCTTCCTGGGGGATGAATGTTGAAACATTATTACCATTTTTTGATTTTGAATCTCCAATAGTTTCACTGTCACAAGCACCATCCTCAATATGAGCCTCAGTCACCTTGATGGATTCTCCAATGTTCATGTCTACATCAGTATTTAAGGATGCAGTACCAATCTGATAATTTGCATCATCTTCTAATGCATCATTTTTCTGTCCAGGATTGTTAATCATTTCATCTGTCACAATTATTTTCTCTGGCTCGGGGAGAGTATCAGGCACAGTATTAATGGTTTTATCTGATTCAGGAAGAGCTTCAGTAACAGTCTCACTGGCTTTATCTGGCTCTAAATGAGCGTCAGTTACAGTTTCAATGGCTTTATCTGGCTCCAGAGGAGCATCAGTCACAGTCCCACTAGCTTTATCTGATTCAGAGAGTGCTTCAGTAACAGTTTCAATGGCTTTATCTGGCTCTAGAGGAGCATCAATCACAGTATCAATGGCTTTAGCTAGCTCTATGGGAGTATCAGCCACAGTCTCACTAGCTTTATCTGATTCAGAGAGTGCTTCGGTGGCAGTTTCAATGGCTTTATCTGGCTCCAGATGAGCATCAGTCCCAGTTTCAATGGCTTTATCTGGCTCTAGAGGAGCATCAGTCACAGTCTCACTTGCTTTATCTGATTCAGTGAGTGCTCCGGTGACAGTTTCAATGGCTTTATCTGGCTCTGGGACAGCATCAGTGTTTTGCTTAGAGAGAGCATCATTCTGTTCTTGAACAAACTTTTCAATATTCTCATCAATATCAATGCGATCAAAATCAACATCCTGGCCTGAGTTCAGACCTTCCATTTCAAAGCTGATATCAACTTCATTGTCAATGGCGTGGGTACCGCTAGCCTGTTCACCCTGATCATCTTGAATATCTATAATGGGCTTCACAATATATGCAGATCTATCATTATCTTCCATCATGCTTTCTGGCTAAATGTCACAATCTTTTGAGCACAGGCAATTTTCACCTGAAAATAATTATAACATTCAATATTTCTGTGGCTGTTAAGATGTTCAGGGGATGTACATTAGAGAGAAGGGGCGTTAAACATTAAATTTTAATGACCTAAAGAGAAACAATTAACAAATATTGGACTATAGAGAGTGCAATGCCTGTTTATCTTTAAACAATTTTAACAAGTTGTATTCTTGCAAAAGTCATTGGAAGTAGAACAGGTATTGGATGAAATTAGATGGTTAGAATCAAAGGGCCAATGAAATATTTGTTTACCTATAATCAGTACCCATAAGTATGTGGGCAATACTTCTTTTAGAGGTTATTTATAATTGAAGGAAGTATGAAATATGTATTTTTGATCATATGGTACTACATTAACTGATCAGAATACTGGATTTAGCCATAATTAAATAATATAATATATTACATATACATGTACGAACAAATGAACAAAAACAAACCTACTTAGTTCAACTGCAATTACAGCAGGTTCTGTAGTTTTGTCATGAGAGCATTTCCGAATGCTTTTCTGTATTCTGGGCTGTAGCTGTCCATCAAGGAGTGAATAGTTTCATAATAAGGACAACCATCAACTGGATTATATTCATCAATCTGGGAGATATCTCCAGTCTTTCTAAAACCTTGTTCTGTGATTTCCACTACAATTTTCTCATTTTCTAGTGTTTCTATGACAAGGAAGGCCTTTTCTTCTCCATATGGAAGCTCATTGTATTTTGCTACAGATTTAACGAATGGGGTAATTTCGTTTATGGCTCCTGCTAGTTCAAAGTGTATAGTCTTATCTGATCCTGATGTTGGGCTCTCTTTACTCATAATTCTTGATATCCCACACTTGTCATCATTTGAGACGGATTCAAATTGTGCTGAAAATATAAAGGAAACAAGTGCCTTAAGGAAGAGTTTACACAATAAGCATTTCTATGTAATGATTACAATGACCACAACTAATTAATGAAATGGGTAATATTTCAAAACTTTATGTAGACATTTATAGAATATTATAAAACATATTTTTCAAAATCAAAATATTTTGTTAAAATACTGAACTAACATTTTCCCATTTATTTTTCAATTTTTGCCCGTAGCCAGCTTTTACCAGGAGGGAGAGCTTTTTTCCAGGGGGGGGGGGGGGGGCTTTTTCACAATTTTGGCTAAATATCATGCGAAAAATTCCCAGAATGGTTAAAAACTGCATGATTTTGAACGAATTTCTGGCCGGGGGGGGGGGGGGGGGACTACGGGCCTAAAAAGTGCTGTACTACCTTAAACATGTTAAATCAATGCAAAACTATTTTGGAGAGTTTTCTGGTGAGGATGTAAAAAGACATGACAAAGAAATATCAAGATAATGTGTGTTTGCTTCGTCATGCATGGGGAATAGTTGTACATTGTAATGAAGGAAAGTGTTCAACATTTGTTAGTCACTCATTCTAGGTGTTCCCAAGTTGACAAGCCTGTTTATGAAATAAGTTGATTTATGGCAATAACATTTGACTGCAAATACGGTAAAACCTGTCCAAGTGGAACAGCAGTGGTACCTCTAAAAGTTTTTCACTTGGGAAATGTTCCACTTAGGTTAGACATATAGGTTTATTTAACATTAAGTAAATTGGTCTTGGGACTCTAAAAGGTGTTCAACTAACAGAGGTGTTCCACTTTACAGGTTTTACTATATTTTGATTTTGAATTATGTATTCTACCATAATGTGAAAACATCCAATTAAAAATGTGAAAAATATTACACATTTCTTTAAATAAAAATGTGAAAACTAAAGTATTACACATTTCATTAATTATTGGTAATTGTTTTCATTAAAATTCCTGTCAAATAAATATACAATGTTGAAATGACATTTTTGGAATGTAGAACTACCTTCACTTGAATATATTAAATATCAAAAGTTTAACTAAATCTAATTCAATCATGTTAATTTCTGGCGTGTTAACCAATATCATAACTTATCATTTCACATCAAGATAAAGAAAGATGTAAGGAATATGCTTACATTGATTAAAACATCACAATGACGTGTTATATATTCAAAAACTAACTGGTGAGAATTTTTGTAAACAAGGTGGTACGCAAGAGACTTCATATGTCTGTCATTGCTAAAGCTCTGGGGGTTTCCCTCCTCTTTACTGAATAAATGGCGGTAAAAGAAAGTCAAAGCCCATGACAAACCTGCTCATATTTCCATAAAAAATTCAGGGCATTGACATAACAAAATACCACCACCTAAATGCACTTAACCGTAGGATGCTTCTCTGTTAATTCAATTTGCATCCTTTAGGTAAGTCTGTATGTTTAAAAACTGCATGGCTTCCTAATTAGAGTTGATGTTATTTATAGACAGTTATAATGTCAGAAAATAACAACATTCTGACGGTTTCATTGTTTGAAAATATTGAATTGCGCCCCTAGGAACTAATCTTCCTTTTGCAAAACTGATAGATATAAATCACCAATGAGTTAAAATTGGATTCCAATTAGGAAGCCATTAACATTTCTGAACATACTGATCTACCTTAATACTGGAGAAAGTTGAGAGGATTTGTCATATTTAAAATTGTATATCTATGTAGTGTACATTAGGCTATATGTCTAACACATGGCAGCTTTTCTAAAAAGAGCTATACATTTAAGAGCTAAAGACAACGGAAGGGGAACTATGGACATTGTTAGACAATGGAAATAAGGCTTCCAAAATGGTTCTAGTAGACCTATCAAATAAAAATCAAATCAAAGCAGCAGCCTTATATTTGGCCGTCTATCTGTTTTGTACTGTAGTTTTCATGTTTTTCATGTTTTTCTTCGAGGTGGTCTTACTCGAGAATGTATTGATAGATCTAGCCTAGGAGGCTAGACTAGACTGTAGACTAGTCTTGTTTTTTTATATTTCAACATTATCTTAGTAGCTAAACTGTACTAAACTAGGCCAAAGTAAAGGTTAATTGGGTGTTTCAGTCCATTATGCAGCACACTAGACTTTAGTCTTAAGCAACATTTTCAATTGTAAGTCCATTGAGAGTCACATTTCAAATCAGCAAAAGTTACCATGTGATAGGTCTTGGATATGGTCTTATAAAATGGCTGCTGTTTTGATGACCATGTTGAACAAATCCGGAAATCAAAAAAGTGTCTCCTTACCAATTTTGCACTCTGATCGTGTATTGAAATGTCTTGTTAAAGAGTTGGTTGGACTTTGTCTTTTGCCGACGTAGTTTCAGACACGATATGATGCGGTTTACACACTGAAGCACTGTTTTGTCTCGTCGCGCTAACAGAGACACACGCCAAATTGTGGATTTTGTAATTTGCGCAACATCATGCTCTATACATTCACGACTCAACTTTAACTCTTGGGAAAATGATTTATCTTCAAATTTTTGGACACACTTTCAAAACACCTTCTTTTAGGGGAGTACTTATCTCTATTTGATAACAGTTTGATATAGATTAGGCTGAAAATATGCATTTCATAGGTTATATTACCAGAGCGTTTAATCATTTTTTTAAAACGCTCGTACTTTGCATGCATTTTTCTGACCAATTAAAATCATCTAACAAATGGGCGATAATAGATTTTCTAAAAAGTTTTTGAAAATTTTAGCAGTTTTCTTCAATTATTTAGTGTTAGATAGATGGATTCATAGCTGTAAACTGAACGAACAACAATATGGAAGAGAGTTCTTTGATACCGAAGTATCAAACTGACATCGAAGAACCAGAATTGGGTGAAAACGAGACTGGTGTAAATTTGAATTTTTCTGAAAAATTTGAGCTCGAATCAAAACTCGATCACGGGGTCCACAATAATCATGAGGATACATGCGCAACCACAGGTATTATGTTCTTTCCCCAATCGAAAGACAGTCATTTTGATGGTCAAATTATACTCAAATAACGTCATGGATGATCAGTGAAAGTGTTGTTGACATTAGTGTTGTCGCGATTAATCGATACATCGCGATATACATCGCCAAAGCTGGTTCTTGCGATGCATCGATGTCTGAAACAAAACATCGATGTTTTTAAAAAATTGTAATTTGCTAAAAATTGCCCTTTCTTATCTTATTTTGACGTAAATTGCTTACCTTTTTTCATGTCTTATTTCATTTTCAAATGTTTTCGAACTTTTTCTCGATGTACATCGCGATGTGCATCGATGTTTACTACTGAAAATTGCTGATGCATCGATGTACGGTTATGGCACATCGCGACAACACTAGTTGACATGGAAAAGTTTTCCTTTCATTTTCAACTAAACTTTTATATTTTTTCAAAGCCTTTCTAGTTGCTTGACATTACAGTAATTATGAGTACATTATTGACTTTCCAGAACAAGTGATCCTTGTGTACCAAGATGAACTTATGTGCTCAGACTGTGGTAAACACTGTAACGAAGTGAAGGACTTCCTGGAACACAAAGTTGAACGTAAGAATCGCTTCACTTACTTCTCATGAAATTTTATGTAATAGTTTGCACATGGACCTATCGTGAAAATGATGAAAATAAAAAATTCCCTCAGATGCAAATCATATATTTTGTTAGGTGTAACATCTTTCTAACCTGATGGGGACCAGTGATGAGTGAACTTTTGGGCTTGGAGAGGTGTTGGGCCAAAGAAAGTTATGTGTACCAGATATGATATAGAAATTTTGTTCAGCTTAATTTCTGTCCACACAATTTACATGTTAACTCCATGTTCCGAATGTGATTAAACAGTGACAACTTTTCACATTTATTTCAGACTTCATCTCTAAGGGTATAGCCCAATGCTTGCTGTGTACAGTGGAACTCACAAACCCTGTTGACTTATTTAGCCACTATAAACTGCAACACAACATTCATGACTTTGGCCACAATATGGTTGTTCTAGACACGCAGGGTCAGATAGTTCATGGAGACACGAATAACTGGAGTTCTAATAACATCAATCTGGAAAACCCAATATTAGAAGATGATGACCCTGCTGGTGTTGATGCTGATGTTAACGAGGATGATATGCAGGTTGATATTAACTCAGTTACGACAATGCTACCCGAACTAAGCCATGTTGAACCAATATTGGATGACTCAAATTCAAAAAAGGACAACGGCAAACCCAAATCTTCCAAATATTTGAAAATTACCAAAAAGATATCTCAGGATAAGAAAGATGAAGAAGGATCTAAACCCCAAAAAGATGATGACTTTCTGGATTATTGTTTCGGATTAAGCACACGACCTATAGCTGGAAAACGGAGACACCATGGTATGCTGTGCTTTCAGTGTCTTCAGTGTAGCTGTAAATTCAATGGTGTGAGTTTATTAACTAAACACATGAAGGCGAAACATGGCAAACTTGATCCACAAATATTACTCTCTCCACCTTCTGAGCGTCAAAAGAACGACTCACAAGAGATCCTGACTTTTTATGACTACATCAAAAAGAATCATCCAAAGAAAAAACGTGTAAGAAATGTTGAATACCAAGACATTCCTGGGGAATATCCCTGTCCAGAATGTGATAAAATGTTTCTCCGGATTAGGTATTTGCGGAGACATATGCAATCTCATAAACCAGGGTCAAAGGTGGTGTGTGACGAATGTGGCAAATCATTTAGGACTAAGGCTTATTTGGGACTTCATATGAAAACGCATGAAGCGAAGAAACCATATGAATGTCCTGAGTGTGATTTTAAATCCAGTATGAACCAAGCTATTCATAAACATCGGCAGATTCATAATGCCGGGAGTTTAGTGTGTGATATATGTGGATTTGCCTACTCTGATAAATCAACACTTGTGAAGCATAAGCAGGTTCATGATCTCAGCAGACCTTATGCCTGTACATATGACACATGCGCCTGGAGGTTTAAAACTGAAGTTCTCTGCAGAGCGCATATTCGTGCACACACTGAAGAAGGTAAATTCAAATGTACTCGATGTGGTTATGCTTTCCGTCACAAGCATCACCTACAAAGACATAACGCAAAAATCCATGGCATTCCTTACATCCCATGTCGTACAAATATCATACTCCCCAAACCCCCAAAACCGGATACACCTCCTTCCCTCGATACAACCAATCCAAATTCATTCAATTTCATAGTCCAAGCTCGTCCAGATAATATACAAATCGACCCTTTAACTCAGCAACTGGTTGTCACTACTGATAATGATGGGAATTTCGCTATAACAGACCCAGAGGCTTTAAGTGGGATACAATTCATACAAGATGCTGTAGATGGTGATGAGACCGCAAGGACTATATTATTGTCTGCATCAGATGGAGAATGTTACAGTAGTGTTATTACTGATACGCACGTTGCTGACAATGAACTTGAACAGGAGCCTAGAATAATGTTTCAGCAAGATTAAAATCGAAAGTGTACAAGACGATCATAAAATTCTCGTAATATCTCTATTTTTAAAGATATATGTAGTTAAAAATACATGAATGTTAACATTTAAATTATTAGCTTATAGGGATATAGGGTCATTCTCAGAATTTTTTACATGTTTTTTTTGCGCTGAGTTTCTTAAGCTACTATGGCAACTATCAAATAAAAATTAGAGAGAAATTATGAGAACTTTATGATCACCCCTCATCTGTATAATGTTGCCAGAATCTGGAAATAGAATCTTAAGTAATCTAGCTTGAAGTCTCTGTTTACTAACTCCCTCCCAGTACTCACTTACGCATCTTTTTGTAGGATTATATAGGAAGGGGGCACACAGGGTTTTGATGCTTACTAAATTGAACTGTAAATTAATGCTATTTGGAGCTCCAGCATATGATACACATACTGTAAATCTAGAAAATTCACAAAAAGTTTTTGAAAATGGAAAAACATTAACACACAAACCAATGGGAAAAGAAGCCAATTCCTACTCACTACTGGTGTGCCACCTATCAGCCTATGTGAGTCTTCATTTTAATTTGGATTGTGATTTAATTATTTGATCAATTTAAACATTGAAAGTGATTGACATTAACAATATGATTTCCAAAACTTTTTGTTTGAAGTGATGTGTCATAGAATATTGCAAAATGTACAATGAAATCAGTGCGAATAAGAGGAATATATTTTTTAATATTTATATGTAGTTTGGGGAATTATTTTACTTATTGTGCATCACAAATTGAGGGGACAATTGTTAGAACTCTAAAATTGATTCCATGTTAATGTTGTATATCACATCATATGTCAAATTGCACAAGACAATCATTTATATGACCAAGCAATGTATGGTATTATGGCATGTAAATAATGTTGATGATATTTAGAAAAAATGGATTATTAAAAGAGAAACTCATTGTAAATAAATGCAATTATAAATTCATATTCAATAATATATCGTTCATTTAATAAAAATTTCATCTTTCGTGTCACGTACCCCAAAATAAGACAAAAGACATGTCTTAAAAAGTTCATCTTTCTTGTCACATACCCCAAAATATATGATGGTTGGCTACAAGATAGAGAAGAAATATCAAGTGACTGCCTCCACTGGAATAAGCCAAATAAATAAAGATCAACTCTTTCGACCTATTCTTCATGATGCAACCATCTGACCATGGACGAATCCTGTTGATATAATTTTGTGTCTGTTGTGTCGGTATACAATACTGTGCTCCCGGTTAATTTCGCTAGTTTTAATTTCGCGAATTTTGAGAAAAAACGATTTAATAATGATCTAATAAGCCACTGTAACAGACATTGTTACTTAGTATCCATCCCATTTATCACCTAAAACACTTGACAAACATTTTACAAAACACGAGATGTAATGGAGTGTCAGATAATGAAAAATTTCACAAATCCCCGGGGATTTAATTGACAATTTTGCGAAGATTAATTTTCACATTTTTACCACATTCGCCAAAAGCGTGAAACTAAATCGCACATGAAAAATACCGGGAGTACAGTATTAATATTATTGGGGGCCAAACGTTTATTGGTAGCCCTATATACTTACTATGAAGATTTTCTACCATTTATGCTCCATTCAAGGAATCATGATAGTATTTAAGTTTATATCTTGACATGTATTTGCTTTGTTTATTTTTGGTTTTTGAGATGTTACAGAAATAGGTTATGCATTTTATAAAGAGGGCAGCACCTTATGGTGATTAGTACCAGAAAAGACAACTCCCAGTGCCTCCACTTCCGGATTTGGATGCTGCTCAAAGAATTTCATATGACATGTATTTTTGCGTATATTACAGTATTTGATGGATAATAAATATATTTAGGCACATTAAGAAAAAGTTTAAGGTCTATAGATCATTTTGGTAGCTGCCATGGCGTCTTCCGCAAAGGTATGATATAATTTTTGCACTTTATATTTTTGACTTTCAAAATAAAATTTTATTTTTTTGATCATCATTGATTCACCGAATTCAATGATTCAGTCACTTCCCATATTCGTTTTCATCATATTCATGTAGAGGCATTTCCTATATTCAAGACAAGCACATTTATTAATAGTCCAACAACATTAGACCTAGCCTGGGCCTCGTTTCTTATCTGACATGTCTTATGGCCCCGGCTAGGTCTAACTTCCATGATGATTTTGCCCTTGTTGCGATCATTTAATCGTTCAGCAGGTTTCGACATGCGGAACTAATTAAACTCCGAAAACATGGTAATATTACATAAAGAATGTGATTCAAGCATGCATACATACCTTATAAATACATACACACCATCCCGTACCCCCCTTAGACCATATTGATGCATAATTACGAAAATATTGGAGACAGGTTTGGAATTTTACGAAAATATCGGTCAGCTCCGGTAACATCGAAATTGCAAATCGTATCAGGAATTAACCGTCATTGCGACACTGCATCAACGAACAGTAGGTTTGCAATTAATAACGATTTTGTGTGTATACAAGCGCTATATAAATCAATCAAAGATACCTGCTATCCTCAAAAATGGCTATTTTATCCCGAGTAATCGTGTGATAATTATAAATCTATTTGACAACAATTTCGTTTCAATAGTTCAAATTTTAACCCGGGACGAACAGACACAATGAAGGACATGCGGAAATGTCATTTTAGAGATTGGTAAGTTTAACCTCATTTTACTTGTATAAATGACCATTTAATACAATAATATTGTGTTGAATCGCTTGATGTTATGTGTTTTTATATTGTTGTCAAGTATCAGTTGCATGTTATCGCGGAAAAAATGGTTTCGGTGGATCCAAAACTTGCATCAATGGAAAGAATAGTAAAGAGGTTAAACTCAATAATGGCCCCAAGAAAATTCTTAATAATAAATAACGCCGTTATTGAGTTTAACGACGTTGAACTAATTTATTAAAAGACTGCAATCAAATTACCAAAACATCAAAGTCCAAGTGCCAAAGGCAATAGTGATACATTGAGCAACAGTCAGATTGGAATAACAACTTTGAATATAAAAAATAACCGATTGTAAAGGACCATGTTGCAACAAAAATAAAAATATAACTACAGTTGGGGACATAAATAAATGACAGGTGGATTTGCTGAAGTGAGGATTTCCCATGTTAAAAATAAGAGAATTTACAAGAGGCCATAAATCAGTGGATGAGATTATACAAATTGTAAAATATACAAATTTTAAGGGATATGTATCTAGACAATATTGGAAATTATTTCAGACCACCATAATTAGGAAATGGTGATCGAAAATCGACCTGTCATTTATTTTTGTCCCCAACTGTACGGGCCAATATGTTATATATCATATGAAAGCTTGCATGCTGAGTATATATCCCAATGATATTTGAAAGAATATTTAGCAATTTTTCCTCCCTCCAACTCCATTATCAAATCCAATACAAATAGAAGCTGTAATTCAAATTCAAAAATATGTTTTCATTGATAAATCATATTTTGATCAGTGTTTTGCTCATTTCCAGAGGCCCCGCAGACATGTACGTCCCAGCTCCAATATGGCAAAATTCAGGGAGCACTTTGCAAAAGCCAAACATATTGTGCTTTTAACAGGGGCAGGAGTTAGTGCTGAAAGTGGTGTTCCCACCTTTAGAGGAGCTGGGGGATTGTGGAGAAAATATCAGGCAACGGTATGTTAAATAGTGTTATCATCTTGATTGGAGATCTTTCAGATGTTCTTAGAGCTAGACATTAACAGATAAATAGTATGGATGGTATCAAATTATCAATTAACAATCAATTAATTATCAGAAATGAGTTAACTTCATTATGGTTTACCCCCTCCCTTCATCTAACAAAACATTGATTTGCCTACTTGAATTAAAAAAATCAACACTCTTGGGTCAAACAATTTTCTGCCATATACCTAACAAAATAAACTTCAACTGATGATAATTTGATACCATACTATCCCTTATATATCTTCTCAAGGTAAACTGTTTGTGATACAACACTGACATCAATGAATAATGATATATTAAAGATGTTATTTAATGATTTTAAAGATACAGTAAAACTTGTGTTTATTGAACATTTTTTTGCCAAGAAAAAATGTTCAGTGTTGGTAGGTGTTCACTACAAAGAGGGTGATTTATACAAAAGTCATATTAGTAGAGTGGGGGAATGTGTGGAGGAAGTGTGTCCATTAGAGACAGGTGTTCACTATAGAGAGGTAGTCACCAAGACATGTATGTTTTACGTGGACATAGTTTTTTCACTGTATTTTTTTCTTGTCAATTTTCCAGGATCTTGCTACTCCTGAGGCCTTTGCTGCTAACCCATCTTTATTATGGGAGTTCTACCATTATAGGCGCAACTCCATGTTAGATAAACGTCCTAATGATGTAAGTATTCAATGTGACTTGAAATAAGGTCAAAGGCTGATTACAACACAGTACAAAATATATGATGAAGGTCAAAGATCAGGAATGTCGATACAATCTGGTTCATTTAAGGTAGATGGGGATGTTCAGACATTTTAATGGCTTCCTATTTGGAGTCATACGTTGTATTTAGGTATTCGTTCCATTATTGGTCTGCAACCTTCAGTTTTGCACAAAATGTACACAAATGTGCCAGATTATTAGTTGAGGGTTAATAATTTTCTATATTGTATGAAGATTTGGAAAATTCAATGACCTACTTTTCAATACACTGTAGTACAGAAATGTATGTCACTGAATTTTTAAACTTTTTATATACATGTATCTTAGATATTTATCAGCCCTCAACAAATAATCAAGGTATATTAAAGCACTGCAAGGAAGTAGATCGAATATGAAATGATCAATGAGTTAAATGTAGCAGAAAATAACACGGCACTCTAGTTGGGAACTCGCATTAGAAATTCTTAACATGCTGAACTACCTTAAAGCTATGTCAAACTCAACTGGAAAGTCGAATATTCTCAATTCACTCGTTAAATTTCAATAAATGCTACTTCAAAAGTACTCGAGCAAGTTTATCTAAATATCAAATTGACATTGATTTTAATTTAAGCATTTATGAATTCTTATTCTTTAGAAAGTTTTTTTTGAGGGGGGTTTACATAGACCTCTATTGACTCCTTGAAATGTATAAAATATTTGGTTTAATATTGTATTATAATACTCATATCATTCTCACAGCAAATCATTCTTTTTTAAAGGCACATAAAGCTATAGCTGAATGTGAGGCCAGGCTGGAAAAGCAGGAAAGGCGTGTTGTAATCATAACACAGAATATTGATGAACTACATGCAAAAGCAGGATCAAAGAATATCATTGAGTTACATGGTAGGAATATATTTTATCATTGAATTCTGTTCAAAAAGTAAACTACGTGTGAGTTTTATTGTCACTTTTGGAATGTCATTGACATTTGATTTGTTACTCTGATATATATTGTATTTAAATTTTTAACATTAAATTATGCATTTCCATTTTATGAACAATACTAGTACTTCGCTCATTCCATCATGTTGAATACACTCTGATCCAAAAACCCTTAGTGTTACAATGGAATGATAGATGTATGTCTTTACAGTGTATAATATATTGTTCATATCTCATCCATTAAATGAAGCATATTTTTACATTTAAGGCAACCTATTCAAAGTTCGTTGCACCAAATGTGGACGCATAGATTATACCAGATCCCGAGTACTGTGCCCAGCTCTGGAAGGAAAAGGGTAAGTGAAATAATATAGTGGTGAGAGATCAGGGATGGTATCTAAAAGATATCATGATGCTGGAAAGGTTAAAAATCAGGGCCAAATTAGAAAAATTTATGAAGGTTTTTTGGAATATTTTGGTACATATATTATGTGAAACTTTGATCCAATTTTCTAAATATTTCTGAAAACACCAGGAAAACAACAGAGATTGGCCTCATATATCATATATTTAGCATTAACTTGTCATAATTGTTCAAGTTTCTCCCGTGTATTATGCTGTTGATTTCTTATTTTTCAACACAATATTTATTTTCAGTGAGCCTGATCCCAAAGCCAAAGATGCTAGAATTCCAGTGGAGGATTTACCAAAGTAAGTTCCAGTTCCAAGTATTATGTTAAGTGTAGTGTATAATAGGATTTTATTAGTACTGATGCCCTTTTAGGGCAAAACGTACATCCGATATACAATTTTCAATGACAGTAAATATAGCAATAAAGTAAAGAAAATAGGATTACATTCTTCAAATGACATATAAAATGTTACTTATCATCTGGTAATTGGTAATGTGTAATGTTAATCTTGTCATCAAAACAGACTAGTGCTAAGATCTGCTTAGGTTTTGGGCATGCTGGGTAAATTACATGTCGGCCATTTTGCTCTTCAAAATGCGATGTTTATCACAGTGTCTCTCATTTTTCAGATGCAGTGATCCTGACTGCAGAGGCCTTATAAGACCTCATGTTGTATGGTTTGGTGAAGATCTAGATGAAGACATCTTTAAGAGGGCTGAAGAGGAATTAGAGCAGTGTGACCTCTGCTTATTGGTATGTCTTATTATACAGCAAAATGTGCAATACACTAAAACCTGTGTAAGTGGAACAACTTTGATACCTTAAAAACAGTTCCACTTGGGGGTGTTTCACTGGTTACCGTTTCACTTACAGAGGTTCTTTAACAAGTCAATCTCAAGATTTGAGTTGTTTTACTTATATAGAGTTATTACTTTATTCATAAATTTTCTAAAGCCTCAGTCACATTTCCTCTAAGGTGGACATAGTTTCATAAAATCGATATAGAAAATCTACATTGTACTACTTTTCCCTATATTTTGCTGCATATTTCTATTGAATTTGGGAAACTGCGGGTGTCATAGGGTGGATCAAATGTGACTAAGGTATTATATAACAAGAAGTTTGACACAATCCAATTGAGAAATGTCATCCAAACAGATTAATTTGAATCACTTTAACACACAATGACATGCCTTCTTAACTCACAGAGGTCATGAGGCGAACTAGTATCTAAATGTACATTTGATATTAGATCTCTCTGTAATATATCTCTCTCTGTAATAATATGAAAAAATGCTGATTTATATTTCTAATATTTTAGGTTGGTACATCGTCTGTAGTGTATCCTGCCGCAATGTTTGCACCAAACGTAGCAGCGCGAGGAGTTCCGGTTGCAGAATTCAATATGGAGGACACTAAAGTATCTGGACACTTTGGGTAGGTTTCTTTAACATCCTTTTAAAACGATCCAACTTGGCATCTAAAGCCCATCCATTTGGATTTTTCAATTAAAAATGAATTTAACAAAAGTATTGTGAAAAATGAAATTTATTTTTCATAAATAAGAGTGCACATTTATCATTTATCCAATATATCCTATGTTACTAGTATCCCTATTATCTTTTTAGTAAAATTTAGTAGCAAAACAGCTCATTTGGTATCTCAAAATTTTGTTTCACCTATAGGTGCCCTCTATATTTACTTAAATAAGTGACTCAATTTTATTTAGGGGCAGCAAAACTTTATATGGAGGTTTCCACTAAGTATTATAGTTTTACTGTTCTTCTCTACTTCCAGGTTCCATTTTAGTGGTCCAGCAGGCGTGACAATACCAATTGCTTTGGCTGAACATAAGAATGAGATTATAGCCCAAGTGGAGTCAGAGCCTCTCAGTAATGCACAGTTGCCTGATAGTGAAGAATCTGTCTCTAATCATTCGAATGATACATCCGTATCTGGATCTACCATAGATTCAACAGGATTTGATTTCCCTCGTGGTAAAGAAGAATCGGAGTCTACTCGTACCAAAATGGAATCAGATTCTACTCAAGTCAAAACAGAATCTGGATCTCCTCATGTCAAATTAGAATCGGACACTTCTCATGTCAAAACAGAGTCAGACGACAGAATAAAAGAGTCAGAGATTACTCAAGTCAAAATGGAATCAGATTCCCACATTAAAACAGAATCTCCCTATGACAAAACACAGTCTGATATTTCTGATGGCAAAACAAATTCCAATTCGCCAAATTTAGCAGAGTCTGATTCTACAAACGACCAATCAGAAAAAAATACACCAAATGAACCTTATAAAATTGGAACAGGGGAAAATGATCTTACTGCTACTGAAATCGTTGACCATCCATCAGGGCAAACATATGAACCTGAAAATGAAGTATCCAATCCAAAAGGGATTGATACACATGGGGAAATTGTAAATGATTCAACTGAACCCCCTGTTTCTGATACAAATCAGCAATGATTTGAACATCATCTAGGTAATGAATCATATGAAAACTGAATGTCACTTCAGTTTCATAACATGCTTAAACAAGGCATTAAATTGCAAAATATAACCACCTGCCGTTATATACAAATGCCATTTGTTACAGACACCGAACATTGAACACCGTCCATAAAAAAGTAATATACAAATATGTCACCAGTTGTGTTAGTGACATAAAATCACATAGAAGAGTTGAAACCAGTTTTACATATTTATATGATGCATTTGGATTTTTTTATGATTTGTTTATGAAACCTCTTACAGCCAAGCATGGATTGATTAATTTAACATGCATATTACAAACAGATTTTCCAACAATTAAATGTTTGACACAAAACCAGGTCATGTATTTTGTTTATTGTATCATTTAGACCAAATGAGTTTCTTGAAGACTGTGGAATGGGACTACTGGTGTATAAAATTGTGACAGTAAAAGTTTCAAGTGGAACACCTCCATATAAGGAACACTTCAGACTCCCATGACTGATGTTATGGTAAATGAGCCTCTGTAAATTTTAAGTGGAACACCCCCATATAAGAAACACTTCAGCCTCCCATGACTGATGTTATGTTAAATGAGCCTCTGTAAATTGTAAGTGGAACACCCCATATAAGGAACACTTCAGCCTCCCATGACTGATGTTATGTTAAATGAGCCTCTGTAAATTGTAAGTGGAACACCCCCATATAAGGAACACTTCAGCCTCCCATGACTGATGTTATGTTAAATGAGCCTCTGTAAATTGTAAGTGGAACACCCCCATATAAGGAACACTTCAGCCTCCCATGACTGATGTTATGTTAAATGAGCCTCTGTAAATTGTAAGTGGAACACCCCATATAAGGAACACTTCAGCCTCCCATGACTGATGTTATGTTAAATGAGCCTCTGTAAATTGTAAGTGGAACACCCCCATATAAGGAACACTTCAGCCTCCCATGACTGATGTTATGTTAAATGAGCCTCTGTAAATTGTAAGTGGAACACCCCCATATAAGGAACACTTCAGCCTCCCATGACTGATGTTAAGTTAAATGAGCCTCTGTAAATTGTAAGTGGAACACCCCATATAAGGAACACTTCAGCCTCCCATGACTGATGTTATGTTAAATGAGCCTCTGTAAATTGTAAGTGGAACACCCCCATATAAGGAACACTTCAGCCTCCCATGACTGATGTTAAGTTAAATGAGCCTCTGTAAATTGTAAATGGAACACTTGCCAAATGTTTTGTGATGCCAAATGTGTTCTATTAACGGAGAGCTTACTGTAGTATGTTTCAACTCAATGATGCAAAGGAACATATCACAAATATATCTTATAATGTATTAAGCTATTGGTGCTTTTTATGTATACTGTATGTTTATAGAACTAGGCATATGCATTTGCTAGTTCGCTATCAAATTTCAATTTCAACTACATTTGCAGTTTACTAACCTGTTTCAATCAAATCATAAATAAAATACTGTACGCATGCATCACAGGTACATAAGGCAATATGTATGAATGAACTCAAATAAATGCATTCTCAGCTTTAGGCAGATCCTAAAATGTAGCAGCCATGTATATGCATGGTGAGTGTGATGGACTGAAGTAAGATAGTTAAGTTAGAGTGAGAGTTTTTATTCCACAATAACATGTTTTCCCTGAGAAATAAGCAGGGAATATAAATGATATTAAAGAATCCTATACCAGCCCAAATCCCGTATCAGAAAGTATTAAGGAATAAATAGGTTGTTGATGGTCGTGATGATATATGAATTTTTTCTGAAGAAAACATGTTGACCTTGGAAAATATCATATTTTCCTTCGAAATAAAATTCATATCCCATCCCTCCCATTGAATAAATAACTGTATATGAAATGTGCGAATAGAATTTGAATATACTTTTATATATGTAATATCCGGTGTAATATATACACTACACATATGTACAACAATTATATAAATAAATAAACCCATATTTACACTTACATGAAGAACTAACATTTCTTTGTTTTGCCATTCAAGTAAGAAAGGTTTATGTTACAGTAAAACCATCCCATCTGAGCGCCAATGGGTCTGTCCAAGTATTTGCAGTAGCGTAGCCGGGAAGAAAAAAACGACGAGGTTATATTGAGCGCTACAAGAATTATTTCCATTATTCAGATTCTAAAATATAAACTTGTCAGAAAAATACGAATGTGCTTGGGTCAGTCAAAAAGTTCTGTTTATTTATCTCTAACTTTGTCATTTTGAGGAATTATTTCTTGATATTTGGTACACATATAGAACATACATTTGTGCAAATATTGACTAGACATTGTATCTCAACTATCATTGGTTACTGAATAATGGTTGCTATGGTAACAGAAGGCTATGTACTCGGTTCAACCCAATTTTATTGATTTTCATACACTGTTAAATTACATGAAATATACTTTAAACTGTCTCAATATTTAAAAAACTCCTTTCTAACTAAGTTCCCGATGTCATATCTAAGTTTAATTTAGTTATTATCCCACCGAACGAAGTTCGAGGGGGATATAGGAAAGCCGTCCGTCCGTCCGTTCGTCCGTCCGTTCGTGTGTCCGGGCAATAACTCAAATACCGTTAGACGGATTTCATTCAAATTTTATAGGCTTATGCCTTATGGGTGTAGGACCTCTGCCCGAGAAGGAATTTTCAATTTGGCCGCTTAATTCAAAATGGCGGCCATTTTTCGGAAAAAATATAATCTTTAATAACTCAAATACTAGTGGATGGATTTGGTTCAAATTTTATATGCTGTTGCCTGGGTACAAAGGAGCCTTGCTCAAGAAGACATTTTCAAGATGGCCACCAAATTTCAAAATGGCGGCCATTTTTCGTAAAAAACGTTATCTTTGATAACACAAATACCATTGAATGGATTTGGTTCAAATTTTAGATGCTGATGCTTAGAGACATAGGAGCTCTGCTCGAGAAAGGATTTTCAAGATGTCAGCTAAATTTCAAAATGGCAGCCATTTTTCGTTAAAAAACGTTATCTTTGATAACTCAAATACCATTGAATGGATTTAGTTTAAATTTTAGATGCTAATGCCTAGGGACATAGGAGCTCTGCTCGAGAAAGGATTTTCAAGATGGCAGCTAAATTTCAAAATGGCGACCATTTTTCGTAAAAAAAACATTATCTTTGATAGCTCAATTACCATTGAATGGATTTGGTTCAAATTTTACATGATGATGCCTAGGGACACAGGAGCTCTGCTCGAGAAGAGATTTTCAAGGTGCTAGCTAAATTTCAAAATGGCCGCCATTTTTCATAAAAGAACGTAACCTTTGATAACTCAAATACCAGATGACAGATTTGGTTCAAATTCTATTTGCTGATGCCTAGAGACAAAGAAGTTCTGCTCAAAAATAAATTTTTAAGATGGCCACTGAATTTCAAAATGGCCGCCATTTTTCGTAAAAAAATGTAATTAATGATAACTCAAATACTAGTGGATGGATTTGGTTCCAATTTTATATGCTGATGTTTAGGGAAAAAGGAGATCTGCTTCAGAAGAAATTTTAAAGGCGTTAGCTGAATTTCAAAATGGCTGCCATTTTTCATTAAAAAAGTAATCTTTGATAACCTAAATACCATTGGACGGACATTCTCTGCTAAAGAAGAAATCTAAAGATGACAGCTGAATTTCAAAATGGCAACCATGTTTCATAAAAACATAATCTGTGATAATTCAAATACCAGTGGATGAATTCGGCTCAAATTTTTTATCAAAACATGTTTTGTTCGGTGGGATTTGCTACTCCGTGGAGTTGCTGTTTTTCTAGTTTAGCCTTCAAAATAGTCGCCTCCTGCAGCAATGACATTTCGGTGCCTTTCTACACAGTCTCTGGAGATCCCTATGAAACCGCCAGCCGACAATTCATTAAAACGTTTGCGCACTGCTGCGCGCAGAGCCTCATCGGAATCAAACCGGATCCCTAGACCCCTCTTTAGATTGCTGAAGAGGTAAAAGTCACATGGAGATGTGTCTGGGGAGTATGGTGCTTGTGGAGTCCCCATACAAGTAATGTTACCAAGACTGCCTTAGAAGACCTCCAATGGAGCAGGATTCCACAAGCACCATACTCCCTAAAAAGTCGGAAAATTCGTGTTTTGCCTCATTGCTTTTTACAAAATCTGAATCTTTTTTTTAATTCGCTCACAGTTATCATCACACGCCCCCCCCCCCCCCCTAACACAAAATCCTGGATCCGCCCCTGTGGACGAGCATTGTCCATATGGAAGTGTGGCTTAAACCCTCGCCGTCTCTTCTGACATATGGCCCTTCTTGAGTGAAAATTGACCACGTCATATTATGATGAAAAGGGGAACTATTTTCCCCAAATTTTGGGGATTTTCTTCATCTGCCCGCCGCAGTGTCTATACCGAGACACTGCATGGGAGTTCGGCCAATTGATGCCAAATGAAATTAATGTGACAAATATATGTTCTATAGATGTACCAAATATCAAGAAGTAAATCCTCAAAATGACAAAGTTAGAGATAAATAAACAGAACTTTTTGACTGACCCAAGTAAATTATTCGTCTGAAATATGAACAAAAACGTATACCTATAAAACATTAAAATACGACTAGCTAAGTTCGATGATGACAAAAGAAGAACATGACGATGTTACGTGATGAGACTGCATAATTGAATGAAAATTGAATTGTACAATTTTGAATTAAGACGTATCAAAAAGCAAAAGTCTTTTCTAGGTCACCGCGAATGGCATGATTTCCTCGAGTCTCTTCAGTTGCAAGGCAACCATACTGGGACCGATTCGCGTCGTTCCACTACTGCCCTTGGTGGGGGCCCGCTACCATACTGTATGACTCCCGGAGTCTACCAAAGCACGTTAGTGGAGGAACCAACCACAGTCTCACAATCTGTCTCCGACAAAAGCGGTCAGAGAACCAACCCATGCCAAGGGCCGGTATACGGTTGGACCTTCGGACCGGGTGTCCGTAGTGACAATGATCAACAACTCCGTACCTGCGGCCCGAACGCGGGACCTCCGTATCCCCCGGTACATTCAACCGCAGTCTAACCCACTCGGCCAAACTGCTCAGGTGTCTAAACTGCTCAGAAATGTAATATTTGTACAACTATTTTGGTTGAATGAACACGAACCTGCCTATAATACTTAATCTTATTTTCTAAGGTCGATTTTCTACAAACACGTGTAATTGTCTACTTCGAGTAATTGTTCCTTCTGAGATATTTCAGAAGAACAAGATCGAATTCGATTATCATAGCATTTTACTTTCTAATCAATCATTTTTTAGTGTTTATGAGTATTCGTTTTTTCAGTTTTGGATTTATGCTTGTCACATGTATATAAGACTCGTATGTTAGAGGGCATTTGTTACACATGTGTTTTTGGGTTAACGATACGAGGTAATTTAATCACGCGTGTTAATGAGACGTTGGGCCAAACAAGCCAATAATCGGTCAATAATGTTGCCACCGAGAAGATCTCGAATTAACCCGATTAAGAAGAAACAAGAAACAAACATTTTGCCTAATTAGAGAATAAGATATACTGTACGGTATTATTTGAGACCATCATAAAATATGTTAGTCTCAGGTATTATACACGGCTACGTCATTGAATTCAGATTCGCCAACAGGAAGAAATACAACTCAAAATCCATATCCATGTAGATTTGGACCTATAATAGGTTTATCTTAATATTTAGACAGGTTTCTTTGAATTCTGGGGTATTGGCCCTCTTGGGTCACTTCCATACGTATTTATATCTGTATATAGGTCAGTTTAAAGCTTATAGAAATAAGAACCCACTATTGTACGTTATTGAGTTTTTGTAACAATAGCAAAGCTTAGATTTTGATTAATCGAGAAGAGGCCAAAGTTGACCAGAGTGTTAATCAAGGGAACCTGGGATAACCGACTGAGGTCCCCACAAAAACCAAACCTTTAAAGAGAAGTCAAATCCATAGCGCCATGTTTTATGTGCTGATTATAATTAACTGATCAAAAAATGTGAAAAACAATCCAAAAACGAACGAAAAATGAGCGTAACGTTAAGTAAAACGCCATTAAAATACGAACTTATTTCGATGATTGGAATCAAAGAACACGAACGCTTGTGTGCTGAGATTATGCACAATTGAATAAAAGAATGATGACTTTATTAGAATCGTTAAAAGTATACAATTAATTTACAACTTCATTGATACAATAATATTACTCAGTCAAAGAGTGCCTGCCTCGTCTGCCTCATCCTGGGTACGTTACCATGGTTAGAGATTTAGATTAACTGGTGTTCACATTTCAAGGTTTCTAATTGTAAGTCAATGGAATTTACAAATTAGGGCCAGGGAATTGTTTACTTTGAGAGGTGTTCAATATTTGAAAATGGCGAGATCAAACTTCTTGTAAGTGTTCCAAAGACTGACCATATGTTACAGACACCGAACACAAAAAGACTGGGAGACCATAAAAATATGTCAACACTTCTGGTGGTGACATAAAATTAAGTGGAATAGGTTTTCAAAAAATTTCAGAAATATTCATTCAGCATGGTTATCAAATTCTAGTATTCAGTATCTACAATCTTATACAAAAATGGTAATTAGTAACAAAAAATCGTTATTTATTTGGAATAAACATTTTATTGTCCATTATTTATAATATATTATACAAATATTTTATAATTCAAGTAATGTCACTGATACACACGATTTTTTCTCTTAATTCTTGATACAGATTCAACCAATCACATGACTGCTATCCTTATCTCCATGGATACCAATAATGATACATGGTTGCTATGGCATCATTATCAATTTGACTCAAGCACCATAGGGCATTATGATGTAGAAACAAGCTCAAGCTTTTAATACATATTTTACAAGATTGAAATTTCCTATATTTGAAAGACATACTTTATATATAAAAATATGTTTTGTACAATTATATGAATATATAATACAATCTAAGCTGTGTATACCCGAGTCATTAATACTCAAGGTAACATTGACACATGTGCAAGAAAACTCAAAATAAATACTACACAACTTTTAATACTCAAAATTCTATTTTCAAAACCAATTTCCACACTCACACAGATTCCATTAAAGCATTAAATAATTGAACTGAAATTATTCTTTCAACACATCAACGAGCTAAAACAGATTTGAACTTCTAATTAATCATTTCAATTTTTTAACCCATTATGACACTGATTTATCTGTTTAATTTTGCCATCAGTGTTTTCTAGTTGTCATAGTGTTTTTCTTGTATTCTCCCCCAATTGCTATAGTTACAATTTTATTTAGACATAATTTATATTATGGTCAAACTCAGTGCACTGAATACAATGTCTTTATGATTTTTTCCATTAAACACAAACTAACCATTGTATCATCACATTTACCCATATATCACATACAATTGATGTTTTTCTTCAATTTTGGAATAATTCTTCAATCTAATTATTCACATTTCATCATTTCTTCAACAAAGCCATTCCTGTTAGTCTAAATAAAACATTGAATCTTCTATCAATTGCGTTAACTCCAACAAAATTTTCAACTGTTAATAACAAGCTATTCAATTGTTGATATTATGGGGTATTGAGAATTAGTAAGAGAATATGCAGTCAAAACTCATTTATGGCAAATAATTCCATATAGGATGTACCACTCGATCAAAATACACATCAAAATCAATACTTTGTGATCCATTACTGAATTAAAATTAAATTCTTTCTACATACATTTTTTAATGACATTAATGTCATCCACAACGCATTCTTCAAGTCAAGTAGCAACATATGGTCCCATATCATAATACAATTTGGCAACACAGGGGAATATTAAAAATATAGTGTATACTGCATATCTGAGGCCGTTACAAGTTAATCTTCAGGGGCATGAACTTCAAAAAAAGTAATAAACTCTTCAAGTTCATTTTTCTGGAGCCATTTTCTCATAGAATGACTCCAACTCATTTAGGAATTCTTAACTATATAAAGTTTTGTAAATGGCTCTTGTTTAGTCTGATTTAAAAAAATCTGTCGATGCACAAATATCTAGAATTATGGGTATACACCACTAAACAAACTTGTAATTTGGAAGGGCCTTACACTAACTGGAGACTAGGAACCAAAGGATATAATGTAATAAATGGAGAGTATACTTTACAGAAAAAATATATTAGTCAATCTTCTTAAAATAATATTCATGTCATGATTTCTTCAGTGATCACATTTAAGTAAGATTTATTAGAGAAACTCACAAGTTACATCGCTTCTAAATTAACTCTTTAAATCAGATAAGATGTACAAATAATAGTCTAGCTCCAAGACTCTGCGACTCCCACCCCTACTAGACTAAACACCTTCTCACCTTGTGGGTGTTTAGGGAGGGGGGGGGGCACAAGGGCTAGACTAATAATATTGCTTAAAATAATGTTTAAAAATACAGTACAGTAACATTTTCAGTAAAATGTACATGTATTACAGTATTATCTTGGAACACTTTCTATAAATGAGACATCTTCTTCCAATCTCACCCTTACAAATATTCCACAATGGAATTCTTTATTTTATTTTCATAAAGTTGTATTTTGGTGAAAATGTTACAGCGCAAAACCTCCTGATCTTTCTTACAGACAATAAGCAAATGTATCTTGTTGAGAATAGGTCGATTTGTAAACTAAATATTAACAAATATAACAGGTGAATTGCATCCTCCTAAGCAGGTGTCCAGAATCCGTACCTCCTTCTTTCCCCCTGCTATAACCAATTTGGAAGCGCCCAATAAAACTGAATCATGTGATCTATTTATGTGCCGATGACGCATGATATACATGATTGCTGTTGCAATGTTGCGATAGCGAATCAAATTGCGAGTTCTTAATCATGGAAATGCTAACTGCTTATCGCAGGTGGTAAAAAGAAAGAAGATATTCTGGATTTTGAAGCCCTGTGATCGGAGGATGGGGGAATTGATGCATAGGGAAAATAACTTCCTTTAATAACAAGCACCATAATCAAAATATCTGTAAGGGTGAAACATCATTGATATACTCTACATAATATGAAATAATAATAATATACAGGACAACACAGCCATAGTGAGAGCTAGTTAATATAATAGATATAAAGTTTTCCAGACTCTTAAGGTGGACCAAGAGTTCAAATTGCTGAGATGCAGTAATGACTGTATATCTAAACACCACTTTAATCTGACACAGATCTACAGGCGTTTTAAGAAAACAGGTTTTACTGTATTTCATCTCCAGACTGCCAAGAGTTCGGAATATTCGTGTTCATGATTTTAAGCAAACAAGCCTCATAGAACGTTGTTATTCTCTTGTTAATCATCTAGATTTACTAGTATTTAATCTGCTTGGCCCACCTCAAGTTCTTCCTTCAATAATTCACTCATTCAGTCACATTCAAAATTCTTCATCCACATAAAATTATGGGGTAAGATATATTACATATATGAGGTCTATACATATATAGAGTGATATAAAGAAATGAACTTGAAAAGAGTGATGTTTATTTCACTTAAGAAGTAGTTTTGAATCCATTATTTTGAAACAAGGTATATTCCCAGATTCCTGAATTTCTACACTTAAGTATGTGATAAACATGTGCCATATTGATGATACACCTCCTCTACTGTGCAACCTGGGATGACTGATACACCTCCTCTGCAGTCACTCTGGGTTGATCAATCCCATAAGACATCTTGGTTGATGTGCATCTTTCATTTGAACAGTATAAGTCCACATAAATTCTATAGATCGAAATGTATTATTCTGAAGATGTTATTGGTGGTATCTGGGGCAGATGATGGGATAATGTCCAAGTTGAAACAAAGGTTTTTGTTGGAATATGTGGGGGGGGGCTTCAATATGTCATCTCAGACTCACTTTCTATATCTATGCTACCTCCTGTAAAAATAAATAGCACTTTTAAGATCAGGGAGTAAGATGGTTATCAATTTCATAAAAGCATATCAATCCTTTATCTCGCAACAATAAACAAGGCATTACCATGCAAAATAGCAGGTAAAAAGGTACAAGTAAAAAAGTTCTGATTAGGTCACTTATGTTCTTGGAAAAACAATCAAAAAGTAAATGGAACGAGTCAACCTACAAGTGTTAAATTTTTTAGTTTTATTGACTAAACATTTGTAAACATCGAGCCTGTTTTAAAGGACGATTCTCGGTTTGGAGAACAGCCTCCTTGGCAAATAATTTTTTTCATGAAAAATATAGAAATATTACCCAAATTAAACTATGAATATTCAAAAGAGGACATTTAAATCTACAAGATGTAAAAATAACAAATTGGTCTGAAGCAGGGATAACGCTCAATTAGACAGATTCAATAAAATACAAGTCTCGATTTGGGGAAAGAAGTTCATCAGTGTACTGCCCTAATATTTTTTTGCGAAAAATCTAGAAATATTATCCAAATTAAATTATGACTATTCAAAAGAAGACATTCAAATCTATATTATGTAAAAAAATCAAATTTGTCCGAAGCAGGGATAATGCTCATTTAGATTGATGAACTTCGTTCTCCAAACCGAGAATCGTCCTTTGGGTTAATAAGATTGATGTTTACCACATCTCCCTACAAACGATACTAACCACTTACCGCCTCCCCGAGATCCGTTTGTGGGGGAAGGGCCACAAAGTATCGCACGTCACGGTCTGGGTCTCCCTGGAGCTTCTGTACAGTCTCTAGCAACTGGGAGTGAAGAGGGCTCTGTGGACTAGTGAAGTAATCTAGAAATTAAGAGATAAAATGCTACAGTGGAGTAAAACAGGGAACACTATTTTCACCAGATATGTTTATATGGAAACCGTAAAAGCAGCTTTGCGAGTTGGTTGTATAACATAGAAAAAAAGAAACAGATTTTCTTATGAAGCTCAGAGAGCTCTAATTGTTCGACATCCAAGTTATATAGAAATGAAGAGATAATTTTTTTGAAGAGTGGTTAAATGCTAGAGTGGGGTAAAAACGGAACACTGTTGTCACCGGATATGTTTATATGGAAACCGTTTAAGTGGCTTTGGGACTAGGTGGTATAACAGATTTTCTTGTGAAGCTCAGTGAGCTTTAATTAATCAGCCTCACCTAGTTACTCAACATGGGCCACAAAACAATATGTCACCACTTCTGGTAGTCACATGACAAACAAGGCATTAACATGACAAAATGTCACCACCTAGTTGCTCACAATATAATTAGTTCAAACTTAAGTCAGATTTGAATTTCTGAAAAGGTGGTCAACTTGAACTTTTTGATGGTGACATAAAAATTGAATCCTGTTGTCTGTCCTTTTTAAATTAGAGGGTAGCATTCGGGACACCATGTAATATCATGCCAACAATGTACCCACGAGGACACCCTGTAATTTCATGCCAACAACTTACCCATGGGAAGAAGACCCTGTGAGAGGGTCTTAGCGACAGAGAGTCGAACATTAGGGGTAGGATCCAAACCAAGATTTAGTAAAGCTGGCTGGAGATCTTTGGCAAACTGCTGGGGTGTAACTGCATGGGCTGTCAACATGCTGCGGCATAATTGTGCATAGCTGAAATTATACAACCATTTGTTTTAAATATACATGGCAAAGTCACAGACAAGGGCATAATTGTGCAATGCTGAAATTATACAACCATTTGTTTTAAATATACATGGCAAAGTCACAGACAAGGGCATAATTGTGCAATGCTGAAATTATACAACCATATTAAATAAACAACGCAAAATCACAGACAATGGCATAACAGTGCAAAGTTGCAAGAATATATTGATTCATTTATAATGCATAGCCCATGACAGCTACTTTTGGAGTAATTTATATCTTAACAACATCAAAACTGTATATTTATTTCTTATTCAGAGGCTTTTTACTACAAATAACGTAGGTTCTAGTCTTCAGGATATAAGAATAATCATATTAAGCTTACATTTGTCGTTTATTCCATTTATTTTGGTTAGCAAATTTCTTGATGATGTCATCTGTGAACTGCTTGGCGAGGTTGAGGTCAGTGTTAGATTCTCCACTCATGTTAAGGCGTTTCATCATCATACTCAACTGAAATACAAGAGAAATCATCATGATGGCTGTTTAATCGATTTAAATCCTGCTTTATCATTTTTTCATTTCATGGGACAAGGTTTTACACATCATTTTCACCCAGCGCTTATATAAGATAAAATATTTTTGTACTTGACCTGATTTGAAGGCCAACTTTTTTGAATGCCATACTGTGGATATCTTACACTGGTTTTGCTTTTACATATAAATAAAAAAATAATTAAATTAATATGGTTGACAACTGCTTTAAAACCACCCAATCAGGGGTAGCCAATCCCATAAGGGAAAATGTGGTCTAGACTCCAAGGGAGATTTGAATTTTAGTTTTCAGACAGAGCTGCCTTTTTGTAAAACAAGACCTACATTTTTAAATAACATACTGTGGATATTTTATACCAGTCTTGCTTTTATGTATAATATGGTTGACAATTGGTTCAAAACCACTCAATCCAGATTAGCCAACCCCATGAGGGTAATGAAATGAATTTTAGTTTTCTGAGTGAGCTGCTTTTTGTAAAACAAGACCTACCACTTTGAATGCCATATTGCGGACCTCAGAGACCCTGTCATCAGCCAGACACATAGCCACTGGAACTAGATGCTCACTGATCTGTTCAGAGGAGAACAACTCACAGAGAAGTACCAGTTGCCTGTAATGACGTAACACATTTAATTAAGAGTAGATAGAGGGACCATTCATTTTAAGGATATCGAGTGTTGTTAAATGTGCAGTGATCCGGTTTGATAAAATCTATTTTTCTGATGAAAATTTTGTCTTTCCTATTCAGCATTGTTTTATTTGAGAGAAAGAAGTTACACTTGAATTAAATATAGATTTCCCTTGTGCCATTTCCTATTTGGCGTTAAAACAGAGAAATGGAAAATTATGTAACTGTACAAGATTTTCATGATACATTAGATGTCAATGATTAATGTTAAAAGTTATGTCGTCTCAATCAATTTTCTATGTCATACCACTGCATGTGATATAATTTGTATAGAGAGATTACTTACTCGGCAAGGTCTAGCCTGAAGCGCCAGTTGCGATGGTTGTCTGTTGTGAGAAAACTGGAAATTTGTTCAAGGTACAGAAGCCTTAACTCTGGAGAGAGCAACTGAAATTAAATACAGTAATACAATAACCGATTCTGAAATTGGCAGTTGAAATTATTTCCAAACTCTGTAAACAGAGAATTTTTGAGATCTTATCTCACAGATTTAACTGGAATAAATATTAAGAAAGAAAGTTACCCTTATGAAGTCTGCAAGGTGTTTCAGAATGCCAGTCCTGACTTCATCCAAGTCTTTCATGAAACTGTTGAATATCGGCACCAAGTCTCGCTCTGTGATTCCAGGGCCCACAATTACTGCCAGTTCGTGCATGGAAAATGCAAGTGTTCTACGAACTTTCCACTGAAATATAAGACACACCTTGAATTATATCAATTTTATAATATCTTACAAAATAAAGATATTATCACAAACCAAGAGCCTTGATGCAAATCAAAATAGGTACTTATCATTTTGAAGTGGTTGCAATGGGTTTTCAAATGGGTGCACAAACCTATTTTTAATATCCCTAGTGGGTGCATCACCCAGCAATCTTGATTAACGGCTAAATGTGACACAAGGAGGTAGTAATCATGGTAACCTATGATATGGTCACCTAACCCTTTTTGTTTTAAAAGTCAAGCTGCTCACCTGCATGTCTCCAGCTAAGATATCATAACATTCTTTCAAACACTTCCAATTCCTTCGACCCAAGGTGTATGCCACAGCGGGGAAACTATAAGCGCAATGCTTGGCGATCTCAGTGTCCACTGTCTGGGCGCGAGTGGGGTCTGTCATACTCAAGTAGTGATCTAAGAGAGGCTGGGGTATAACATCTTGGTCTCTAGAGACCTCCTTGTCATCTTGGGGACTTTCTTCACTGTCCTGCAGTTCACTTAGTCCCTCCAAGGCACTCTTCACATCTGGAGGTAAAAAAGTATGAACTCTTCAAAACTGGAGGCAACTCACTTCATCAAATACCTTTCTAAGAGTTGTCAACAAACCCATCTAGTTCTTTGATGAATTTTGACTGAAAATGTGTACATTTGCCAGATTTGTATTTATATTCTTATATGGGCATATAATAGATTTTCAAAGTAACTCAAGCTTACAAAATTAAGATGATGTTATTAGTGCAACAAATTCCTTACTTGAGACAGACCCTTCCATATCTTGGACCACCCCAGTGACAATGTCCAGTGTGGTCTCATTAAGTTGGTGTCCTAATACATGAGTGCTACCTGAAACAGTGACATATTAAGTCAGTAAATGGTGTGTATTGATGCAAGTCAAAATCCATGAACAATGAGTTAAGAAGTGGTACTATACCAGGGGTTTCATTAGCAGCAGGCAACAGGCGATTTTCACCAGTTGTTGTTTACAACTTCATCACCTGTTGTTTTATGGAATTTTCCATGTTAAATTTACGATTTCCATTAATTTTGCCTGTTGTTTTCATTTATTTAGCCCATTGTGAGAAATTCTAGTGAAACCCCTGTATACATAAAATGTGTCTTATTGGTGAATACCTTCAACGAGAGGAATCAATTTAGCTGTTAAAACTGTTTTGGAGCCATTTTGTTTTCAAATAAAACCTCAAAAGACACTGAATAATGCATTAACACCTCACACAGAGTGATGCAACAGAACATTTAACCAAAATAATCAAAGTTTCCCCTTAGAGGTTGATACCACAGGACTGCCAAAATATGATAGCTTAAAATCAAAAAATTGCGCTCTAAGGATTTTTGAAATATTTGTTAAATTGAGTAGATTTAAGCAGTCATTGTGTCTAAATCAGTTGACCCAGTTTGCCCTTCACTTACTGTATGTCATCCCCTGAATTAGGTCAAAAGATGATACTTACCTATATTTGTGACCATCTCTGGTTGTTCAGACACGGTGTGTACACTTGCTGTATGCATAGGTGTATCTAAGTCTTCATCATCTAGATCCATTTCAATAGGCTTTTCTATACCACACTCTATATCAGGGGAATTTTCCACTGACTCGGAATTTTCCGCAGTTTCGGAACTTTCAACTGACTCTGACTGGGAGCTTTCTGAATTACACTTAGATTCAGGTGAGGGTTCAGTTTCATTGGATTTGATTTCTGATTCTTTCTGATCATTAGAAGTGTCTTTTGTACTAGTTTCTGAATCATCTAATTTTGTTTCGGCTAAAGATTTACAAATTCCTGCAATATCATTTTCAGTTTGTAATGTTGAAGACTCATTTGAAGATTTGATCGCTTGACCTCGATCACCTTGACCTATTTCAAGGTCAAGGTCAACCTCGGGTAATGGAGCCCTCCAGTAAAAGAACTCATTGTATGCAGTGTTTGTGTTGTTGGTATTTTTGACCATATCAGCAGTATCTTTGTCAGTACTAGGATCTGTATTGCTTGGTGCATTACCATTATCAACATCATTAGATTGTTCTATATGGAAATCATCTATATTTTTGATTTCTAAGTTTTCAGAAGTTTTACTTTTATAGACATCCGCTCTTTTTTCTTCAAAAGAGAGAGTTTCAGAGTTATTATTGCTAGTCCTTTCCTCATCATCATCATTTTTTATGTCATCACAGTCAATTTGCATGCTTTCTGTATTATTGTTGATTGAGCTTTGATCAGAATCTTGTTGTGTCATCGTCGTGGTAACAGTATCAGTGTTTTGATTGGTGTTTGTGGTATTGTTGTCTACATTGGATTGGTTAGTATCATCATCACCAGATGTCTCTGGTGGTACTTCCTTTATATTGTTGGAATGTTGACGGTCTTTTTCTAGTAAAGATAATGCTTTTTCTTCTAGTTCCTCACTGTAAATATAAACCATTATGCAGTCTACTACAAAGAACCAGAAATCTCTCTTAAAAACAATTCAACTTATGAGCTATTGGATGCAAATGAATTAAACTTCATTCAAATGTTTCTATAGTTGTAGTTGTACAGGTGTATTTCTACACAATGTAAGTGGTAAAGTTGTACCATAATTCCCAATTGAACAATCAAGTGGAAATATACTGAAATTGAACGTCTGTTAATATCAATCAGACTATATTATAACCTTATACGAAAGAAAGTCAACAATAGTTCATGAAATATATAATAAGATAAACAATTTTCTTAAATAATGAGAAATGGCAAAAAAAAAATTTTCAAATCATCGACTGAGTACAGTTACATTTCACTCCACTCATATTAATACATAACAAAAAAAAGATATTATATCCTTTATAATTGTTATAATTTTTGTTTGTACATGTACCTGACCCCAAGGGGTGCGAATGTACTTGAGGAATAAATAAATAAATATGTCTCTGTATTACTTAACTGATAAATAACAAACTGACAATGCTAATCAATTGAGTGGAAATATATTGAAATTGAAGCACCATTTACAACTGACGACAGACAACGATTACATTAACAGGCGTGTCAATTATTTAAGTCTACGGAACATAATAGGAATAGCAGATTGTTGTAGCAATGAGAAACAGGCATAACAAAGGTCACAGTGTCTCACAAGATGTAATCTGTCATCATTAGAGAGAAATGTCTGAACACCTATCACAAATGGGTACAAATATCGATCTTCCCTTCAATGAATTTCAACTGTTGTAGAACTATTATTGTTATGTCATTTTTGAACTAATATTGTGAGATCATTTCGTAACTATTATTGTGAGATACTATCTGATCTGCACTATTGCTGACTCTTACTATGAACTATATTTTCACAGAGTGTAAAGAGATAAAAGTTATTCTTAAGTAATCAAAAAAGATACTGTCAATTTTTCATCTTTTTCTGAATAGCTGCATGTTAAATATAAAAATAATAAATAAAAAATATATAAGAGCTCACACTGACAAATGTAAAAGTATGCAGACGTTCAAAAACTCCTTCCAGAGTTCCACTTTGTCTTTGTACCCATGGATACAACCTAAATGGCTTTTTAAAAGCTCATTTCCAAGAAAGTTTTCGTAATATAACAATGGACCACAAAGTTAGACCACGAGAAAGTTTCATATAATATTACCTGTGGACATTTTGATCGCCGACGCATAAGTTTCCTTCTTCGTTAAAAAAGAGTCCAGTACTATTGGGATCAGCAAATGTTGAAATAAACCCACCAAGAGCTTGGAATCCAGCCATTCGTACCTAAGTAAAAAAGTAGTTTTTTCTTAATTACTGTATTAATTTCTATTGTCATATTTTGTAAATGATTTACTCAAGTTCCAAGCAAAAATCAACTGTAAAGTTAATTAAAACTACATGTACATGTATATTTCCAGTGTCACGACACAGGATTGTTTGAGCAAAGGATTTTGCGATTTTGCGAATTTTAGTGCAATATTTTAAGATTTTTCAAATTTGACCAGGATGCATTGATTTATTAGCCCAACCCCATTAATTCCCCAATGTTCATGGACTCACCCATATCCCAACCCCATAAATGTCCCCATTGTTCATGGACTTACCCATATCCCAACCCCATAAATGTCCCCAATGTCCATGGACTTACCCATATCCAAACCCCAAAAATGTCCCCATGTTCATAGACTTACCGATATCCCAACCCCATAAATGTTCCCACTGTTCATGGACTTACCCATAGCCCAACCCCATAAATGTCCCCACTGTTCATGGACTTACCCATAGCCCAACCCCATAAATGTCCCCATTGTTCATGGACTTACCCACGCCAATCCCATAAATGTCCCCACTGTTCATGGACTTACCCATAGCCCAACCCCATAAATGTCCCCACTGTTCATGGACTTACCCACATTCCAACCCCATAAATGTCCCCACTGTTCATGGACTTACCCATCTTGACTGGTCAGATATAAGACTAATGAATATATGTGCCAGGTCTTTATGACGTATCCCTTGGTTGCAAGCCAGAGAGACAGCAGTGAAGCACTCAGCACAGGCCTTTCTTACACCCCATACTCCATCCTCACACAGGAGGAAAAACTTATCAAGCTGAAAACAATGAAAATAAAACATCAGAACCTGAAATCGACCTGACAATCAGGCAGTTTTATAGAGACATGTATCTATTTCCAAGAAAACAACTTGAACATAAATCAAGGAATAGAGAAACTTCATAGTTATCTTTTTTTATAAAATTTGAGAGGTAACAGCCTAATCAAATTTGGCATACACACACATTCATATTTTTCTCAAAACTTATTGATCGACCTAGTATATAGAAATATATCTCACCAATATATCTTGTGTGGACTCTGAGCCAACAACAGTGCACATGTCTCCAAAGTTGGCAGCACATACCTAAAAAATAAAAGAAACCAATATACACTTTATTAAGAATATCTCGTATATTACAAGGGGGTAACAGGGATACCAGTCTTTTTCCCGGAATTTTTTCATCAAGTATGAGCAAAATTTCCATTTTCAAAATTTGGGCTAAAAACCAAAATGTGACAATTTTTCATATTTCCAAATATATGCAGCATCTACTAGCTCTTCAATGCTGGGAAAAATTAACCTGAATAACAAAACATTTTAGAGCTATAAAAATTCCTAAATACATAGTAACCATGTAAATTATAGGTTACTAGATCAAGCACTAAGACTGTACATGTTTTCTTGCCCTCAATTTATCAACCAAAAGATGAAGGCTTTGGTTGAAATGAATAACCCCTGACATAAGAAAGAGTTCATGCAAACCTTCCGAACATGGAACAAAGCATCTCCGCACATGTGACTAAACCGTGGAAGGAACAAGCGTGTTGTGACATCACAGCCTACAAGTGGCGCCATCTTACTCATTAGCTGCAAGCAGAAAAAACATTTTTTTTACTCGAAGTCTAATATTATGTTAATAAACAAATACTTATAAACAAAACATAATAATGTTATAAAAATGTAATATGAGTATAAAGCACCATATCTGGATTATATTGACATAGCATGTCCAAAAAAACTTGGTGCCATTGATAAACCAACTAGGAGGCAAACTGGTGTAACAGACAATATACCAGTAATATATATACATGAGTTTGAGTATTGAGCTTGAGTATATGTGTGTTTTGAGTATTTAACAGCAAAATATTCATTTGTTGATTGTGTGTTAGTACTTAGTGTCTCTATCACGACTAGGTATAAGAAGACCCCAGATGTTCCGTTATTTGGTTATTTTATATTATGGGTTAACAAATAAATTCGGACAAATCCTCTGAGAGCTATTATCAGCGTTTTTCTTAAGCATCTTCGTTCTTCCAAAAGGGAAATAACTTGAAGGTACTCTGGCTTTTGGGGAGTCTTGCATTTGTAGGATAGTGTTATTTACTACACACAACTCATCAAAGCAGGCTGTGATATGGTAACAATAGCATCAGATCACAACCACTTTCATGAGCCATATATAGTGCTTTTCTAGTGCCTAACAGTGTCTGCCGCCTTTCTAGCATAATACTTTTCCAACAAAGTGCCTTTCTAGCATAATACTTTTCCAATGTATTGCCTCTCAAGCATGGTGCATTTAAAACATAGTGCCTTTCACCTTTCATACATTATACCTTTCCAATAGAGTGCATTTCGAGCAAAGTACTTTTCTAACAAAGTGCCTTTTTAGTATAATATATATATATGGTAACAATAGCATCAGATCACAGCCACTTTCATGAGCCATGTATAGTGCCTTTCTAGCATAGTGCCTCGTTAACTTAGTGTCTGTCGCCTTTCTAGCATAATACTTTTCTAGCGTATTGCCTCTCAAGCATGGTGCATTTAAAACATAAAGCATTCCTCACATAATTCCTTTCCAATTATAGTTCATTTCGCGCAAAGTACATTTCTAAGTGCCTTTTTAGTATAATATCTTTCCAATGTATTGCCTCTCAAGCATGGTGCATTTAAAACATAGTGCCTTTCGCCTTTCATACATTATACCTTTCCAATAGAGTGCATTTCAAGCATAGTACTTTTCTAACAAAGTACCTTTTTAGTATAATTCCTTTCCAATGTATTGCCTCTCAAGCATGGTGCATTTTAAATATAGTGCCTTTTGCCTTTCTTACATAATACCTTTCCAATATAGATCATTTTGAGCATAGTACTTTTCCAACAAAGTGCCTTTTAGCTTAATACTTTTCCAACAAAGTGCCTTTTTAGTATAATACCTTTCCAATGTATTGCCTCTCAAGCACAGTGCATTTAAAACATAGTGCCTTTCGCCTTTCTTACATAACACCTTCAATATAGATCATTTTGAGCATAGTACTTTTCCAACAAAGTGCCTTTTAGCTTAATACTTTTCCAACAAAGTGCCTTTTTAGTATAATACCTTTCCAATGTATTGCTTCTCAAGCACAGTATACAAATAGTGACTGCCATTGAGGGCAATAGTGTAAATTATTTCCCCGAGGGAATATCCTCTACAATGTACTATTCCCGAAGCCGCAGGCTGAGGGAATAGTATATTGTAGAGGATATTCCCAAGGGGAAATCATTTACACTATTGCTCGAAATTAGGCAGTCACTATTTGTTTTATTATATACCCTATACTGACTCTTGTCCCGTTTCCTCTGCGAAGGCCAAAAAGGCTTAGAAAGCCCCCTCCCCGGGTCCATTGTTAGCATTATAAGCTGTGACGTCATCAGATGCTCAACAGAAATTTTTGCCTCTGAGACTCTCACTTGACAAATTCAATCGCGTTTAACACGCGGAATAGATTATCATAACACTTGAAATTACACAGACGTATTGAGCTTAGGGAACTTTATACACGTTGCTTATATTGTATCGTTCACGCACGTCTGTCATGGTGAACGGAGTTGATTTGTGTTTGTGCTCATTCTCCATTTTTCTGTTTTTCGTCTGCGCAGTGATGATGAGCAGACGTTTCCAAGGGTAATAGAGCTTGCAATTGTGACGTCAGCGGGCAATAGTTCAAATGTATATTCCCGCTGACGTCACATTTGAGGGAATATAACTTTCCGAGGGAAATAGTAAATCTATTTCGGAACACGTGACTAGGTATTGACCAATCAGGATTAGTGTTACATATTGGGTATATAATAATACTTTCTAACATAATGCCTTTTTAGTATATTAGTGGCCTTCTTACACAGAACCTATCTAGCATACATTCCAATGTAGTGCCTTTTCAGCATAGTACACATAGTGTCTTTCTCGCATTATACCTTTCCAAAGTAGTGCCTTTCTAGCAAAGTGCCTTTTAAAAACCTTACAGTCGTTTTCGGGTGAATGTGGTCCTTTTCCATTTGTTGACAGCCTTTGTTCAAAGTCTGGGCATTGGAAATGAATTAAGAATCTCTAAAAACCTCAAACTCAAAAATGGTAGACAGATTCCACATTTCCTAGACATCTTTGACTTTCAAGGTGGTTATAACATGTATAACTTGAGAATCAAGATGTTTCCTGGAATGAAACGAGTTTGTGTTACCTAAAATGAAATGAGTGCTTTTGCATTTGAGAATGAAGATGTCATGTGAGCTGGTTGAATGTTGTCATGTCTACCCATATGCTCATCAAAGCTGGCTGTGATATGATCATTACTACATAATCTCAACCACTTTGATGCCACATGGGCAGACCATATTTCCTTCCAAGAAATGCCCTCCATCTATGGGGTCATTATAGAAAACAAATGGCTGCATGTTTTAATTGTACATTCAAGTACAAGTACATAAAAAATTGAAAAATGGGTCTTGCATATTGTTGGTTCGACAGCCTCTTAATACCCTTTGAAGAGTCTCAGAGCAGACACTGTGGGACATTAACTGAAGAACAATGTATTTCAAAGTGCAAAATATCACTGCCTGTCATGTGATACAGATGCAGCAACACTGTCCCGAAAAAGGAGACTATGATAACATGTCACCACTTCTGGTGGTGACATAAAATGATTTGGATGCCCGAAAGTGTTGACCAATGAAAAGGCAGAACCCTATTTCAATATCATCAGTCAAGTATAGGGCCAACAACCGCTGTGTCAGTGTGGATAGACAAGATCCGCGTGCCTAGTACAGATTCTTGTTAAGATAATGTAATATTCCATCTTGACACCTTGATAAAGATAATGATTTACAGGAAATTGTTCTGTGTTTCCTCTAGTCATGTCATAATGTTCATCCATTATACTTATTACTTATGGCACCAGGATATACTGAAAATAAAATCTTATTATAGTTCCATCATTTATAATAAATAGTCCTGTCACAGCCCTAAAGCGCAAAAATTAAGCTTAATATATTCATAAACAAAAAATCAATCTCAACGATACATGATTAAAAGCGTTATACATATTCTAAATAATCTCCATATATATCATCAGAATATATGGAGAGGTAGTTCCAAACATTGAACAAGGCATTAACATGCACATGTCACCACCTGGCATTTGTTACAGATGCTGATCGCCAAATGCCAAAAACTGACCATAAAAAGTTGGAGACTATAACAATATGTAACCACTTGTGGTGGTGACATAAAAATGGGTGGTGTTACTGAAACAATATTTTCTCTAAAACAAACTAATATTACCTGGGGAAATTTTCAGATCTTAATGATAATGGTGTCTGTCAGATGACATCATTGTCTGTCAGATGACATAATTGTCTGTCAGATGACATCATTTCAAGAATATTCCATCATGATTCCTGACAGAGTAATTCTATGTTGTCTTGGGACAACCTGTATCTGTCACTTTGGGCCTCAAAGGGATTTCATTGTGACACAAATATTCCTCACATATGTTTGTGTTAGTACAATTTTTTGGGACACCCTGTATCTGTCATTTTAGGTCTCAAAGGGATTTTATTTGTGACACAAATATTCCTCATTCATCGTTAATACAAGAGTTCAATGCAAATGCTATCAGTTATTTGTATTGTTACATGGGAACTCTTGAAACTTACACCGGTTTTATCAGTGGCTGTAATTATTTACTTCAGATGGTAGATACCAGTTATGTAGTTATGTACATGGTATAAAGTAATGGCAAATACATGTACTGTGCAAATATTGTATGTATAGTTATTAGAAATATCTATCTGGAAAATAGAAGTATATTCTCATCTCAATATCCAAAACATGCATATCACAATGTTTGATTTGTTCTCACAACAATCTTTTCAAAAATAAGTTGTTAATACAGTAAAACCTGTCTTAATGAACACCTCTCTCTAGTGAACACCTGTCCCTAGTGGACACCCTTCCTACGCACATAGTCCACTGACTTCTGTATAAATTACCCTCTCTCTAGTGAACACCTACCTACAGTGAACATTTTTTCTTGGCAAAAAAATGTTCACTATACACAAGTTTTACTGTATGTGTAAAATCCTCATTTCTATTCAGAATTGGTAAAATAAAGACTTTTGTACCCTGCCAAGATTAAGCCTGGGGAAAGGCTGCAGTAGCGAAGCTTAGCCTTATGTAGAATGAAAAGCATCATATGCGCTCATCAAAGCTGGCTGTGATATGAAAGACACACACATTTCACACTCAACTTAATGGCACATATAAAAACTCACCAAATGGTGGCGAAGCTAGGAGTGAATTAGCTTGTGTTAATACAGAATTAACATCCATATGTTTAGAGTAGCATCCAGTTACCGAAAAATTAAGCAATCGCGAGTACACATCCAACACAACGCAATGCAACCAAGATTTTATGAAATTCACCAGATAATGTCTTGGTTGCTGTAGTGAGGGAATTCTAACTTGATTATCCGTATGTTTCTATTAACATTCAGGTAAAATATTTGGATACAAATTGACCTCCTTCTTGGTGAGATAATGAAAA